CTCGCCGTGGGGGTCTCTCAGTGCGATGGTAACCCAGCGGGGCCTGTATCCAATCACCAAGGACTCCTACCTTTCTGAAGCTATGTTGGCACCAAGAGGAAAGTGCTGAGGGACACGGAAAATATGCTCTACTTTTTCCCCTAAACACTTAAACTACATTAAAACGTCTAATAAAGTGGGTTAAAGATTTGACATAAAAGATTATTAATTTTCTCTGTAGGAATTAGGATCTTAAATGAATTAGTAAATTTCTTTAAATTTGGATGTAACATTTTCTATAAAAGCTGAGAATGAGGCTAAAGAACAGGCTTGCTGATTGGATAAAGGATCACAACTTTTTTCCATGTCAAGCAATTTATATTCTGACTGTTAAAACGACTAAACAAAATATTAATTGAATTAAAAATAGGAAAACATTGTTATATTTTTAAGATCTGGTCTGGATAAGAGGACTAGACCCTGTGCCATTGGGCAGCCTCGGCCCAAACCCTGACCCTGCAGACCAATCAGTCCTTTCCACTCCAGTTCACTGTACCAACAAAACTGGATGAGATAAAAACTTATTTTTTCACCTCAAAAATAACCTGCAGGCTTCTAAATTAAACGACTCCAAACATCTAAAGTGAAAACTGTTTCAGTCCCACCGTTTAATCAAACCATTTTAACTGTGGTTTAATTTTGACTGTATTTTCTTATACTGTATAATACCAATGGTACTCTTTAGTTAACTGTACTTAAGGGAAAGTGAAAGGAACAATCCTGCTACTGCTGTAACATAAACACGTCACTGGTTCTGTTCGACTCGTGTGTTGAATTCCTGCTGATTATGTCGATCTGGTGCTAATCAAACGTCATGACCGTAAAGTATTTTCAAACTACTAACTCCTCTTAGTGTAATTTTTCAACATGCATGGCAGCACAACGGGGACTAACAAATAGAGTTTTAGGAACGCCCTCTGAGGACATGAGCTGTGGTACGGCTGCAGTCTGGTGTTTTTGGTGATTTATTATGAGTTTGTGATTGATATTGACAGTTTTGCCACTGAGACCTGAGGTGCTCTAACCATTACCATTGATGATAATATTGCTATTACTATTATTATTGCTTTTGCTGATGCCATTGCTACTATTTATCCCTACTACTGATTGTAACAGCTGTTGGCACCACCAGTCAGATATGCATAGAGAAGTCTTTTAAACTAAACTTGAAGGATGCAAATCTGTGGCAAACCTGCAAAGAACAAACAACACTGACTGTGTTGGGAACATAGACTGTGTTATGTGGAGAGTGGATGTAGCGCATTGGTTTCAAAAGCACTTCAAACGGCCAGCAGAGGGAGACATCACTGGTTGCAAAACGTGGTTCAATCATGTGTAAACCCTTTTTTACTAACTAAATGGATCTACAAGGAGGATTTTGGGTCATTAAAATAAGGAAACATGAAGCATATTCAGAGATTAAGTCATGTGTGGAAAAAATGGAGGAAAATTCCTGATAGTTGGAAATACGTGGGGAAAAAAATGTGAAAAACTTCACAATTTACAACAAAAAAATCACATATTTATAAGATAAAGGTGTAAATTTGAAAGATAAATCTTGTACATTTGTGAGAGAAAACTGTTTGTTTGAAAATAAAAAATAAAATTAATTAGAAAAATGTTCTTTTGCAAAAAAAAGCAGCAAATCTTTAAAAAATAAATAAATAAATAATAAGCAACATTTTGCAAATCTGTGAGAAAAAACAGCAAATTTGTGAATAAAAATTGCAAATTACCACAAACAGACATGCAAATTTGTAAGAAAAAGCTGTTTCTTAAAATTCATGAGATTATTACGAATTTATTGATTTATTTTTGCTCAATTAGTTGTCCTTTGATACTCAGCATACCTCAGTCTTTCATAGACTGTTTCTTTTTTCAAACTTGGACACAGAAACAGTCTGAAGCCGACCCAAATGGCCCAAACCCTCCTCTGTATGAATCACTCATTTAATTCACCAATAAAAAGTCAAACATACTATGGTTAATAAAGTCGGGGAACATTCTTGTGTCTGTAGACACTTAAGAGAGTGGAAACTTAAATGACTCTTAAGCCGGTGTTTACTCTGCTTAACAATCATAACATCATATAACTGTTTAAAACCAGCACAAACAGACGAGAAAAGAAACTTACCTCTCTGTCAATTCATTAATACTCATCTTTAAGTCTACTTCACTTTGGTGTAGTTTTCATTTTCAGGTCAGTACCTGTGATTTATGATCCACTATATTGACAGAAGAACGTGATAAAAGATCTGGCTTAAGTGCTACTGTGAGGCCTCCAAAGGGGTTCTCAGAAACCGGTGGGTGTCATCCTGGTGACTACATCCACCTCTACACCTATTTGATTGTTGGCACTGTCATCTGTTATCGTTATGATACAGAGTAAGCTTTATTTATTCCCAGAATACACCTCTGATTCTTCTAAGACGCCTGTCTCTTCTGCTCCTCTCCAGCTGAATGATTCTGAAGGTTGTTTCCTCACACCATTGCCTCTGCCTGTGTTGTTGATTACATTGGTCTCTCTTCTCGTCTCTTCTCTTCTCGTCTTTTTTTTTTTTTCCTCTCTGGCAGCTTTTACTCCAAAACTGCCTGTGAAGAGCACGCTGTGAAGCTGATGTCTGCTCCCCTAAATCCAATCCCACCAAATGTGACTGCAGTGAGAGTTTGCACTCAGCATGCGGAGCGAGCTTCTGTTTCCATGTGTGTTCACAAATCTCTCTGCCAGCGGGAGTTAAAAAGGCTGCGGATTCGCTCTGTTTTTGTGGCCTTATTTCTATTGTTTCAGGCCTGTGGGCACAGTTAACATGTACACAGACTCTAAACTGCTCATGTAAAAGCCAATCACATCTGAACCCATGTTGTGTCTCAGTGTGATTGTAAGTGAAAGTTGAGGAAATGACATCAGGAGGTGATTCAGCCTCGCTCTGCAGACGTTTGTGTATGGGCAAGCGGGCAGTGGTGATGAAACACGGAAAGAATTCCTGCTGGGAGGAGAGGCTTGTACACCAGTAAACACTGAGTCTCTTAAAACTTTCTCTGTCTTACTCTGTCTGACGCTCTCTCCCACCCTCTGCTATTGCCTCATACTCAATCTGGGCTAATTTATGGCTATGATATCATACAGTCTGGCGGACACACTGTAGATACGATGGCCTGCCGTTAAAGTATGACACTAGCGGTATATTTTACAGAGGGCGTTTGACGTTTCGTGCAGAGTGATAGCATAGTTTGCAGAATATCTAGGGTTGATTCTTTTCTAGTTAGTCCAGAAACCTGAGCCATGAGGGGCCAGACCGAGAGAGTCCTTGGCTGGATTATGGGCTTTTCATGTAAAACGTACGCCCCTTGGTTGTGCAGCTCCACAACCAGGGTTTTACAATCAGAGTGATATTTCATACGTTTCTGGCTCATGGTTGGCAAAGCTAGATGTGAGTAACCACTCCTAAAAACATGTGCCGTCTTTGTTGAGGTCTTTTTTATTCTCGTACTAATCCCAAACTCTCATCCCAGCGCTTCATTCATGTTTCCTTTGCCTTTATTCCAACTCAGGTCTCTTGGTTTTCATACAAGCTGTGAGTAATAAATCAATTGTTTTAATTTGAGCCTTTCCTTTTCTTTGTGAAATAAATTAACAACTAGCATCAAACGATGTTGAGTTTTTCATTCAAGGTTCGGGTTATGATGCTTCATCCAGTATCGGGATTTGAGGGTTAGAGGCAAAGTCAAGTCTCAAACCTCTTGAGTCTGAGTGCAGGTGCAAGTCCTGATCAAGTCTCTCACACTGTCAAAAAATAACAATAGAATAAAATATATGATATTAGAAGAGAGGGCCCTCTTGATTGATGAATATTACCCAACATTTTGTGTCACACCATGCCAAATAATTATTTTGTTACCACCAAATTTATTATATTAAACATTTAAATTACTGAGCTAGCTGTGGTAGTAACATAAATGTCCCAGTTTAAGTCTAAAAGAAATAATTGTTCAACATTAAAATTGAAAATGTGCTACACTGAGCTGCATTAAGCCAAATACTCTGTCACAGTTTAGGATTTGGGGATGTTTTATCAAATTTTAGGAAGAGAAGAGGGGGCACCCCTGGGGCTGGGGCACCCCTAGATAAACCCTGAAGCTGCCCCTGTCACCAGCATCTCTCCTCTTTTAGCAGCACAGTTTCTTTATGCTGCTCTGTGTCTGATCTTCTGGGAAAAAAAAACCTCATCAGCAGGACCCCAAATAACACAACTATTATTTTGAATGTTTCATTATCCCAACAGGGTATCTGTGTGTGGACCATCACTTGTTCTGTTAAGATCCAACAGCAACCAGCCGTGCAAAACAGCAGCATGAGCGTGTTTATGGTTAATGTGAGATGTTTATCTCAGTCATTGGACTACATTAAATAGGGGGGCCTACTGTGGGTTTTATTCACGCTGAAGCAGAAATAACTAACAATGCTTACACTGTCATACATATGTGTCTACAGAGATAAATCTGGAGCAAATTATCTTTGCTTTCATTTACATTTTTAGAATTATTTATGCAGATGAAAAACTTTAGACCCCTACTCTTTTTGTTATAACCTAAAAATGTTAAAATCAGACTGTTGGAGGGGGAATTATTTATTATCCAGGTGTTGCTCTATGATGATGGAGAGTAATATGATGTTGTCTTATCGGTATGTTGTAAAAAGTCACCAAGTGCTGTCCCTGACATCAGTTCAAGCTCTTGCAGCTTCATGCACTCAGTCACTTTGAGATACAGGGGGCTGAGCTGCACCTCAAGTCTCAAAACTTAAGCCCACATTGCTGTACAACACTTTGGCTCATTGGTTTTTGCTGCCACCTGCTGGCCATAAAGCTGTAAGACAAGATAGTTGCTTAAAACTGTGTTTTACCCAAGGGTTTAAGTTTATCCTGGAAGGTTTACAGGGCTTCAAATGAAGCGCAACAGGAACAGCTTTTAATGTTTATTAACAAAAAATGATCATTTTTATATAATCGAGGATATCTTTTAAAACACAAGGTTACAAAGTGCTTCAGATACAAGAGCAACAGAAAAGCAGCAAGTGATGCATCCAGACAGGTAAAAACACAGTTAACAACAATCAGCTCCTGACAGAACAAAAACACCACACTAACAATCCTCACAGACACAAAGTGTTTGTAAAACTGAGGTTTAAAAGCTGATTCAAACAGGCCACAGACTCAGATGAAAGACCCTGATCAGGAGACCTGGGGGGACGGCTTACATCGTATAGGATCAGTAATTCTGTTATGTAAGAAGCAGCAAGAACACGCATGGCTTAGTCGGTGATTTAGACGATTTTAAGGCTGATCCTGAGGTTCATAAGGAGACAGTGAAGGGGAGCCTGAATTGAGGTGATTTAGGTTAGAACAGTATTGAACAGTTTAAACAAATTTAAGGTCATTCATGGTTACCTTCTTAAAAGTCGATTCAGATCACAAATTTTGACGTATCTTTTTAAAAGCACAAAATAAATCACATTTTTACAACCCGTACAGAAATGTTATATATTTACACATATTGCATTCCCATACATGAAATAAATGTCCATATGAGGTGAAATACACAGATATGTAAGTGGTCCATACAAATATATATGTAGGATTAAAGTATTTTTAACATATGTGGTCAAAACACATTATAATGGATTTAATAGATTTTTCAAAATATACCTGCATTCATAAATTAAACATCAATTTCTTACTCAGGTGAAGGAAATGCAAAACCTCATAATCAGAATAAACATATATAATCAATATATTTGATCAATACATATAATACCAAGGAATGCATGTTTATATGATGGTATTTGGTCCTGCTTTAGTAACTCTGGTGAAGTCTCTCGTTAAATCTAAAAAAGCACTTGAGCGCCCTCTTGTGGATAATTTAAGCCACAGCAGTGTTGTGTACAGTGACATAAATCTCTTCAATATCAGTAAAACTTGAACTGACACAGAATTTCAATGTTTTCGCCTCATTTGTTAAAAATGGTTTATCTTGAAGCTCCTCAAAAGAATTCACTTGGTTGACTTTGGCCCAAATTTACCTGAAAAATCTATAATGTTAATATCATAATGTTCTGTTAATGTTCACATTTACTACACATCCAGAATCTTTGCTCTTGAAAATGTGATTAAAAAAACTGTTTCTGCTGCGATCTGTTGTTGCTTCACCTGGCATCTACCCCCTACCACTATTTAATAACTATACAGCAATAATACATCTTGTTTGCATAAGTGGGTCATACAGAAACAGCTGTTTTAATACTCAGCCTGTTTCATCACCCATAAAAGAACCTCCTCCACAGGAGCTTCAAATCTGAGTTGTTTTCAGAAATCATGAGCTCCGTGGTCAAAGAGCAAACCTCGTTTTGCTCTGAAAACATAGAAACACGCCATGAGTTAAACTACAAGCTGCATCAATCCTGACATAAAATATTGTGCCTTTTTATTTTCCACGCAGGGAGCTGATGCAGGAAATATGAATCTGTATATTTCTTCTATTTACAGCATTTCATATAAAATATGTGTCAAATATAATCAAAACATAAAGTACAAACTTTTAGCCACAGGGGAGGTTAGTATAGATGTTTCCTGAACCCCTCACAGCAGTCACCTCGCTGTCAAACCTCTCCGCGGGCTCAGCCACAGCTAAGTAGGAATGATTCAGAAAGTTGGTGTCCTGGCACGCCGGGATGAAGACCGACTCACTGCAGAGAGACTGACATTTCTGGAGGAGCTCTTTCTCGATCACCAGCCTTTCTTTCTCTCCAATCTGCTCGTAGACGTATGTGTTTCCCTTCGGACAGAGGATGACGCTGTCTTTGTTCAAAGTCACATAATCTGGAAACTCTTCACTCTTGCGTTTTTCGTTCGTCGGTTCGAGGTCGGGGAGGTCGTTGTCTGATGATCTGAGGAGCTGAGTCGATTCTCCTGACGGTTTCTCGGAGCCTGAAATCTCATCTGCAAACATTATCTCCACCAGTGAAGAGGTGGTTTCCTCAAAGCACTGCTTGGCTGGTATCGGAGGATCCTATACAGTGTCAAATGGAAAGGATGCAGCTTTAATAGCCCTTGTAATCAGCATCCACATATAAGACCTTAAAGTGTTAATAAAAGCATAATTTACAGATCTATTGTTGCTTTTGGACACTCTGAGTTTCACATCCTTCTACATAACTTTTCTGTAATGTGTCGCCCTATTAGCAGTACAGGTATCAGGTATAAAACAGAGAAGACTACTGAGTAATTTACCCATTTCTGCCCCTTGATCTCCGTCAGGTAACCCTGCAGGACTTTGTCAAGGTTGGGAACTGGTGGCCAAAAATACTGCTTCAGCTTCCTTCAAATGAACAAATAAAACAAGTTTTTGAACATTTTATAGACACAGCTTTAATAGATTTGGAAAAAATAGTTTTAAATTGGTGCTTTTTGGTTTTTAAATTCAACATTTCTGTCTAAATAGAGGGATGCATTGGTCCTACCTGTGGTATGAGTAAAATATGAAGATGAGGATGACGGCAAATAGCAGCACAGACACCGGGACAAACAGTATCAGCAACAGACCTGTGGAGTTTGTGTTAAGACATGAGTGCATAAACCCAAAATTATGAATCTAATACATTTATTATGTTCACATTTGTGTTCACTTCATGTTTCAAAATCATTTTATGACACAACTACATTTGTAATTATTGTTGAATTACACCAAAACTGCTGCATACGTACACTGCTGAGGATTATTGATTAGGTAAATGTGCGGTAGGACTTTGACTTTAAAGCTCATGTGAGGAGTTTTCTGAAATTCATACTAATAATTTCTCATGACTTATGAGAGTCAACATGAACATCAGGAGTAAGATTAATGATTCTTATACTGTAATTTAAAATGCTTGAAACCAGTGTAGGGGGGTCAGCAGTGCAACTTAACAAACATATCATTACATTGCCAGAAAGCACCACTTAAGCATGTAGAAGACCAGTAAAGCAGAGACTGCTTTGTCCACAGGGGGCGTCAAAATTGACACAAACGTAAAGTCCCCTACTGGAGCTTTAATGAATCTGACTGTGAGCTCACCTCTGTCAGTCGGAGTGTCACCTGTTAGCACATCTGACCAGTCGCTCCAGAGTCCTGAGTAAACGGATCCATCAGGTTTGGCTCTGAGCTTCACACTGAAGTGTCTCCCTAAAGGGACACCCAGACATGTGCTGGTCTCTGGACCGTTTAGGCGTCTCGTCTGTGGATAAAAAAAGTTGATTTGATATCAAAAATTAGTTTAACTGGTTGGGCACTTCTTCTTTAAGCTGTATGGTTTTCACAATTTTACTCTAAATGACATGTCTAATGCAGTTGTTTCACATCTCCTGGATAATTTCTATTTGCAGAAATTTTTCTACTTCAACCACATTTTTCATTTTCCTGCAACTTTGAGCTTCAGTCCAGATCTAATAAAAGGTCTTTTTTTTCCTACCAAGCCTGTCATACAAAACACAGCACCTCTCAAATGTAACACTGCAGAAATATCGTATTTCATGTTAATGCAGAAACTTTTTTTTGCAATAGATATTTAAGTTTTGAGTGAATTGCTTTAGCCACATTCGCACACTGATGCTGAGGCTCCTGTGTAAAGTACCCATCAGTGTCAATTCTTATCACATGAACTGGGTGCAGCCAGCCAGGGCGGTTTGGGGTCAAGTATGATAAAATGTTATGTGTCTGTCCCAGGAACACTCAGGCACATAAACAGAGGGGACTTGGGGACAACTACGGGGGACAACCAACTCTAATTCTGAGTTACAGCCACCCCTTAAAGAGCAAACATACAAAGAAACAAAAGTGGGTGTCCTTCAGAGACATCTTACCATCCAGTCTTCACTCTCTCTGATCTGGTAGCCGACTTCATACTGCAGGTGAGCTGACAGAGACACAAGAGGAGCCTCCCATCTCAAACACAACTTATCCTCTTCTAGTGCTGCTTTCACATGACTTGGTGGGGGTGTTTTGACTTTAAAATAAAAAATACAAATTACTTCATATAATCAATAATAATCAAACACATTCAAAACCACCCAGTCTCACAAAGTCTAGAATCACTCACTGCTTTTCTTGAGGGTAAACTTGTCAGTGTAGAAAGTTCTGCTGAGAGGACCTGCGGGGCTGGTGAGCTTCACTCTGACTCCTCTGGATTGGTTACCATAGAAACGGCACTGGTCAATCAAGTCCCAGTCAGCGAGACACTCGGTCCAGTCTGTCCAGCCCAAAGCATCACTGTAGAAATTATACGATAATCATGTAAAATGACTCGTTTTTATCATCAGTAGTGATGATATGAGATGATGGAAGTCATAATAAGGACTGCCTCTGCTTTCCAGCGTTTAAAGCTCCTATAAGGAGGTTTTTTGGGGGTGTTTACGATATGTTCTGTTAATTTAGTTTTTCTTTGAGTGTTTTTTCTGTGTTTTTCCTAGTGTTTCTGCTCCCTAATGTTCCTGTGATCTTATCTTGTGAGTTTTCAGTTTGTGTTTGACCCTGTTTTCCTCTCGTTCTCTGTTTTTTATTCTTTAGATCAGTTTTCAGTGTTTCCTGTTTTATTTTGTAGTAGTTGACTTCTTGTGTTTCTAGTCAAGTTTTACTTCCTCAGTTTTCCCTCCCTCATTAATCACACATGAGTTTCACCTGTGTCTCGTTTGCCTCACCTGTTGCTCGTTATCCAGTGTGTATGTAGTCCCTGTCTTCCCCTCTGCTCTTGTTGGTTCATTGTGACTATTTGTCGGTCACTGTGTGTGTGTGTGTGATTCCTAGTCTCCTTGTGCTTTTTTTGTTTGATTTTGCGGTTTTTCAGTTGGACACTTGAAGTAAGTTTTTGTTGCTTTTTTTTCATTTAGTTCTTTTTAAATAAATCCTTTGTTCTGCATTTGGTTCCTTTTTAACATTGTTCAACCCTGCGCCATGACGTTTTTATGATATGAAAACCAAACACGACCATTAGCATCAAGATGCAGGATTCTTATTTTTAAAACTTTTACTGCCTGAAACCAGCTTAAGGGGTAGGTGTCAGCCGAGCATGTGAGTTTTTATCATTTCCACATAAAATATTCACAATAAATATAACGTTAAAAGTCATGAGGATGAGTTATTGGGGATCTACGACTTAAAGACTGCTCTGTCCAGAGGAGGCAAATTCACAAAGAAATGAGAGTTCCTTATGAGAGTTTTAATCAGGATTGTGTGATAATCTGCCGTTTAGTTTTATACTACAATTTATTTTCATATCCAGCCTGAATTAATCTGCTATCATTTGAATCTCAACTGCTTAAATTTATCTGCAAAGAGCTTCTTTATTTCAGCTATTAGTTTGACTTTCCTCATGACAGAAATGATGAATGTCCTGTTTTCCACTGAAGCACATGGTGATAAAATCACTTTCTATTCATCAGTATCATATTCCTGTAATGATCTGAGTGAAAGCGATATTCTGATAAAGTATGAGTCATAAAAACATCTTATCTCAACCACCGTCACTCTGTTCAGATTGTATTTTGATATGCCTGTGTGGACTTGAATGTTCATGACGTTGGAAAGAAAATGCTCCTAACAGAACACTGGGTCACTTCTGTATAAGTTTGGTTTGTAAGGAAGATTGTTTGGTCGAATATGGTGAAAAGTTTGAGCAAAGGTTTGGATATCTGTGGCAAGGACAAGACAAATCTACAAATTTAAATCATGAGAACAAATAGAAAATAAGATTATTCAACAATTTCTTAAAGCGTTTGTGAGGAACTTAATGTTTGTGCCGAGTTTGTCGCATTTGATCAATCTTGACTTTGCAACTGGCGCTGCTATATGTTGCTGATTTACCATGCAAATGGGAATATTCCTGCAAGTCAACCCTCTGATGTGCATGTAAAGTCTCATTCCCAATATGGACCTTAATCAGAATATGGTGTGCATGTAAACTACCTGAATGATGACATACAGTAGTGTAGTGAGTATTATACCTGTGACTCATCTGGTATGAAAGTTTGAACTCGTTCTGATCATCAGATCTGCTCCCGTTCCACTCACAGGTGAAATTTTCAAGATCAGAGGTGAAGCACATCAGTGAAACATCATCTGGAGATGAGTAAAAAACTCTTTCAGGTCATACATTTCTAATGAATCCCCAGTCCATCACCTAGTCTATGTCTCAACGTGTTTTTTCAACATCAGACACACCTGCGCTTTGAGGAACCACAGCTCTCAGAGGCTGCGACCAGCCGCTCCAGTGTCCGGCGTCTGGATTGTAGGCACATTTCACCCTGACCTGCACCTTCACCTCCTCACCTGGAACGAGCTGATCAAGTAAGCACTCCTCTCTCGACTGCAAAAACAACAAAAATAGTTTAATTTTGCATTTTTTCCTAATTGATAGGATGGCTGACATGTATCAATTGGCCACGGGTGGTGGTCCAAACAGTGACCACTGCTGAGGGCGGTGGCCTCTGTAATGAGGCGCACGCTGGACCCGCCAGGCCAATGATGGCCCAGATTAATGTTTTTCAAGGTGTTGCTTTCACCCCTTTTACCTGCTTGGATAACAACTACAAGTCTGCAGATATAAAGATGGTCAAGTCACTCAAAAATACACAGAGTAATGTTAAGACTTCAAAGCTGAAGACAGCAAACTTTTCAGTCTACCACTGAGTCAAATACGACAAGCGATTTCTTGTCACAACATCCAAATTAATATGATCCTGTTGACATTATGAGAAAAAAGAATTAAATCAAAAACTTGTGTTTTGAGATCAAAATGAGTTTTCCAGTTTCTGGTTCACTTGAGTGCATACCTCTTCCTTTATCTTCTCTTGTTTTCCTTTAGAGAAGTACTTAATCTGATACGTCTCCTCATCTTTGCAGTATTTGGGAATCACTGATTGCCAAGAAACCTGCAGCTGTCCTGGTTTGGCATTGTGATGTAGAGACACATTAAAAGGTGGATCCAGAAGAACTAAAACAAGTAAGAAAAAAGCATCAATTAAAGTTATATAATGTCATTTCCTTGGTGAAATTTACTTGAATTTACTTGGTGAAAACTGTGCTGCATGTGTTTAGGTTCAGCAATATTTGATGACTTATTAGCTACACTACAGCTAACGTTAGCAAAGGTTAGCTGTTGTTGTTAGCTTGCTTAATTTGCCCCTACTTAGCTAACACAAAGCAATAACAAATATTTTTTTGTTAAAATAAAGATCAGCTCAAATCTTACAGTGGTCCTCCATAGAGATGGTCCGCTTGTAAAGGCCGGTGGTGGTTGTGTTGTGCTCCACAACTTCAAGGTGTGTTTCCACATAGAAGAAAATATCCAGAACAGGAAAATAGTAGACATGGAGGAAAGTCCCTTCTTCTGTTTTCTGGACAGACATTTCACATCTTTTCTTTCTGGGCAGACTTCATTGAGAAATGGAACAAACGGGAAAGATATTGTGTTACTAATCAGTGAAATATATCAGTGTGGGAATTTGTTTTTACTAGTTACAACATACCCTGTAAACCTGTAGAGCAAATCATAAGTCCTGTTGTTGTCTGGGGTCTCAAAGAAGCAGGTGAAGTCCTGCTCTGTCCGGGTGAAACATTTAGGATTTGGTTCATCTTTTAAGAGCCGAACATCTGCAAATGACAAACATGCTGCATTAGCATTGTCCTCTGACGTCTAATAAAGGGGTAATTCTTTGAAAATTTTGGTTAGTATGAGAAAATGTGTCAGTAAACAAGCCTGAGTAGAACTGAAACTGTGTCTGTACAAAATTAATCATCTTGAAACCCTACCTTCTTTTGACAGAGGATTACCAGTCCCATCCTGAAGGTGTATCCCACTCACAATGTCCACCTGCATCCACAAGCGAAGGAGGAGTATTCCCCAGCTACAAGGTAAATTCATCATAAATTGAGATGTTATGAAATAGCATACATCTTAGACCAGGGTAGCACTTTAACGCCTGCGTATCTGCATTGTGAGTTGTCTGTTATGGTTTTCAGTAGGCATGGGGTTGGGGGTTGGCACATTGTGACCACTTGTGCAAAGAGCAGGAAGTGTGCTTTGTTTAAACTGGAAGATAGCACCTAAAAGGACAGTTTGGGAGGACAGATTAAGAATAAACTAAAATGATATATTTCCAACTAATGACATGACTTACAATCAATGGGGGGAACTACTCCTGACCTGGATTTGCCTTTTTTTCCCCTTACTCAAAATAAAATGTCTTGATTTAAAGAAGTCTCTATTAAGAGGGGCTATGAGCTTATTATGGGCTTCAGGGAACACAGTAGTATAAAAAAATACTCAGTAGAAATGATGTGCAGTATCTTAAGTTTGTTTGTTTCATCTAAAAGCTTCAACTGCTGGTGCTAAAAGATATTTTATATGCTTAATTGTGGAAAAATTGAAGTTCCTTGAGTGGCCACTTGGGGCTGGCACCCAGCGGGAGTTGTCTGTGATGAAAAATCTTTGTCTGCAGCAGCCTGACTCAACATTTGTATATTGCATGTGTTCATGACAGCTATAACAGCAGGAAACTTTTATTCAAACCCCAGATTTTAACAATAACATGGCCAACAGTTATGCATGCTGCGGGGTGTTATTGCTAGCCATGTTTACGTGGGCATCCTTAATTTGGTTTAAAAAACATCAGAGATTTTTCTCAACATTGACAGGCCAAAAAAATGTATATAAAATGTTTTTGGACCAAGTGTGGAGGAGCAAGGCTGTTAGAAGTAAAATAACTAAATTGTGTCAAACGAGAGACACAATGATATTCACTACAAAAACCTTATTCAAATCATCTGGTGGAAAAAGCATGAGATAATATTTCAGCATCTTTTTAAACCTCTTCAGGATTTATATCAGATGTTTTAACTCTGCTTTTAAAAAACTTTCCACAATCTTTCACAGATTTCCTTTATTCAACGTTAACATCTAAAACAGGCAGTGAGGGTCTGAGGTGCTTTTAGGTCGTTTTGTGAGACTGATGTGTAGAGTAAAGTGTCATCAGCGAAATAATCAATCTTAAAACTGTGATTTAAGAGAACATTACCGAGCGGATGCACAAATGGTGAGAATAAAAAAGGTCCCAGATAGCTTCCTTGAGGAACGCCATGCTTCCATTCATGAGCCTCTGGTACTACTTTGATAAATATTCAATGCTGAATAATGTTTTTCTCTTCAACATTTTTCTTTTTGTTGAAGTCTGTAAAGATAAATATTTTCATAACTTGTTTTTGATCAGTGGTTGGAACACAATGTATGCTTTGCGTTGGGATTTAGAGTTTTTGTTTTACTGATGTGAAAAGTGTGTGATGCCCTTTGAACACATTTGAATGTCCCGATAAAGATCAAGAAAGAGAAGAGATCTGACACGAAATCAGAAAACTGCTCTGTTTTATCACTTTCGATAGCAATGTTGTTTTTTGTTTTTCTGTTGGTATGGTTCTTGTGTTTGAAGTAAAACTTTTCAGCATGGGAGCTTTACTAAGATATCAAATTTCTCTGCAAGTAAGTTCTAACCACGGACTGATATCATCTCTACCAACCCCCGGTTGGCACCGATTGGTTCAGCTGCTATGAAAAAAGGTTCAAAAGAGAACTGCTGAGAACTCTTTGGTTTGGGTTTCTAAAGAAAAAGTTTACGGAGTCAAACAAGTATAAAAAGTTTTGCAAAAAAAGTGCTAATAGGTTTACTGGAATATTGTTGCCATCTATAATTCCAACTTTATGAAGAAACAGAAAATGTGATATATATCAAAGTCTCAGGCCAAATGGTCGAAAAGCAAGTCAACACTTTCTGATGTTAATTTGACATGAGTAAAATGTTCACCACTTCTTTTTTCACACATTAAAAATGAACACACTTGCCCTACTTTCCCCGAATGTCGGCGTTTTCAAATGACCAAATCATAAAGAGGCATATGAAGTCATAGGAGTGTTTTTTACACAATTTCAGTCAGGATATAAAAATAAATTCGGGTATCCTGTTCCCACACCATACACATTTGTGTGTGGGTGACTGGTGTAGTCGTATGTAGGTCCTCAGGATGCTGGCCCACTATGACCGTATTTGACAGACAGTTCTGTGCGTGTGGTTGGTTTGCGGAGGAAACTCAGTGACAGATCAGCTCCGTGCAGCCGGGAGATCAGTGTTCCTAAACTCAGAGGAGTACACCTGGCCCCCCAGCAGCCTGGCCTGTGGTTTCGCAACATGCACGAGATGACAGGTTTAGAAACAACAGCAAAAACAAGACCATGACTTGTTTAATCAAAGCGATATTTCTGGAAACCAAACTTCAGCTGGTAAAAACAGCTTATGAGTCAGGTCTGAATTTAGGATGCCCTTCATTCCTATGTGACCTTTGCTGTAGCTGTTCATGAGCATTAGCTGGCCAGCTGTTTAAGTTGTCCAACATAGTTCAAAACGATTGACTGCATACCCTTAAACCAGGATGATTGCTTAAGTCAGAGTCCCCCCCCCCCCCCCACAGTTTCTTATTAAAGGAGGAATCCCTACCAGCACTTACTGTGGCTAATTCACTTACTGCAACTCCTAAATTTCAAAGTAAAGGCACCCCAGGCAGCTAATGTGGACGCTAATGGCTAACTTCCGATTATTTTGTAAAGGCATAACTTTCAGGTCAATTTGTGTCTACAACACCGTGTGGGAAAATCAACTGGAAAACACTTAGATGAAAAGCTTCAGTGTAGTGGAAGTGACAAAATAAGGAGAAAAACTGAATTTTAACATCAACACAGTCAGGGATCAGCTCTGATAACCTCAGTGCACCACCACTCTAACACTAAAACTGGTCCTGGGTCAGTGCAGCTTTAAATCAACCAATTATGTGATCTAGCATGAGTGATCAGCAGGTGTTTTCTCCTGATTTTTTAGTGTTGATGAAGTTGATTAACTACCAATCAGGTCTGGGGTTGTGTATGAGATTTCAGGGGTGACCATGGCCCCCCAAAATCACCTGGTTGGAACAAAAGTATCATGAAGATGTGATTTTTGGGATGGCGTAAGGACAAAAAGCTGATCCAACTCTCTTCAGTTTATTAATAAATCTTCATATTTCAGCTGACTGTAATCACTCAATGTAGAACATAACCCCTTGTGAGCATGAGCGTGGGAGTTTAAGTTGTGCAGGTTTGCAGCATTGCAGATAGGGGGAAAAGATCGTTATCTGTTTCCTTTGTTCTAAGAAAAAAGCTGAATTGTAGAGGTTCATTTGTTCCTGAACCAGATTCAAAGGTACAGTGAAGAAAAAAGGATATTCAGTGATCATGAAGTCAGATTGTAGAAACGTGGCTGTGCAAGATGCCAAAACTTGTTAAAGGGATATTCCGGTGTAAATTTAAGCCAGGGTCAAACACACTGTAACACTGTGTTAGTTGTACTCTCTTTGCCAAAGAAACCAGGCAAAGCTAAAAAGTTGTTTGATGGTTAGTACTATAGCTGGGACCCTATCCCTGTTGATGAAGTTAGGTGCTGTTTTGAGCATTATTTGTGGCTATAAATTGGCATTTTGGTTGAGGTTTGCGTGTGGAGATGTAGTTTGCTGTGTCTTTGCTTAAGTTGGTGGAACTGGAGAAAGCAAGCAGTCGGCAAAACTTATCTCTCGTCTAACTCATTGTTATGGTGTGTTTGACCATGGCTTAAACATACGCCGAAATATCCTTTTTAAGGTATCAAATCCAATCACAACACAAAAACCCTCAACAAAGGGATGAGTAAAAGAAAGGAACGTACTGTACATTTTAATACACTGGTTATAATAACATACACTGCTGTAGCTCTAATAGTGTAAGAGGTTGACTATGATGTTAAGAGCTGGTAGACTGCATTTCCTGAAACCATTAGCATTTTCAAAACGACTCTGGTGGTATGGCTGTTCATATAACTCTTGAATTATCTACAATAGTACATTTTATATCAGTCCAATAAGAGGCTTCGGTACACACAAAATACAGACAGTAGTTATTACATTCACATGGCAGTGATAGGCTAACAGTAATAGACACATCTGGCATGAATAAGGCAGGTTTAAGTGCTACATCGTATGTCTCATCCCTTTTCTTACACTTTGAGAACTGAGTATTTGTGATCTACACTGCGTCCTCTGAATTTTTTCTTCATTGACAGATTTCCTTCTCCATTTAGAGTAATGGAAAAGAAGCAAAGTCCAGCTTAGGTACCCCACAGACCCTGTGGTATTTCAGCAAGTCACGTAGCTCCTCATGTGCCGCTTCCCTTCAACTACCGCAGAAAAAGGGTCGAGCATTGTAACTTTTGCATCTCAAGAGGTACAATGACGTGTCCTTTAACTGGGACCGGTTTGTAGAGACAGGGGCTCAGTGTTTCCCTTAAAAAAAGCCCAGCCATACTCCTCATCTCCCAGTGTCTCAAACACCATCTCCACACAGTGTCCTTTCACAGTCCTCCTTTTATAACTGGGTGTCTTTGGTAAAGCGTCTGGTCCTCCTGTCTCGACGCTGAGCGGCAGGGTGGTGGCAGTAACGCGGCGACCATCCTCGGGGCTTCCTCTTGAGGCTACGTGGCATGCTAGGGTCTGGGGGGGCTGGTAGTCAGGCCTCCTCGGCTGTGGCGTCTATCCCAGCGTAGGTGAAGTTCTCAAAGAGAGCCATGTTCACATAAGCCTGGGGGACAGATAGAAACTTGTGATTTGTGTCACAGTCATTGGTTAGCGAAGTTTCTCAATATTTGGTAAACGGACTTCAGAAGTGTTGAAAAACTGGTGTTTTACCCCTGCAAGACAACAATTCTAAGTAGTTTGAAGTTGGTTTATTCCAGGATTAACACTGTGTCAAGAAACCTGATAGGTGATAACCAAATTTCATCAAGGTTAATTTTTTATTTGACTTGTGTAAGGCCTGATTCATCAAGCCTGTCTAAATGGTGAGCATTTCAGTCTTTGTATGTAACTAACACTGAAGGTAATTTACAACCATGATCAGATCCTTAATGTGTACAGGTAAACTGCAATAAATTATATACCAATATTATGGACATTTTTTTTTCAAAGTAACTTAAAAGAGTAAACTTTTAATTTAATATTTTCAGAAATGCTAATTTTAGTTCAAGATTGGATGATTTGGCCTCAAAGTTCATTAAAATAAAAAATCCTGCAATACTCTCTGACAGCAGTCAAAAATAAGATTACTTCACTGTAGCTTCAAACTTCTCCAAGTCAACCAGGAAACAACCAGCCTACGAAACTGCTGATGTGTTTCTGAAGCTGTGGTTGTTTTGATAGCTTTATTTTAAGGTCAAATGTTTCTCATCGTTTCCACAGATACTATCGGCTTCTGGTTGGGCAAGCTGACCGGCCAATTCAAATCAATCAGATATGGGCGGCAAACCATTGTGTGAAAATTCTGGCATTGTGGGCAGGTGCAAAGTCTAGCTGGAAAGGGAAATCAGCATCTCCACGAAGCTTTTTAGCAGAGAGAAGCTTGAAACACTCTAATATCTCCTAGCTGCAGTGACTTGAAAAGAGGACCAACACCAGCTGATAACATGGCAGTGAATTCATCACAGACTGCAGAAACCTCAGTAACATCTTAGATCCATCTTGGATCATCTTGAGGTCATGTTTACTTTATAGGACATTTTCCTGTTATTCCCTTTCTTCTGAAACTGTGTTTTGGAAGCCTTACCTTCCTGGCCTCCTGCATCCTGTTGAGCTGCACAGAGATTTGGGAGAAGGGGGGTCTCTCATGGGGCCGATCCCTCCAGCACTGCTTCATAAGCTCATAACTGAACGGAGGAAGAAGAATTGATAAATTTAATGAAATAAAAGCAAAGAAGCAACTTGTTATCTTAAGTGTACTGGATACTCACACTTCGTCATCACAGTTTTTAGGTTTCTCCATCCTGAAGCCTTGTGGCAGTTTTTCATACAGCTCAGCACACGTCATCCCGCAATATGGTGTGCCACCTGACACACACAAGAAGAAGTGAAAATATGAAGCTTGCACTACTGTGCTACTTTGTCCTGTATATGTGTAAGTTGGGATTTCTAAAAAAAAATCTCTCGCTTCATTATTTAGATTAATCTCTGCTGTGTAAAATGTAAAAATAGAAGGGACTCAGCCTGACCCAAACCTACCCCCTAAAGAAGTTTCAAACAACCATTTTTCAACAACCTAACTTGTTACTGATGGTCTACTTAGCCTCTGTTTATCATTTACAGTCATTAATGCTAATTTCGGTCAGTTTTGAGAGCAGAAAAAAACTCCTCAAATATCATTTTTTAAGGGGGGTTATCATCAGGTACAACACCAAAAGGCCTCAAGGCAGCCATACTGCATGCAGCTGTGACTGGCCCAAGCCTAAATCTGTCTGAACATGCAGATTTGTCTAGTTCCCTAGTTGCTGCAGCTGCGCTCAGATTAAACAGTAAATGGGTGTAAACAGTAAAGCCTGTGTGCTGAATGCCGTTTGTTCATTTTGAGGCTGTTGTCTCACTTACCTAAGCTGACAATTTCCCAGAGGAGAACACCGAATGACCACCTGTGAGAGATGCAGAGGGAAAAATATTAGAGGACAAAAAATAAAATACGAGGAAAATATGAGGCAAGTTAATACATGAGGCACATTTAAACAATTCAAAGTGTTTCAGACAACACAGTTAATCAGGGATGTCAAACTCAGACTGACTGAGGGCTTAAAGGAGGGTCATTTCAAAGTATCATACTTCTTTAAGTGTACTTTTTTTCTGCATCAGCTTGTAAAGATATTTTTGTGTCTTTTGGAAACGATCCTGTTTGGGACCCTTGCATCAAAAGAGTCATGATAAAAGTCAGTAAACAAAACGATGTTTAGAAGTTATTGAATAAGACATAAAAAATCTCGACAAAGAGAGACTAAAAACGGCTTAAACTCCAGCATAAGTTACAGTGCAGTGTTTCATAATAAAAATAGGTATTCAAATGATGTGTCCCAGCTGTAATCAGGTAGATCCAACATTATTTTAAAGAACTTGTCCCATATTCAGAACATACCGTATGCTGTGCCCACTGCCCAGCATAAGTCAGTACACCCTCTATTAAAAGTAATGTATTACTCAAAATCTAGATGAGCAAAAGTAGAATTTCCAAAGTTTTGACAAAGCTGAGTTTAACATTTTATTTACCATTAGATGAAAATAAGGGTGATGTGGTAACTAAGATTTAGCTTCGCTCCCAGAACTTTGATTGAGGTGTACTCATTTTTGCATCCTGATTTTAAAGCAATGGTCTACCATTTGAAAGCTTGGTACTTATTCATAACACCGTTTATAAGGCTGTTATGGTCCGATTTACGCAATATAAAGATCAAAAAGAACGAAAAAAAACCATTCAGTATATTTGCTGCAAAAAGGCATAATAATCGACCAATCCAGACTGCCGTACCCCGGCGGTTTGGATTGGTCCGTAAATCCATCCAATCCCCTGTCTCCCCTGCTCCACACCGTCCCGCCCATGGTCCCGCCTATTCCTCACTACCCCCTCAAGTACATGTGATTAGCAAGCTGCACAGCTGCTGAAGCGTAATGGCGCCGGAGAAGACAAACACCAAAACCAGGAGGCCGCTTCTGTTACCCTCCACATCGAAGGGAGGGAAACGTAAAAGTTTCGAGGAAAGGGCTGAAGTAAGGAAGAAATAAAAGCGATACAGGTGCCAACGGAGAGTCTACATTGGAGAAACGTACGACCGGTGTTGTGCCGTGGAATGCACCCCTGCCAAATGCACCCCTTCATCCCATCCACTCATTAGCTGTCGACTGTCAAGTCAGAGAACATTGTATTTTCGGGACAGTAAATATTCCGAATCAGAGGTCTATTGTTTTCGGCTTATCTGAATAGCCTGAATGAAATCGTTAAAGGCACACGTTTTTGAATCCATCCAACGGTGAGGGAAACTTGGATTATATCGCCTTGTTATGTACTTTCAACCGCGCTCCCGTCAGGGGAGCATTCTACAGCAGGGGTGCATTCTACGACAAAACACCGGTGGAAAAAGCTGCAGACGGATTTGGGACTGAAAACTGCCGCTGGGACAGCCGAGTTTCTGTTGAACAGGTAATTACTTTGTTTACTACAGTGGGAGATGTCTGCTGAATAACCCTGGTTAGTCTGTGCCTATTTTGGCGAATGACTGAATGTTGTTGGTCGGGACGGGTAGGCTCTGTCAATAGATATTAGCATAAGTTAGCCGCGGATCTTTAGCATTATAAACTGAGCTGGTTAAGACACGCCGAGAAAGGTAAAGCCTCGCTCACAATCGGCTCTGCTCTGACCGACTAGCAGTGGCGACGCCAGACCCGCTTTGCCCCGCTAATATATGGTTTTGATCGCCCCGGTCCGATTGCAATGGCTACCACTGTGAACTACTGCTGATATTTTCTGCCGGCCGGCTTCTTGCTCTATAGGAGGGGGCGTGTTGTTTAGAGGCGACACGAGCCTCATAACACATAATATAAATCTTTCTCCCTCCTGCTTGTGATGTTGACATGTAGTTACAATAAGACTGATTTTTCTGTACAGCTCCGTTTTTAAAAGTTATTAGAGGGTTCATGTTTTCTATGATTGACACTTGATACAGCCTATGGGCGTTCAGGGATTGCGTAGCTCTCCCGGGGGATACGCTGTTTGAGCCGAGCGTCATCACAGTGACTCTCTGCGACTGTGCGGCTGAATGCACGCATCGCTACTGCGCAGAAATGAAGAAAAGTCACGGAAATATCGAGAGCTATTTTGGCTCCAAATCCGTATACAGGTGGTAGGTGGAACCAAGTTGTCCATAGTATATACAGTCTATGTTCTCAACAGCCAAACTGGTTTTCAGATCGTAGACCATAGCTTTAAATGGGAGACATATTTTTTTTTTATATGCAACTTCAAAAATCTTGTTTGCAATCAATGGTTTGCAATCATTTGGGGAAGTATTCTTGTATAGTCTGACATAGAAAATGTTGATTTTGAGAGGAAACTAAAGGTTTTCTGTCAACTCTGAAGGGCTGTACTCATTTATGCTGAGCACTGTATATGTGGTTTTTAATTGAAAAACATTTTAAATGACACAAGTTTCACTTTATACCTGCTAAAATTTTTGTTTTTTTTAATGTTTTGCTACATTAAACTGGATTTAGTTGATGTTTTTTGATGAAGTATTTAGTCCAGTCTGCCTCAAATGAATGTACTCTCCAGCTGTGTTGATGTGTAAAACCCTCTGATCCCCATACGCAGTAAAGAAAAAACCCCAAATGACTTCATTTGGGGATTTTGATGATAAAATCAGTGCGTGCAAAGTCTGATAAGAAAACCACTGAATGTCTCTAAAACATCTTTTTTTTACTCTGATTGAAGAAATAATCGAAGGAAAAAAAACAGCAGCTACACATGTCTTAAAGCCGTGCGGTCGATCATATGAGCAGACAAGAGCTGCTTGTGCCGTCAGTCTGTTCCCTCGTCCCTGTTAATCTAATCTCATTCCTGCACCATGTCTCGCGCCGACTCTGATCTTGTTCTCTTTTCGTACATTCTGTTTCTGTTACTAATGTTTACAACTGTCTCGGACTCCACAGGCTTCTCACGTCTTCCGTTAGCTGTCCGTCTCAGGCTCTTCTAGTCTTCGTATAAATAGGCCTCTTTTTGACAGACCGACGTCCTGGTCTGTCTGCTAAGTTGTGCTCTGAGTTTCCTGGTTGGGCTTATCAGTTACACAGCACGCTATTATCACTCCAGCAGTGACAGGGGGGATGATTTGTTGTTTTCTGTGGGAGGGAGTTGTGTGGTGTCAAGTTAGCAGGCTGAAACAATGTTCATGAAGTTCCCATGATGCAATGAAAAAAACAAGAAGGAAGAGGTATGATAGTGAGACGTTGTGGATTGGAGTTTGGTGATTGGTGGAAAATTTCAGGAAATGACAAACACCAGAGGTTTGTCTCATTTCTCAGGATGATTCCCAGACCTGTAACTTTGAATACAGACCCGGTGCAAAAACATGAGAATCATCTAAGCACTCACTGGATGATTCCATAAGACCACACACTTAACATTTGTTGACGTGAGCTCTCACAGAAGCACTCAGGCCTTCTTCTAGCAGAAAACATCTGGTGCCTCTACTTGGGCATCAAGACACTGGCGTTTTTATCAGGGATGTTGTGCAAACTAGAAAAAATTCACTCTGCTACTTAAATACTGGCTTTTGGACATGTACAGACAATTTTAAGGTGGTTTGTTTTCTTTTTAGGATAATCAGTGCTTGAGTTTCAATTTATGTAAACTGCAAATAAACCATCAGACAGCTGACTGGTGACACTTTCTTGTCTGCTCTTCTCATTGGTTAATGTTGGCTTTTTGTCGGAGGAACTACAACCTGGACTTGTAAAGAGTAAACATGCGTGATATTTACAATCCCAGATCTGGAGCAGTCAAATTGTTGTTTGGACACAGGGGTGTCCCAATACAACTTTTTTACTTTCAATACGATATCGATATTGTAGCCTTCAGTATCGGCCGATTCCAATTTTGACCTGATACTAGCACAAACTTATGCATGACAAGTTTTGCACTCAGCTGCAACATCTTTTCCGGACTTAAACAAAAAATACTGCCACACAGCCGACATCACTCCTACTCCTTGCTACTTTGTTAGTACCTTAGTACTCACTGTTGTTGTTGTTATGATCATGTGGGCTCTGTATGCTGGATCCGGGCGCTGCTAGATAGAAGTGTCAGAATGGAGTCTGGAATGGACTGCTTGTATCAGAGTGCTGATACTAGAGATTTTAGATGCAGGCCGATAGAATCGGATTTTTGTTTTTTGGCTGATATTTGATATCAATATTGTATCGGGACAGCCCTATTTTGACACCAAACACTTGAGGATTAATTTAATGAATAATCAATTACAATGAGCCCCCAATCATCTAGGATTGCAAATCAGGCCCTTAATCTGGCCATAGCTATGTCAGAGTCGGGCCAGCCTTAGATTAGATGTATGGGACTCCTGTGTGTTTCCAGAAGCCAGTTTTCCCTTTTATAAAATGACAATTGCAGATTATGAAGTGCTATCTAAAGAGCTCAAACTTAACTCTGAATGATACAAATCCATATTATATATGAAGATATATCTTTGCCAGAAGAAACCCTGATCATCACCACATCCTTGAGGTTTAGGTAATGTTTAGGTTACCCTAAAGATAGGTGTTTTCAACTTATTTACACAGAAAAGAAATCTCTGAGGACGGCTTGAAGTCTCCACTGAGTGTCATGTTTAGAGAATATTAGGGAGAGTAGGACCTTTTTGGATTAGTCCATCATCTATGCCATCTGAACAGTCAACTCTGTAACTCACACATCACTCTTGGTGGTGTACACGCTGTAGTTCAGAGACTCAATGGCCATCCAGCGGACAGGCAGCCTCCCCTGAAAACAGAGGAGCAGATTATCTCAAATCACAAACTGTAAACAAATGGACAAAAAGAGAGTTTGACTCTGTGTGTCACAAATGTAGACTACTGTTGATGTCTGTTCAAAACACTGTGTTTAATAATATCAGCACATGACTGCCCTCTTCTGGTCATTTCATTTGTATCACAGTCTCCCAGTTATGGAAATCAAAATAAAGACAAGGAGGAAAGAAGATCAAAAAAAGGCAAAAACAAAGTTAGAAATCTGAAAAAGTGAAACTGTACGTCCTGAGCACTCACCATTGTCTTCTTAACATACACCTCCTCACCGCGGGACAGTCCAAAGTCTGCGATCTTCGCCACAAGGTTGTCCCCTACGAGGACGTTCCTGGCTGCTAAATCTCTGTGGATGAACTAGGAAGGAGAGAGTAGAGGACAGGAGAAGAGAAACATTATCAGTAAAATTACTCACAGACACAAGACAACCGCCAACAATTCACGCTCCATATCCCCCTACCTGTTTGTCACTCAGGTAATGCATCCCCGTCGCCACATCGACAGCAAACTGCAGTAGCTGCTGGGAGGTGAGGGTGGAGGCCGTGCCGTGCTCTTTGGCAAAGGCGGGGTCGGTCTCCAGCACTCTGCTCTTCCTCAAGAAGTCAAGGAGGTTACCATAGGGAGCGTATTCAATGGCTATGTACAGGTAGCCTGGAGAGGACAGAGAGGGGGTAACATTGTGCATCTAGAGTTTAACGGTTAAATACTAACTTTTGTGGTAAAGTTAGTTTATGTGCACAGGAAAAAAAGTTCAGTATAAGACACACTTCTGGTTCAATTCTATTTTTCTGTGCTCATGCAGAATAAATCAAATAAGAGAAATCCTGTGAACAGGAAACAAACAGCAAAATGCCAAAACCAGCAGTTGAGTTATGGTCTGGGAAATCATGTATTTTACTCTCTGTTGTAATAAACATTTAAACAGATTTTCCTGTTTCAGCACCAAGAACCACACAGCTGTGTAACGTGTCCAAGACATCAAATCTAACTCCTTTTAAACGGACCGTTCGTCTGCAGCCATTTCCCTCCTTATGTTTTAGCTTCATTTACGAGCTGGTTTTCCTAATTCCTTATTTCCTCAGTACCTTTCCTTCCTTCAACTCATCTATCCTTCCTTCACTCTCTGTCATTATTTCCACCTCTCCTTCTTTCTACACTTTCTTTCATTCTTCTACTCTAATGTCTGCCTTGCTATTTTCTTTCCATACTTCCCTCTGTTCTTCCGTCTTTCCTTCCTATGTCCTTCTTTCTTTCCTTCATTACCTTCTATTATCCCTCTTTCCTCTCTAGTTTCCTTTCTCATTCCTTTCTCCTCCCTTCTTTTCCTTACTTCTTTGTTACTTCCTTCCTCTTCTCCCACTTTCTTTTCTCCAGTCTTCAGTCTTTCCATCTCTTTTCTCCTAACCCTCTATCCTTCCTTTCTTTCTTCTATCTTAACTCCGTCCTTCCTTCTATCCTACCTTCCCTTCTTCGGCCTTGTCATTACTCTTACATTTCACTGTTAAGTCTGAACTCTTTTCCTACCTCATTCCACATTCCTTCCTCCCTCCCTTCCTTCCTTCCTTCTTCCATCCTTCTGTCTATCCCTCCTCCTATTCCTTTCTTCTCATTTCTCTTTTTCATCCTCTCTGCCTTAAATTCTTCATCCGCTTCTGTCTTTGTTCTACTCGTCTTTCTGTTTTCTTTCTTACTCCATTTTTCATTTTGCCTCCCTTATAATCACTTTTATCCTTCCCACCAACTTCCTTTACTCACTTGTTCTCTCCTAAATCTAAAGTATGACAAGTTATTTGTATATTTGAGGAGACTCTTCACACTTCAGATTCTCGTTCAGTTTATATGACTGATGAGGACAACCCCTCTTAAATATTATTCTGGAGGTTAAGGTTAAGGGACAGCACCTTTCTAGTCTGCTGTATTTCTACTACTCTTTATGTGAACTGCCACTGACACTAATTCACACAGAGTTTGTGGTTTGGTGTCTCCTCTACAGACCTTCGTTTTCAGCCTGAAAGAGCAGGGGAACGACTCTCCTATCAGGGGGTAACCCGCTCTACTTGGGAAACCACGGCAGAAAAAAACACCTAATTACTCAGAGGTTTATATTTCAAGGCTGATTTGCTTTCCTAATGTTCTCACTCGTGTACTGTCTGTAGAAGACTTCCCCTCTCATATGTTATCAATCTTTGATCAAACAAAGCGAGTCAATTATTCATTGTGGAAATAGCTGCGGGAAACTGATACTCTGTGTGAAGTACTGCTGCCAAGGAAACCTTATACAAATACATAAATGTATGACACAGCAGTGAGCACGGGATACTCAAATAAATGAGCAAAACACGGGCTGCGGTTATTTAGACTGGACCGATTCTTGAGGTTTGCAGGTGCAGAGGGTGGAAGATCAGATGGGAGTGAGATCAGAACAGAGAGTCTGTTTGGATCTCAGGGAGGAGTTAACTGTTTCCTTCACTAACAGGAGAGCGTGTCATGATATGTTCTTTTAAATCAGTTTTCTCCTGGTTTTGTTAATTGAATGCATATTCTAGTGTTTCTGTTCCCCATTGTAGGGTGACTATATGTCTTCTTTTACCCGGACATGTCCTCTTTTTTGGAGGGATGTCCGGCCTTGTCCAGCTTTGTCCAGGGAAGTTTATAAAATCCTTCAAATGTCCACGGTTTTGTATGGAAGTTTGGAGTTTGTGTCACATGGACTTACTGAGTTAGAAGCTCATAAAAGACGCTCGATTCAACCCGGAAAACTCTCAAAATTAACTTTGTGTGACTCCGCCCCCTGCGTAGTTGTATCCTCTTTTTGGAAAGTTAGAAGTCACCCTACCTAGTTATCCTGTTCCCTGTGATCCTGTCTTGTGAGTTATTAGTTCCTCATGTTCTCAGTGTTTTTCTTTAGATAAGTTTTCAGTGTTTCCTGTTTTATTTTGGAGTAGTCCATCCTTGTCTGTATAGTCTTGTTTTACTTCCTCAGTAATTGTCTGCACCTGTGTCTCAGGGTCTCACCTGCCTCTTATTGCTCGTTTCCCTATGTATAGATAGTCCCTGTCTTTCCCTGTATCTTTGTTGGTTCATTGAATGTTTTTCTATATGTCTCAGTGGAAGTCGATGTGTGAATCCCTAGACTGCGTTTACACGTGCCTGGCTATTTTCATAAATGGACATTTCACCCTCTCCGTTTACCAAAAAAAAAAAAAAACTGTGTGCACACAACTACGTTTTCAGAAAAGTTTTTGTTTTCACTAACCCGTGTATATTTGCCATCAAGAGCATGCCAAACCTGTTGCCAGAAGCTCAAGCCCACATTAGCCAATATGAATCTTGCATAGCAGCAACAACAACAACGTCCCTTCCTTCTTCCTTCTCCACAATCTACCAAAATCTCAGTTTCTCTCTGTTTACATGCAAAGTTTTAAAAGGAATTTTTAAAAAGCATCGTTTTCTGGGGGCAAATTCTCCGTTTGCATCTAACCAAAGGGTGCAAACAATGGCTAATGTCTGTTTTTAAAAATAACCGGGTATGTTTAAACACAGCCTTAATGTTTATTTGTCCCAGTGAAAGTCGATGGGCGAATCCCTAGTCTCCTTGTAGTTTTTCCTTTGATTGGTGTATCAATCTCAACAGAGCGATTCTTAAGTGCAATCTTTTTTGCATGTTGACTTAAGGAGACAGACTCGTCAATCGTTTGTTCAGTCTAAAAGTGTCCTAAAGGATGCCGGTTCAGTTCATGAGCCAGTTTGATGAATAAAATCATAAAAGCAAACTTAAGACCTTCAAATTCAGATGTGACATTTACTTAGCTTTGACCTTTCAGCAGGTGATTTTATCACTTTTTTAAGCAAGGACGGAGTTCAAGAGAAATATTTCTAGTTCCAGTGAGCCAAATTTTTATGCTTCACATCAGAATAGTGAGCTAGGAAATTAAATGTTGCTATAGTAGCATTTACTTTATTCACGGACAGAAATTTGTTGTATTACAGGTCAGATTTCGTCAAGAGTGCCTGGCTGCAGAAACAGCAGAGCTCTGTAAGTGCATGCACAATTTGACTTCCTTGGACTTCCAATTTCTTTCAACATCTGAGGTCAACTTCTAACTGCACTTGTCCTTGCAGTGGCTTTGACTGGGTATGTACTTATGGAGGTCTGCTGTGTCTGCAACCCGGTTCTTGTTCATTTTATTCAGTTTGATTTTTTAAAATCAGAAATGCATGTTTATTATAGCATGCATGTCTGTCCTGAACAACAGAAACTTACTTTTCAATAGATTATTCATTCAAGATTCATTCAATAAAAATACAACAGCCTTCTTAGTATCGTAGTCAAAACTCGTATTTGTATCACTCGTGTGCCTCTTCCTCCAAACTCAATATCATGCCTATTTACAATCAGTGCACCTTAAAAAATCTCCACTTAAGTTCACAACACGGCCACTAGGTGTCGCTCTCTCACCTCTGTTCTCACAGGCTCCAATCAGGTTGATGATGTTGGGATGCTGGCCTAGTTTACACAGCACCTCCAGCTCCCCTGCGAAGTCTCTGTGGTCATTCTCCGAAGCGAACTCTGCAGGAAGATCGGCGCACGCAGCGGGGTTAAACAAAGTGCAAACTCAGCAGCTCCGGTTCTTGTCTTTGAAATGAGATTTTGTGATACATGCGGCGTGTCTGCACGTATGTGAGCGCTCATACAGATGTGTTTACCCTTCAGCATCTTGATCGCCGCGCTCATCTTATTACCGTCCTTCTTGATCATGGCTTTGATGACCTGGTTTTGAAACAGTAGTTAGTTTGAATGTTTGATACAATCTGAAAGGAATCTGAAAGAAGTAGAAAAAGTAAAGAGTAAACCTGGCCAAAGTTCCCTTCTCCAATGACATCTTCAAACTTGATGTCCTCCCACTCCAGGATTGGATAGGTGAGGGGCTCTGGTGTTGGTTTAGGCCTTCGTGTCAGGGTCAGGGTTCCTGAGTTAAACTGAAGGATAGTCTCCTCACCCTGGGGGTACAAATGGACTTAAAGTCTAGTGAAAACAGTTTTATCGTAGGGATAATTTTCTGAAATTGGCTGCCTGTGTATCAGAACTTGATGCAGATCTTAAATCACAAGAGAAGTGGGGTCTTTTTCCTGTCTGGTTTTACGCAATCTGCAACCATTGGAGTCTCCCAGGATGCAGATTTTGGCGGTTTTGGCCTCAGTTTTGCAACCAGTAGCCAAACTTTCCACATAAAAACTACAGATGAGTCAGACTAATCTTAGGACAGTCTCAGTGTTGAGTCTTAAACTTACCGATCCAGACTGGTAGGTGAACGTGCGCCGACGGTTCAGCAGCGTCTTGCGGATGAAGAAAAGAGCCAGCAGAGCCAGCAGGATGGTCACACAGGTGACTGTTACTGAACCCACCACCGCCACCAGCAGCTGGTAACTGTCCCCGTTAGGCCTCCCAGCCACACCCTGGGTGGTCGGGGTCAAACTCTGAGGACCTTTTCAGGCAAAGAAGAGGAAAAGAGAAGGGAGGACAGGGAGGCAGGATGAAAGATGGAGAGAGAAAACCCAAATATGGAGATGAGGATGATTTTCAGATACCGTACATTAGTATGCTGTCTATGAAATATTACCCAGAGTGCATCCCTGTCTCTGTGTGGGTGGTCCTCTTTAACCACACCTCGGGAAAGAACTGGCTAAGTGTACAGTAGTGGAGAAACTATCCAGTGGGAGTGATTTTAGTTTGAAGGGGAAGTAAAGTGTGTCCAAGAAACTTTTGAAACATGTTTATATCAGTACACTGCACATTTTTCAGCATTCCTTTCTGAGAGGACGCCACATTCCAGAAAAGTGAGAATTTTCCACATTTTTACCGCTGCCTCACCAACGCAGGGAGGAAAGGACGACTCAGCCTTCTCAAACTTTTCTCAAACTAAGTTCCATCTTCAGGTCACAGAGCTTTTCTAACTCACATTTCAACATTTCGAACATTTCTGAAAGTGTGTGTGTTAGATTCAGAGATAAGAATGCTGAATAAAGGGAGAGGTGGGAAATAAACTAGGGCTGGGCGATATGGCCTCAAATCAATTCCACAATATATCTAGCAGTTCACCTTGATAACGATAAATGCACGATAACTACTCCAGAAGCTGCTTATCCCTTCCCACATTAACTTTCTCTACTTCAGCCGCTACAACTTTTGAACCATCATCCATCTCCTCACCTGTCTTTCCCTCTTAGTTACGGACTGGATGGGGTGGAGGCACGTCTCTGACGTAGGACAGCGTCCTAAAGGGACATGAGACCATAGCCTACCTACACACATCCAAAACCAACTTTTATTTATTAATGTTTTTGACACAGAATATACTGACATGGGCAAAATGACGTAAATCGTAAATTTCGGTATTGGTAAATTTTCAGTTTAACGCCCAGCCCTAAAATAAACAACATAAAACTTCAGTCACTGTTTTTGTACGTAATAACATCGCTGCACTTTTGTACATTCCACTTAAAAACTCCCAGACGACCCAGCTGACTTAAAGACTTAAAATTTTATGGTTTGAGCTGAAGCAACTGACTATAAGCTGAGCATACAGGTTAAAGTTTATCAAATATAAGTCCTAAGTCAATAAAATTCTAAGGGTCACTTTTTAAATTTTCGGTACCGACTGAAAAACTTTTTTTAATGCAAATAATAGAATTAGGTTTTAGATTGCATTTCTTTGTGGCAATGCCGAGACGCTAAGGCAGAGGAACTACCGTGTCTGCAGTGCTATAGTTTTTGTTACATAAGTCGGTATAACTAGAGAAGCAAGCAGTCGGCAACATTCATCTCTCGAGGGGGGTGTCTAAGTGTTACGGTGTTTTTGACCCAAACTTAATTTTACGCCGGAATATCCCTTTCACTGCAATTTTAACAGCTGATTGACTGCCCTGCTTCTATGTCGTACACCTTTGGAGGTTAGCAGAGTCTGACTGACTTCAAACAACCCCCCACTCACCATCTTCTTGTGTCATCGCCTGCACCACCTTGCTCCACTCTCCGGGAACTTTGGAGAAAGCTCGCACTCTGAACTGATAGAACGTGCTGCTGTTGAGCGCCGTCACATCTTTGGAGGTTTTGTTCCCGTCGTCTGTGTCCACCCAGGGGTGAGGGCTGCCCTGACCCACAGGCTGGTACTCTATGATGTATTTAATGATGCCTCCGTTGGGGTCTTCGGGAGGCTGCCATGTCACCTGGATGGCTGACACAGACAGAGCGTGGGCCTGGACGTTGCGTGGGGATGATGGACCTGAGACAGAGAGAGGTTTTACAGAAAAGCTGATGGATCTTAGAGTAAATCTTACAAAACAAGATCACCTCATAGATTTATTCTGACATGAGTAGAAACCTACTAAGCTGTTTCTTGATGATTGCAAACTAACTGAATCTGAATGATCTCTTGCTTAAGTTTTGACTTAAAGTTTGTGGGCAGAGAGAGAGCAAAGAAGTGAACAGCAGGGCAGCAGGTTTTAAGACTGTTCAGGACTGATAACCAACAGATCCATAGATCCAGGACCCCTAATGAGTCACCCAGCTGTGACCAACACTTGATCCTGACTGGTCAAAACCTCCCCGATGAAGGTTATTAACTTCGAATATCAAGAGTGACATGATAGCGTCATCTCCTCTTGATTATAGTCTGAATTTATTCAGAAAGCAGACTGGTGTTCAGCTGAGAAATGAAAATAAGAGAAACTGCAAAACACACAAGGAGCAGCAGAGGGAAGGAGACATCAAACAAATGAAAGAAAACAGAGACATGGTTTGGATTGATGGGACTGGCTGAGTAAGAAGAGAATCCCAACAGAAAAGAGGGTCATACAAAGGCTCTGCTATTTTCAGTTTCTGTAAAAATGCTGACAGAAAGGTGAAAAAAAAGTTCAGTTTAATGTTAATTAAAACCTGAAATTAAGCTGATGAGTACTGTTGCCAGTGAAGTGCTATCAATCTTCAAAACAGAGGCATGATTGTTTTATCTGCGCTAATACTTTGTTTTTATTCAATGAAATCATCTCTAGATCAACTGAGGGTCAAGTTGTTTGTATTTTTAGTCCCTGGATAATGTGTGGAATGATTTTAAATCCAGATTTAAGACAATCTGCATAGTAAAACTAACTCATTTTAAACCTGGGAGTTTAGGGAAAGTAACTTACTTTCAGTTTCTTTGCTTTTCTAAGAGGACGATGAATTTTTAATTGAAAAAGACATCAAAATATGATGGAGTTTTAAGTCCACATGAAAGAAAGCATGACAATTTTATTCACAAAATCCTGTCCTTTTATATTAATCTTGTAGTTATAAATGTTACCTTGATATCTTCATATATATTTTTTTCTCAATGTGGCTCTAATTCTTTGTTGTGCTCTATGTTTGGTGCTCTAAATTTACCAATGTGCGTGTTTCTGTTCCCTGTGTACAGAAGAAAACGTGTTTTATTTTTAGTTTCTCTCTATTTTAAAAGTATTTCAAAGGTTTTTAAAGTTTCAGCAGCTTAATGAATCATGACTAACAGAACAAAAGAGAGCACTGGAAATGCTGAAGTAGAATAATAAACTAAGCTTGTGAATTTTAGAAAGTGGTTTGGTCTTCTTGAGTGGGATCCAGTTTTAAATTTTTGGGTAAATGTTTCAGTCTCTTTGAAGTGGGGAAGCTGCACACTCACACGGCTTACTGCAACATTCATAAGGAGCTCTTCCCTGCAGCTCATGAACAGCAGAGTTTCTAGTTACCCTGGCTGCTGAGGCGGAAGTGGTATGGTTTGGAGGGAGGCCCCTGGCTGCCACAGTTGATGAGGCGCACCACCACCTTGTAGTCTTTCTGGTACTCCAGGTTGTGGAACTTAGTGGAGAGCACGGTGAGCAGGGTGGTTTCTTCCAGGAGTTTCTCACTGTGAGGCGGAGGCCCGATGAGCTGCACTAAAAAGCCGCTGGCTGTGCGGGCATTAACGTCACTGTTGGGGGGAAGGCGCCAGCGTACAGTGGCATTACGACCCTCCACTGAGCTGATGTCAATCTCAGGCTGAACTGTGGGCTCTGCAGCGACAGAGAACACAGAGTGAGCTGAAGGGACTGACAGCTCTTTGTGAGTTTCCCCTTATAAAATGTCTGGATACGTTTTCTGGATAGTTGCATCAATTATGTAACATTTAGTCTGACTACAGCTGATAGGATTGTTAGCTTACAACACGAAGATACATCCTAAACCCTGTTTTAAAATACTAATTAGGAAGTGTCTAAAACACATGCAGCTTGACAGGAGACCTGAATGGATTTGCATGTTTGCGCCTCCTAAATAACTAAACAATTCTTCACTTTTATGGGCAACAAAGTAAAACTTTCAGTTTGTATTAGGGGCCCACTGTGATAATATCAAAACACAGCAATGCTGCAAGAATCAATATAGTGGAGAGTGGGGTAAGATGAGCCATTTTTCATATTTCGGATCACTGCATCAAGGCAATCATAGTTTGGTCTCTAACTAGTGTATCTGCATATATTTCAAGATGTTGTTCATCCCTGCAAACCAACTTTCAAGAGTGAAAAATGTTTTTTTGGAAATAAATGTCTAACCCCTTCTTCATCCATGTGCTTCTAACCTTCACAGACTCCATTAAATGATGTCCATCTCCTAAATATTTGGTCACATGATCAATTTCTTTTACCATTTCCAAACAACAGGGGGTGGCTCAACTTACCCTTCGGCTCAACTTACCCCAGTCTCCCCTATTGCAAAACAATCAAGCCTGATTTACTCATGCCATCAGCACCATCACACAGCATGATGGAGTACTGATGTGGTGAGCCTTATTTATCCTATTTGAATATCAATATTTGGCCCTCAGCGTATTGATATTTGTATCACACAGCTCAGGGGAACCATATATTGCTGTTTTGATATTTTATTCCCCCCTAGCATGCATAAACTACTTATTTTGTTCAAAATCCTCCCATCTTTGAATAAACAGGAGAACTAAAAAAAGTCATAAGCTACAGAGAAATATTTTTGGACATCCTTTCAAAATTTAAAGAAGCTATCAAGAGTCTGAATGATTTTATGTAGCTTCAGGAATGGATAGCAATCATAAATGCTGCACCATAACCCATTTAAATGAGACTTCTCACTCCATAAGTGGCGGTTTAGTACACTATTAAAAAAAGTTTCTGCTTGTTCGAGAGACAAACTATCCCTGTGACAAACAACATTTGTTCTGCCTTATGGAGCAGACCACATCCTGCCAGCCAGAGACTCACATTAAATACAGCTCTGTGCTCTGATACTCCATTTCAGTCTCCTGGACTCACTTGTTATGCTCTCTCCTCCTGCACCACAAACACTTAGGAATGAAATCCCAGATTCTGCCAAATCGATGCAGGTTTAGCAAAGTTAATTAATGACTGATGAGAAATATTTATTATGGTTTGCTCTCACAGGAATCTTTATTTTATCTGAGAGGAGACTTCAAATATAATTCATCTTCTATATTTGTCTCAGTCTTGAGACATCTGGGTAGCTACGCTCACTGGGGAAAAGACAATTGGCTCCCTGCAGCCTGGGAAAAAACACTGCAGAGGAAAAATAAGGAGATTTTTCTATTACTGTCATCCTGCCACTAGATAATAACTCTCCTCTGGGCTCTGCAGACCTGAATGTGAACATCTTTCCCTTGGCGAGACTTCCTGATAGACGTACTCATGTGCAGTGAGGTATGTGATCCTGTTGACTGGGCAGGACAGATATTTGTGGTTCTTACCAGGACAGTCAGTCTCCATGATGGCCTCTGGCCCTGGGGCCCCTTCTCCTCCTACCCCAGGACGACTCAGCTGGACACGGACTCGGTAACGGGTCAAGGGCTCCAGATTCACGAGCGTGATGGACTCGTTGTCAGTATAAACTAGAGAGAGCAGATTAAAGAGGATTAGACTCATGTTTTGTCCCATCTGAGCGTGGTCTCTGCTGCTGGACCTGTTATGACTGACTGATACTGGACCATGTGGAAATGCTTAATTTTCTCAGTAAGAACAGGTGGAAAGAAAACTGGACAGTCTGAGTCTGAAATATTTTTCTTTTGCTGAAGCAATTTCACATTTGCACATTAGAGATAAGACCATATCCAGTGGTTAAATTGCAGTGTTGTATAGTAAGTAAGTAGCAATTCTTGAGTACAGTACTTGAGTATAATTTTGAAGTATCTGTACTTTACTGGAGTTTTCTTTGTGCCCACGGCTTTTACTCCACTACATTTCACAAACACATCTTCTACTATTATTTTTACTTCATTACTTATGACAGTGAGTAGTCTTTTTTTCCTTTTACCTAATGTTGATTTGCATTGCACTTAAACATCGCCGATCAGTCACTTGTTCATGTCCCCAGCCTAGGCTGTGCAGTTGCTTGCACCAACCTAAATGTCAAGTGGCTGTTTTGATGGTTCTCATCATGCCCAACTGTCATCCCAAGTTCTTTGACTGTTGGAGGATGCACTATTGTCATCAGGGGTTCGTCCATCCCTCCCTCCCTTTTATTTTTGCTAAGCTGTTGCTTGCACCCACCTGAAATGGGTGCTTATTTGGGCACAAATGACATTTGCAAAAAAACAAAAAAGACTATTTATTTGTACTTTGATTTTGAATTTTTACTTGGAGTACATTTACCCGAGTACTTTTGATACTTAAGTAGAGAGAATGTAATATACTTTAAGACTTCAACTTGAGTGGAATTGTCATGGGAGACTTTCACTTTGACTTGAGTCCTTTTCTAGCAAGGTAACTATGCTTCAACTCAAGTATATATGTTTAGTACTTCATACAACCCTACTAAATTGGCTTTCATAAGATTATTTTATCCAAACAACCATATTTTTGTTAGCCCTGCACTGTAGCTCATACACCCACTGTATCAAGTGTTCAGTGGTGCTGTCTGGTTTCATGCTACAGCTTAGTAAAGGTCAGGATATTTCTGCCTGCTTACCTATGATAGTGGACCAGGAGTCTCCGTTCCCCACTGGCTTGTAAAGGAGCTTCTTTGAGATGATGGGGCCGTCTCCTCTGTGAGACTCCATGGGCAACACCAGCAGCTGTTTACTACTTTTATCCAGCAGTTTGGGAGCAGTAGTGGGAACAGGAGGCTCTGAGGAAACACACCAACAGAGAGTAAGATTTAGAAATTACAACATTATATAGCTCTCTCTGTTTACTTCTTACTCGAAAGAAACAGACCTTTAACAGTGAGGTTAAACTTGCGGGAGTCCTGGCCTCCATTTGTGGACACCCTGCACTCCCACAATCCTCCTTGTTGAGCCGTCAGAGGAGGGATATCAAACAGGGCTGTGCTCTTATTTGAGTCCATCACCGTACTCGTAGCCTGAAACAAAAAAAAAACACTTTATAACACTGTCTTTTCTTGCTGCTTCTAGTATTTGTGATAAGATTGTCCTCAGTGTGTGTTCCTGTGGGAACTGTGTGTACAGTTCTTCATCAGGTTATTTGTACAATCAGGGAAACAGCAAAGAAGAAATAACACATTAATTTCAGCATGTCACATGAGACTGTAGTACTATACTATCTGATCAGACCATTGTTTCATTGATTTCCTCAAAGTTAAACTCAACTGTACAATCATTAGATCAAACCAAAGGCACAGAAAAGTTATTTATTATTCCAAGAGTTTCTGGACTTGTTTCCTCGCTAGTAGGGCTGTGGTTGATGTGCTAAAAATAAAATGATCATAGTATAAGTTAAAAGCTGAGGTTGTAAACTTTGGTTGCCACGCCAAACAAAACGGTAGAAAGACGAAAATGATGCAGCAGAATGTGAGCTAGCGTAAAGCAACTCTCTAAGAGATGAGTCAGCAGTTTTTAAAAACTGAAATTTCATGATTTATTGTAAAACCAAAATAAATATTGAAGCCGGTTCATCTTAAATTTACTTGTTAATTATATATTTCAAATTTATATCATCCTTTTAGCTGTTTTCATTCAACTCCGTAACTTACGATCTACCGGAAGTAGCGTACACTTCAAAATAAAAGCACAGTTCACAATGTAGGAAATACATACACAGGAGAAACAAATATCAAAAAAAAAGCATGCTGAACAATCGTTTTTATGAGGTAATGGTCTCGGAATGCCTCTTCTCAAGCTATTTTAAATTTTAAGTTTTCCATTAATATTCCATAGTAATGTTGTGACTTTTTATAGCCACAATAGAAGTTAGTTGAAAATCTGATAATGTAACAGCTCAACTCCAGATATCTAATCACCTACTAGTGCTGCTCTTGTCGGCTACAAACAACTGCAGGAGCACTGGTAATCAAATGATGGCATCAGTGTTTTGTGTTACTTGCATGTGATAATGCACTGAGGACATGGGTTAAAAATGAGCACTCGCTCTAAACTCCTCATGCAGAACATCACTTTCATGCTTTGTACCAGAGCACTACTACTTTTGCATCATCTCAAAGGAAAAAACTAAAAGCTGATAGTTGTGATTTACAAAGACAAACGAGACAAAATAAAAAGAGTCTTTTTAAAGTTAATGAAAAATCGGAGCATGCTGTTCTTGTCCAGCTTTCCCGATTATCAGGCACGTTTGAGTCGATCCAGACATACAGCGTGAAGTAGTGGGGATGAGTAAAACCCCACAGTGGATTCACTTTTCAGCAGTGATGGATATTACTCCCCCACAATCAGCAGTTTTTCTTTACTGTATTCAGACTTTGTTTTTTGGCTCTGTTTCTAGAGTCTCTAATTTTGTTGAGATGAACTTTATGTTCATTAAAGGTATCTTCAGGCAACTTATTATGCGACACCCCTCAGAACCTCACAGATTACCCTCTCCAGTCCGTATATATTCAGGCATCTCCACATGTATTTCTACCTTGAGCACTGTGCTGTCCAGCTTTCTCAACTCGATGCTGTTGTGGCTGGGCAGGGGGTTTCCTGTAGCTGAACAGGAGATCTTGGGGCTGGAGTTCAGATTCCACTCCAAATTACTATCCAAATCCAGGATCTGGGGAGCCCGGTCTGAAAAAAGAAGGGGACGCATGAAGCGGAGGAAAGATAGTGGAGTATTAGCACAGGATATTGATGTTGCAGCAGAGTAAATGATAGAGGAATAACACTGAACAAAAACTGTTGTGCATACGCCTCATTTTCTATAATCCACAACTAATTATCTCCTTCACATTTCCAGAGAAGATTATGGTTTTAATTCAAACCATTAGTCAGATTTTGAGATCGTAAATCTCACTAATTATGTTTGATATTTAACTTCCATGAGAAATCCTGCAAACTGAAGCAGTCTCAAGGATTATGTTCGTTTTGACTGCTCTGATTTGCAGCAGACAAGCTCTCTAGATCCAAATTTGACCAGGATTTTATCTAAAAACTGTTTAAACTTTACAGTGTTAGACATGTTGATACAGCCGCCCTAAAGGTAGAAACAAATTAGAAGAAGAAGATACCAACCAGACTTCTCACAGTGCTGTCCTCTCCATCCAGTAGGACAATGGCAACCACTAATGCGTTTACAAACCCCTCCGTTCTCACATTTACAGCTCAGCGCACAGTCTGGTCCGTACGTGTCGCCATGGCAGGCTGAAAACAGAAAACAAAACAATCATGCAAAAGAGGAAAGTGTGCCATTAAACATGTACAATTATCAGATTAGAAAAAAAAAACCCAGAAGTTTGTTTAAGTGATGAGGCGCTTACGTTTTTCACAGCGGGTCCCAAACCAGCCGCTGGCGCAGGAGCAGCCGTAAGGGTCTGGTAGGCAGAATCGAAGCCCCTTACAGCTCATCCCAGAGCCACATGACTCCTGGCAGTTTCGTCCAAACATTCCTTCCCTGCAGGCTGCAAGAAAGTAAGAGAAAGACAAATTCACAAATGTGTTTATTTTTTAAATTCCTTGGGTTTTAGTGTAACACGCCTCAACCCTCCGTGACAACAACACAGAGAACAGTATAACTGAGGTGCCGATGTTGTTAGATTATGAAGTCTTGCAGTCTTAAAACCAACCAAACCTTCACATCTGAATATACAACTTACAAAATGAGCAAAGTTTTGTCAGTGCAGTATTTAGAAAGGAAATCTGGATAAAAGGACCATACATTTCATTTCACCAACATCATTGATCGTTTTTTAAAACACCTCATGCTGAGATGCTGGCTGGCCTAGTGGCGACCTTTGGGGTAAGGTGACCAGACGTCCTTGTTTTCCAGGGACAGTCCCGATTTTGTTGACCTGTCTCAGGCTAAATCTGTCCCTGATTTAAGCGTTTCATGACTGAGAAAAAAAATCGTGTATGTAGACTAGAACTTATTACGGTAGCTGAGTAGGTAGGAAGCGCGAGTAAGCATGTTGCACACAGTCCTGAACAACAGTTTTTAAATGACGTAAAATTTAAGATAAATGTGAACAACTACCACACAATAAGGGGCATGATAGGGTTCTCAAAATGTGGTTTTGGAGTATTAGTAAAGTCTCAAAACTGAAATTTGACCACCAGACACCACTAGCTGTCAACAAAGACAGGGATTAAACAGTTTTCTGTACTTTTGCATGACAGTTGTTTTTTTACATGCGCTGTACATGAGCCAAACTACCAATGCATTTGGATCTACCTGGTACTATTAGATAGGGATAAACTTTGCCATCTTTTATGTTTCCCTGCTGCTAGTGTTGTTATCTTGCACTAAGTAGGCGACAGTTGAGGCCAAAGTTTGATTAGCAGGCTAACAGTGACGTTAACCAGCTAATGTTGACAGCATGTGAATCCGCTAAGCTCATGTTAAAGTGTTGTTGCTTATTTGGCGTTTGCCAGCTTCATATATGAACACAGTGTTGCCAAGCTAGCAACTTTGTCACTAGATTTAGTAACTTTTCTGACTCCCCTAGCGACTTATTTTCATAAAAGCGCCAAGCCTTTGACTGAGAAACTATGCAAATTAGGCATTGACGTCATCTAGCGACTTCTAGTGATTTTTATGACAGCCACTAGCGACTTTCCTGACTGAGGAGTTGGCAACACTGTATGAACCCCTCCTGCTTCTCCCCTAGCTAGCTCACCTAGCATCCTGTTGCAGGACCTGTAAGCAGCACCGTTCCCCTGGTTACCCTCCTATTTGGACACTCATCGGTGATATACCATCTTTGTCTCTCTTCTCTCACTTATGCAAACACACAACCTTGTACACTATCATTTTGAGAACACTGAAGTGAGCACAAACCTGTCTCACACCGCGTTCCCATGAATCCTGGAGGGCAGACACAGTCTCCATCAGCATCATGACACACTCCACCATTTAGACACTCAGGACAGTCTCTGTCGCAGGAAGGACCCCATTTTTTAGCGGGACAGTCTGCAAGGAGTAAGTGACACATACACTGATAGGTACAATAACCATTACAATAACGACACACCAAGTATGCAGTCTCTGTGTAAGCAAGATTCTTGTGTGTCACTGTTTCTAAGATTGTGAAAGTCAGTCTCTAACAAACCTCTAACAATGAGCCTCATCCAGGCACCATGCAGGGGGCTGTCCCCCACGTAGCTGGCACTGTAGATGCCCTCATATCTTAACTCCAAATGGTCCACTGTCAGAACAGCAGTGCGGTTCATTATATCGTTCCAGTGAGTCATGTAGTTGTAGTTTCCTATAAAAGGCAGAAAAACATGAATGGCATGGCTCCACATGTGGCGAAATAGCTGTTATTTGTTTAATACACTATGTGAACGGTCTGTATTGTTGCTATAAGTAGATGAAATTCAATAAAAGTCGTGTTTGCTGTCTTACCGTTAAACTTCCACGTCACGTCTCTCTTTTGGGAGCTGAGGAGCTTCATGCTGAGGTGAACCGACTCGTTTTTGTTCGCAGTCATTGTGAGGTGGGTTGGGAGAAAATTAGCTGTAATAAAGTACAGAGTTGTTTTTTTTCTTTTTCCAAGTTAGCTGAAGTTTAAAGAATACGGTAACTCATACTCAAAGCTTGACACACCTCTGCCAATGTTGTTGATCATGGTGACCGTCTCTGGCCGGGAAGCCTCCATAGTGGATTTACAGTAGAAGATACCGATATGATCCAGATCTCTGAAGTCTCGAGCCACGGCCTCTTTATTCCTCGGTTTGTGCACTTTGAAGGATGGTTTCTTGGGGAAAACGAGGATCTTGTCGTCTTTTTTGATTTCCAGCTCCACCTGGGCTGGGCTACGCTCTCCGTTGATACAAGTGATGGAGAAGTGATGGACGTTTGTGAACTCGGCTGTGGAGATCATGGTCAGGTCGATCACAGCGTCTGTGGGATGAGGATGTGAAGTTTTAAACAATCTGATTTCTGGTAAACAGGCAAGGTTAAATAGTCACAGTGAGCTTGACTTAGAATTTTAAAGCTCCTGTGAGGGCTTGTTGTTTAGTGTCGACAAAGCGGTAACTGTTTTGGTGATATTGTGCGATAAGTAGTTTTTGGTAACAAAGAAACTCAACCTGATTTCGGTTTCAGTTGTGCGCAGTGTATCTGACACCTACCCCCCACCATGCTTAAAGACATTACAAATAAATATATACAAAGTCTTTAAACTGTTGGTTTAATTTGCTCTTGTAAGTTGTAAAGAGTCATCTATATTTATTTCATTGTTTTATAACATGCTTTAAAGCTCCTGTGAGGACTTTTAAGCTTCTTACAATTTTGGCGCCCCCTATGGACAAAACCATCTTTACTTAACTCGTCATTTACAAGCTTAAGCTGCAATTTTTCACATACATATCATATCCTGCTTACTTTTTACTGTCACACACATCATTAATTCTGAATACTAATGACACCTACCCCCTGGCACCAGTTTCAGACATTAAAACGTACAAAACAAAAATCCCCAATCTTGTAGCTGATGGTCTTACATGCCTTTGGATGTCATAAAAAGATAACTGAATGAATATCAGCCTATTTTATAAACATGTAGAACTACCCATAGGAGCTTTAAACTTTTAGTTTTTTTGCACATAGAAGTAATTTGATGGAGACAGCACATTTTTTTCCACTAGCCAGAGAAAGAAACCAGGCTGTTGCTGACAAACAACGATGATAGAATTAACTGTAACTGTCTGTTTTACCTACTAAATGAATCATGAGCTTCGTCCTAAACATATTTTGGTTGTTTAAAACTTAAGTTAAATGTTAAATGATCATGTTCTTTAAGGTATGTTGCCTCCAAATTTAAGAATTTTTTCAATTCTAGCAAGAAAGTTTGGACAAAGTGAGTGATATGAAGTTTGTAAGTCATTTGTGTGCTAAAAGTGGATTTAGCTTTAAAAGACCACAAAACCTTTGCAGATGTGTTAATGCAGGTGTGCCAATTGCTGCAATACTCGAGAAGTGCATAAAGTAAATGGACTGATCTCAACACTTCCACTACTCATGCTTTTACATTACATGCCACATTCACCAATTCATCTCACATTCACACACTGGTGGCAGAGGCTGTTGTATAACACTCATCACTATTGACCAATCCTGTCCACACACCAGTTTTATTGTCCTTGGGAGAAATTTGGGGTTCAAAAACTTGTGCAAATGTACCGCGGGACCGGGGATTACACCACAAACCTTCAAACTGGGACATGACTAACTCTACTACAGAGCCACAACCACCCAGAGTTCTTAATTTTGTCATCTCTGTCATGTCCAATTCTTCTTACTCATCCTCGGTCCTACTTAGTTTATCTTTTACTGAATATTTTCCTCAGGTTTCATGTTTTAATTCACACACATAAGAGTTATATTCCACTTCTAACAGTAGAAGATAGCAGTTGAGCACAGTCTCATGTCAAAAAAATGTCTGCTGGACAAAACTGCACAAAATGCCTTTGGTCTTTTCCACAAACCTGTAATAACTTCAATAAAATTGTCTGGACAATCATGTAAACACCCCAAATTATGTTTAATTTAGAGCAGGAACATTATAAGTAGCCTAAAAGTACCCGTTTGGGTACTTCTTAAATGTAAAGTTATAATCAATATTGTAACTTTCAGGGTTAAAACACCCTCCACACTCACACCTGAGATACAGATTTGAACACTGGAGATACCAGTTCCCCTATTTTCAACAAAGTTTTGGTTGAAGGAAACATTTGAGGAATGTAGTTATTTTAATAAACTTGCCAAACCCTGTGTTGTTTGTGCAGGATTCCTTCTTGCTGGAATTTAAGCCTCAGAACCACAGAACAATGGCAGGAAACATGGATGAGCTCCTTTTCTCCCCAAGGATTCAGAAATCTACACTCTTTACTCAGAGGGAGGTTAAGACTTTATAAGACTTTGAACTATCATAAAAAAATAAAGGACAAAAAGAAGAAAAACATGAAATGAAAAAGTGTTGACAACGGTGGAAAACTTATCTTCTTTATGGGGACAGTATTTCTTAAGTGAAAGCCCCCTTGGACATTTTTGCTCCGTTTACTCAAACACAAATCTTTAAATCAGTTTCTTCTTACCTGATAAATCAAGGAAGCACAACACAAACACCCACAAGATCCTCATGGTTTTTATAATCCTCATTGGGACCAACTTGTCGCTATAAAACAGGATTCGGTTCAGATGAGTTGTACATCCAAAAACGGTGACGCTGCGTCACGACGAGCGCTGCGCTTTTTTACGCATAACTTTGGCGAACCTTCCAGAGCTCCGCTTCAGGAGAGAAATCTCTTCATTCAGGGGGGAAAAAACCACAGCGGTCCCGTCAGACTCGGAGAGCTTGTATCCGTCGCACTGACCACAAAGTTGGACTTGCGGTGAGGCTGAGCTTTCTCTGGGTGGGAAAGGAAGAGCGTCATCAGACAGCGGAGGACTGCTGGCGCTCCGGACCTCCTCATTCGATTAATGTATTAATGAGTTTAAACTTTGGCACCGTTTGGTCCAGTAAGGTGCCAATCACTCAGACTGTGTGAATACAACTTTTTCTATGATATCTTTGGGGGTTTTGCAGTGTCAACAATATAGAAAAGAAGATGGCTCTCACAGAAATAAGCTTAATAGAAGCATGTTTTTATAAGTGTTTTTCAAGAGTTTTATGGACAGAGTTATAGCTAATTGAGTCTTGCTACTCAGAAGTGTAAAGCAGAAATCAAGAATACACCTGCCCCCCTTTATTTTGGCATCACTATAGTCCATCCTGTTCACCCAGATACCAATCAAAGCACAGTCCTTTTAAGAATAAGACTAAGAAGAACTTAGTCTCCACCTTCACCAGTGTAGATCTCTCCACCACATCCTCCACTGAGTCCTGCTTGACTCAAGCTGAGTCAACTCTAAGTGAATAAACAAGCAAAAAGAACCACATTTTAGTAAAATACCCCATTACCTTTCACAAATTTTCACTTTTCTTCCAAGAGTGAGGATCCTGAAAATCTCCTTTTACCGTACTGTGACAGTTGAAGGCTTATCTTTCATCCAGTCCATCCAAGTCTGTTTTCCAATAACATGTTACCTTTCTTAAGGGATGGCCAAAAATAAGAGGGTATGACCAGAGGAAAAAATATATATAAATATATTTCACTGGGGTGGCCAAACTGGGGCACTGACTCTTGTAGGGTAGCCAGGTGTAGCCTCCATAGTCAAGTGTTTGTCAGCGACTAGAGGGCCAGATACTGGAGAGATTTACAGGTGAGGAGATGGGTTTTGTGGTCAATGTGGCATTTGATCAGGAGCAACCAAAGGTGGAGAGGATGTGCTGCCAGGAAATCTGTGCAGGTCAGAACCACAGTAGCTGAGTTTTGTATGTGTTGCAGCCTGTTGAAGGGTTCACTGAGTCCACCAGACAGAAGAAGTCCAAATGAGAGCTAATGAAGGAGTGGATCAGCAGCTGTGTTTACTCCATTCTGATTAAAGGTGTTTACATGGCATGTGATTCAATCAGTTCTGGTGTTTATATACACCTGTAAATTAAATCAAATGGTTCACATTAGGTTGTGAGGTGAAGTGACCGAGCCTGATCCAGCAGGAGAAAACTTTAATGTGTTTATCTCTGTTTTTTTTTCCTGTTATGTGCTGAAGTATCTCATAAGACATGTCGATCTTTTTGGATGTTTCTACAAACCGGCGTCCAGTTTGACTTTGTAGCTTGATAACCGTCAGACACTGAGCATGTATCATAGGGCTGGGCGATATGAGCAGTTCACCTCAGTGATGATAAATGGATGATAGCTACTCCACAAGCTGCTCAACCTCTCCCACATTAACGTTGTCTACTTCAGCCGCTACGACTTTTGAACCGTCCTCCATATCCTTACTAGATGGGGTGGAGTCACGTCTCTGACGTCGGACAGCATCTTAAAGGGACATGAGACCATAGTCTACCGACACACATCCAAAACCAACTTTTATTTATTTATCTTTTTGACACCTAATATACCGATATTGGCAAAATGACGTCAGTTATTGTCATAAATTTTGGTATCAGTAAGTTTTCGGTTTATCTCCCAGCTCTAATGTGTCATTACATTTGGCCACTCTGGTCCATGTAAATTCAGTTAGTGTTCTGGGAGTAAGGGCAGAGTCTTGATACTTTCCTGGGGCGGTGCAAAGCAGTTTGGTGATGGATTTAATGTGCGACTGAGAAGACAGGGTGGAGTTCAGGATGACTCCCAGATTAAAGAAAGAAGCGGCTAACAGCTTTTTAAACCAAACTATTATTGTAATATATATATATGTACTGCCTAGTCAGAGGAAATAACAAGTCAGGGTTTGGCCAATCAGATTTTAGGGTGACTACAACGACCCCCAGTCTCCCCACTGGCTCTTAACAATCACCTAAATGATAAACCACTCACATTTTTTTCAGCTTACATTTCAAAGAGTAATGATTCTTAGACACTTATCATATCTGTCAATAAAGTTTGTTGCATACATGTTCAAATAAACACATTTAAGAAGAGAAGAGATTTATTTCTTTATAGACCCACTCTGATAAACCACTCTGATAGAAATCTTTTCTTTTTTTGTGTACATGTTCGTATGGCATTTTTCTGATGCTACAGGACATTTCAGGCAAATTGCTAAAGAGCTACTGGAGCTCTGCAGAAGAAAAGTCCTTGAAAATGACACAGGAAACATGATTTTGGCTTAAAGCTTCATAATCACAATTTAAAGACCACTGAGAACACTTTAAGCTAAATCTACACTCTTACTTTAAATAGAGACGTACTTTATACTCATTTGTGTGGACACAGCTGTCACACAGAATGTATCCCCAAAATGCTGACACTGCATTTTATCATTTCCACTACTGTCTCTGCAGAGATACAGTAGAGCACAGTTACAGCAGTAGCAGCTGGTATCATGATTTGCCAAATGCAACAGCTTTGTTCTCCCACTTCAATGAGTCGGTTACAATCCCTGCAGCTTTTATGCTCAGTCTCTTATTTTCTCTCTCTGTTCAAATCAGTCAGCCTCAGGAAATGATGAACAATATGCTTGTTGTGTCTATTCTGCACTGAATCTTTGAGTGCCGCACTGGTTCACTTTTAAACAACTGCACACGCCTTTTCGTATTTACCCTGCAGAAACTGTCGAGCTGATCCGATGTTTTCTTTACGTTTCCTCGCAGCTTCAGACAATCAGCTTGAAGTTGACTCAACTTCACATTGTTTGAGATTTCCTGTTTTCGATTTCGGGGGCTCATGTGGCTCTCTTGAGTGGGCAGAATATCAGGTTGTATGCAGGACTTTCAAAGAAGAAAAGCTGAATAAAACTTTATATTTCTTGATAAGGTTTGTCCTGTGTGAAAATGTGAAAATCCTACCAGGAAAAGTGTCAAAAAGTGCATGGATGACAAACTTAAAATAATCTTAAGAAGAGGCAGAAGTCGTCCTGGTTCTTTTGGTTGAGGTAGATCAGAAAACAGCAACAGAAGAAACCTGACTTGGGCTTACGCAGGTTGGGATTGTTTGGTCTAGGAATCACTGTGCTTCCATTTTGGCTCTTGGCAAACAAAGAGTGTTGGCGCCGAGGTTTGACTCAGATCTGTATTGTCTCCCTTTGACCTGTTGGTGTGACCTGTGAAGCTCAAAAGCCAGAACAACTTCTTTTTAAAGACCCTCACGTTTCCTCTGCCCACACTTCAAAAACATCCACAGACAGGAATCGACTCTGAAGAGTGAACAATCATACCGAACTCTCCAGAACAGATGCAAACTGCACATTTTCTGCAATACAGCGCAAGAAGTGTGCATTAAAGATTATGCAACAAACAAAGTGCTGCTAAACTCATTAAGTGCAGAGAGAGAGAAGAGGCAGAGGTGTTGCGTGCTGCAGACACACAGCTTGGTGGAGCCTCTTTAGGAAGCCAAAAGGGAAAAGACTGAAGGCTGGGTCAACACTGATGCATCACCCTCAGGCAGCATTAAGGCTGTCAGCAGCCTCAAACTAGGGGGGACACTTTAGTGAGAGTGTGAGTTTTTGTGCACAACATATGTGTGTGACAATGTAATGGTGCTTTGCAATGGGCGGGCTGTAGGTATACATATGCATTGTATCTTAAAATGCTGTGTTTATATGACGGAAACCATTCTGTTAGGGTGGAGACCACTCTGTACTCCTCAGACATTAACCATTGTATCACAAAGTCTTTGTTGCTCTGTAGTAATTATGAACTCTGTTTGTTGTTAAAGAGGCGGCAGTTCACTTTATGACACTACCAGACACAGATAAGACTCAGCGTGTCTCCTGGCCTAGTTCAAGAGGCACAATAGTACTTCCCTAGGCAGTGCATCAAACAATGCAAATCTTGAACAATCTTAAAAGTGCATGGAAAAAATAAAGAAAGGAAAAAGGAGCATTAAAGAAAAGATGAGCTTTCGCAGGCCTTGTTCAGTTCAGTCAGACAACTAACTTTTTGGAATAGTTTAAGATGCTTCTTGCAGGAGAAAGGGAATGAGTATCTTTATACCCCCTGAGCTGCAGCCTGGAGGATACTGAGGAGGTGGTGAGGCTGAAAATATGAGGATAACACCCATGAAATTATGAGGATTCCTGCAGCTGAAACAAAATGCAAAGTTAAGAGGATCTGTTTGAAAAGTGATTGTGAGGAGTAAAGGCAGCTTGAGATGCCTGGAACAGCCTGCGATCATGGCTCCATTTATCAAAGTGTAAAGACATTCATGCAAAAAAAAGTGTCATATGTTTGAGGCAAATTTTTATGACCATACATCCTCAGAAATGTCTGTGTAAACTAGAAAAATGGGACTAAAATTTCATGTCACAATTTACCACAGTATATCTTCACCAGATTTTATGAGAGTCCATGTGGATTTGTGCCAAACAGACAATTATTCAAGTAGCATTGACAAATCAGTACAATATTTGCATATACTCAGTAACAGAAGTATTTTTGCAGCCAATTTTTATGACTTTTCAATGAACAAAAAAGTTCATTTATTTTTCTAAAACCTCTCCAAGTTTGGGAATTGCTATTTTTTAAATCTCAGGACTTTTCCAGGTTTATTTATTCTCATATCAACCCTGATTTTTGGTGTTAAAGGTAGAGGGTTTCACTGAGCATCCAAAATATCCAGAGTCAAATAAACCACTGAAATGATCAGGACACCTGGTTTAAAAAAAATGCATTTCTCTGTTTAAACACTGTCTCAAGACTGTGTGAGCATGCCTACCTATTATTGGATTGGCATTTGACTGACTGATCTGATAACAGGTGTTTTGTAGCCCTTTTATATAATGTTTAAATCATGTTTTTCAGAATCAGATGATGCTTTGCAATCAGGATCAGCTTTGAGGCATTAGCTCGTAGTGGCCAGAGATGAACTCGCTCTGCCGAAGCTCAAAACCTGCTGCAAAAAAAAAAAAAAATACTTACAGCGCACGAAACTCCAGCTGCTGAAAATAGATCATAAATGAAACCATAAACATCAGCCATTGCTCCATATAATGTCTGTTTAAGATAAGATAAGATTTTCCTTTAATAGTCCCATGAGGGGGAAATTCCTAAAAAGGCTAAATGGCTGAAGTGCATAGTGTTTCAAATTTAAATGGGAACTTATTGTACCTCTTAAATAGTGAATGTTTTGGACTCAAAAACCCTTATGGCTTCATGGGAAAAAAAGAGGAGAGGTCCTATTAAGACTAACTTAAAGCTCTGGTTGGCAACGTTCAGGTTGCTGAAATGTTGGCACCCCCTGTAGCCGAGCAGTATTTCTTATTGTCTCTTTGGAATAAAAATCTGATCCTGCTGTCTTTCAACATGAGTGACATGATTTCAAACTCTGTTGAAAACTTCTCACAGCACTCTAAAAAAACCTTACAAATGTTGATGGATGAACAGCTAAAATTTCTTCACTTGAGCTCCACACTTTCATGTTTTTTTCGTGACAGTGAGTTTATGCAATCAGCCGTCTGTGTAACGTCCCGTCATACTGACCATAACTGTTTATCGTACCTTTGTAACAGTTTACGTTGCCGATCTTCAGCATAACTCCGGTTGGGAGAGTCATTGTTGTGGGCTGACAGACTGCGTGGAAATACAACCAGCGCTGTGTCAAACAGTGAATTTACAGCAGCACACTCCCGGGCATGTTTTACTTGTTTCTGACATTTTGTTGTGGTTGTCGTGATGGCCAAACTGGGGGTGTCTGGAAGTGAGACCGGCGAAGAGGCGGGAGGTCTCTAAGACTTTGTGAGAAAGTTTGTATTTAATTCCCATTTCCTCTCATTGTGTGGCGAGCTGGCCCGGCTCCACACGCACTGATCCTTCTGGGCCCTGGGAGCTTAGGCAAGGGTGTCACTCACACCTCTTAAGACCCCTAAATTACCCCTCTAAGACGTGTTACAAAACTCCAACCCAATCTACCCCCTGAATCCTGATAAAGACAACCTTCCCAAGAATGGAGAGTGATCATGTGTACTGAATAACACCAGTGTTTGTGTTTGTGGGCAAAGTGCTTGAGGATAGAGAGTGTATGAGGTGTTGAAATACAGAAACACAGATTAGCAGATAGCGCGTGAGCGTGGGTGTTAGTAGTCGAATTAAAGGGCCCAGTTCTACAAAGTCGGATATCCCTTAAAGATAAAATGCTTTCATGGACTTTGATAACTCCGGTATTATTTCATTGTGGTCTGTTTTCTCAAGCAAAGACATTAATAAAACATTACAGTGACAAACTGGCAGGTTGGCAAATTGTGGGGTCACGTTTCAAGACTGTTCTCCCCAGAAACACAACTTTACAGTCCGTCTTTATAACCCATACTTACTTTTACTGTTGGGCTGAAATTTGGGTTATTTTTATTGGACAATAATCTGTCGATCAGAGGAACAATCCTCAGGCGTACACAGCATCAAAATTTGTGAGGAATCAAAGTTTTCAAGGACCATCAGATACGCCTTTGAAACTGTTATTTTGTCCAAACAGCAGTCTTAAGAAGCAGTAAATCCCAAACATTTAAAGCTCCTCTGAAGAGATTTTATCCGGTCATAAAACAGCGACAAGAACTTTGTTTTATATAGATGCCTTTTTATGATCTACAACAGCAAATAAGACCATTAGAACAAAGGCTGATAGTTGCCATGGTTATTTTTCATACCTGATCATGTTTCTAAATACTTATCAACAAAAACAATGAACTACGTGCAGCCGATTCAGGCTTTGTAAAGTTGGGAACAACACTTCATACATGACAAAAACAGTAAATAGAGGCAGTACCCCTTTCTCTTCAGGGGTCTCCGAAACTGTTAGGAGCCTTAAGTTCCTCTCAGGACTTTTGAGAAACTGGACTCAAATGCAGTTTTACCTGCCTTTAGTTTCCTACAGACTTTCACAGCGGTGTCATATAAAGTCTCACAGCCGCTCTTTTCAGAAACTGCGAGCCTTCTTTGCTGCTGGTGCGTCCACAGTTTCCACATCACCATCAGGAGTTATATTTTCCGTTACTCTAGACTGCCTTTCTTCCCGCTCTTCTGAGTTCATGCTAGTTAGCTCTCTGTCACATGACAATGAAGTGCAGTGAAAAGAGGGAGTGATTAAAGGCATGTGTCAGCTAACCGCAGTCGGTGTTGAAAGTGAAGAATGTCACTCTGATGTGGAAATGTCAGCGTTGGGTTGAACAGAACAGCAGTAGACAATGAGGAACCCTAAAGTCCTACACAGGCATTACTAATCAACCACCGATCGCTGCATTGGTAAATATTTTTATGGACTTGAACTAATGTTTCCAACTACATGAGCCCAGTCCTGTATAAATGTATTTTAATGAAGATGAAATAATCCAGGACACGAATGACACAAAGTGAGGCGTGTTTTCACTTCAACACAAACGAGACCTTTGTCTTCCTTACTTCCTGTCACTTTCCACTGGATACTTTCTCACAGAGAGGAACTGCCATTGAGGTAACCTTGAAGGAAACTTGCCACCAGCAGCTGGATGGACACATGGAGTGACGGGAAATGATCTGACAGTTGACTTAAATCCACAGAATCAGTCTGACTGCAGAGGAGGGGGCTTTCTTTGTCTCTTTATTCACACCTGACAAACACAGTGGGCCTCACATATTGGAGAAACTTGGATTCTTTGCAGAATGACTTAAGGGTAACTTTAGAGTTGTACATATTCAGGGGTGGGGATACTTTAAGAGACAAATGAGTGTGGTTAGCTGCAAGAGGGGCATGTGAGGAGAATCAGGATGAAGAGACGTATGTGAGCCAGAGTGATGATATGATGTTATTGTTAGTTAGCCAGCATTTTCAGACGATCATTTCCTCGGTGCTAGGAAACGCTGACTTCTACATGCTGAATAAGCTCTCTGCAGCCGAGCATACATGATACGATAAAGGAAATGTAATGATGGACAAGAGATCGCATTAGACTACATTGGCAATGGTGACATGAGGTCAGAATCAGCCTTAGGTAAGAGAGTTTATTCCAAGTCTTAGTTTCTTTTAGATGAGAAAAACAACAATCATGCCCAGTTACTTCAAAATTAGACTCTTTGTAAGTGACATACATGATGGTTTTCCAAATAAATTAACTTCTGGCTCCTAAAAAAACAACTCAAATCTCGACTGCAGGTTTCAAACTTTGAGTCTCGGGTAGACTTCATAATGGACATAACTTTGGTTAAAGCACAGTTGAAGGAAAGGTCTGTAGCTGTCGATATTTACACACAATAATTAAACAAAAGGAACCTTAATAATGGCTGAAACACGACTGGTTTATACTCGAAATCCATGGTGTGTGTCCTGCTGTTCATCTGCTCTCATATTCAACAGCATTGAATGTGTGAAGACATCTTTAATGTTAACGACTCCCATGACGATCGTCCTGCTAACTGGACAGAAGGACCACACACCTTGGCTGGTCACAGGCATGAGTAATGAGGCTGAGAAAATGACTACAGTGTACCTACCTGTCCTGACTAAAATACTGCTGCTGCTGCTGCTCAAAAGGCCAGTAGATCAATCTGTGACATTTATGTGTTTACTTCACAGTCTGCTGATGGACAAATTTAAACCTGAAAGTGTTGGACTATATGACCTTGAAAATGTGTAAATATTTTGAGCTTTTTTGTGGTTATTTAAACTCAGATGTACCTGTATCGATATTTTCACAATGCAATGTGATGATTTGTGCAGCAGAAGTGACCCCTTTAAGGCAGTAAATTGTGTTTGCATAAACAAAGCAGAGAGCTAAGAGAAAGAAGTCTAAAAATTAAGTTTTTAATAAGATAAATTAGATTCTACATTAGGCTCTCATTATCTGTTGCTTCTGCTGCTTATTTGGAGTCAGGCAGTGAGGCAGCATTTTTATTAAGCTGCTCAAATCATCCCATTTTCTAACCCACTCTGGGAATCCTGAGGTGTCCCCATACTAGACTGAACACATAATCTAGGTCTACCCAGGGATCTCCTTTGAGTTCTGTGTCCAGAAAACCCCCCAATGGTTGCATCTGGAAGGCATCCTTATCAAATGCCTGAACCACCTTAACTGGCTCTTTCTGCTGCAAGAGAGTAGCAGCTGTACCCAGTGCTCCCTGACCTGAGTCTAAGCCCCTGACCCCATCTCTAAGACTTTGTAATCCAGTCCTGAATCAGTGATCTCATTCTTTTGTTCACCACCCAAACATCATGACCATCAGTGAGGCTGAGACTCTACATCCACTGGTAAAACCACAGTGACATGTCTACAAATGTTATTATCCATTTTACCCTAATTAATGAACAAAACCCTGAGAGACTTGAATTCCTGCGCTCTGATCAGAGGCCTCTGACTGAAAGGAAACCTGTTGTAACCAATTTTTACCTTTCATTAGGTCAGCCTAAGACATCCATAGAATAACTTTGCATGATTAGCAGCTTCACGCTTTGTTTTGGCTGCTTTTTTGCTGACACAGCTTGTGGGTGTTACTTTTTACACAGCTGTTAAGTCTAAAAACAACCCAAATGTCTGAGACTATTGATAGTGTCCACGATAACTCCCCTATTAACCACATAAGCATACATTACCTATTGCTACCTGCACTTATAATGTAACTTACTGCTTAATGGTAGGTCTTTAAAGATGAAAAATTCCCAGATTTCAGTGATAACTGACAAGCATACCCAGTTTGCACTGGTCTTTGTATGAGAGAGTAATGAGTGAAGTGGCACAAACAGCTCTGTGGTGACTGATGTCCTTACATTCATAAAAACTGCTCACAGTTTTCCGGTACCTTCATGTTTTGGAAGAGAAAATAGCTTCGACTGTCCTTCACATCCAAAGGGACAATTACAAACAGTTTCCTGAGACAAACTGAATCAACAAAGTGCGAAAGCTAGGATAAGATGAGTAATAAAAGGCAAGGATATCAAACAGTGACATTGTCATTCAGACTGTGTTACAGTACAGATCAACACAATATGTCTTTTTTTTAAAGGTGCTGATCCTCTTCCAAGGAACTTCGCACTTGGCTGCAAACCACCTAAATGCCTGCTGGTATCAGACCCATACCTGACTATTTTCGGCACATTTGGGGCTAAAATGATCTCAACCTAGTCTCAAACTTCAAGAAACTTCCACTGTTACTGTGATTTAAGGCTAATTTAGAGCTTTAGAGAAGTTTTGTCTCTTGAAGGCACCAATTTCAATGAATAGAAGTACACAGGTTTTGGATGTGTGCTTAGCAAAGTCCTACCCTTACCTTGGCACGTGTACTACTCAGAAATTTTAACAGGTATGAAGCAACATGTTCCAAAACTGTCTTTTCCTGTCCATTCATCAGCCCCACACTGGAAAAATAAATCAAAAACACAGCCCTGAGTTGAGGCACAGTGACCCCCCACAGACCTCAGTCTCCCAATCTGCCTCCTGGGGTGAGGCTGGGGCACTGGACATGAGGACGGGGTGATCTGGGTCCATCAGCAGATACAGAGCAGAGTGACCCTCTTGTCACAAACCAAACAAACTCAACATGTAGTCAGGGGATGTTGATGGAAGTCGATGTTGTACACATCACTGACCTTGCACAGGTAGATGTACTGTACACACACTCAGACACACACACCTCATTATGGGTGTTATGGAAAGACTCTGGATCAGACTGAGGAAGTCCTAATCAAAACAACATGTGGTCGACCTCTTGTGCAGGTTGACAAAAAAAGGGGGGCTGACTAAGGTTCCCTTCAGAGCAGGATCAGGTGGGAAAACATGATATCAGATGGTCAGTCATTTTATCTGGCTCTTTTTTGATCAAAGTTTGGTTTCAGTCCAGTTAACAGCTAGAGACCGTGTGAAAAAGGTGGATGGAGCCAAAGTATTGTCTTTTTTTTTGAGGACTCAGTATTGAATTTTGGTATTTTAGCTGTCCAAGTTATTTATTTTTTATAGTAGCAGAAAGTTTTCTTAAGATGTTACAGACAGGAAGAGAAACTCAGATTATATTGTTACCATGTCTTATCGTCGTGTTCAAGATATTAACATAGAAACCTCAATAATCTGACAAATTGTGGTTGTTTCAAGTAAACATTAAACTGCGTATTAACTAAAATAAAATCACAGCTAGCGTTAGCATTCATCCACATACAATGTTAATGCTAGTCTGTTACTATGACAACTGCCTAAAATTTGGAATAGACAACAGTAAGTGTGGTCACTCCTTCAACCACAACACTGGTGGTTATACCTTCAAGTAGCAACCTCTAGTCTTGAGAGTGAAGCCAATGCATAAGTGCTAAAAACTGCAGTTCCTCTAGTGTCCACTTGAGGCTGGCCCCAAAAGTGATGGAAGCCACATACACACCCATTCAAAAAAAGGTCAATTTTCAATAACTGTTTTTGGAAGATATAAAATGACTAGTTTCACATTATCTATGGCACAGCTGACTTGACTGATGGGTCAAGACTTCATGGCCTTCGTCCATGTTTTATAGTCTATAAAGCCATAATCTCAAGTAGTTCATCAGCAGTTTCTTTGAAATAAACACGCAAATGGTAAATGAATTTGTAAGGATAAAAAAAGTGGTGGAGGTGCAATAGCAGTTGTATTGAAGCTTAAACCCCTAATGTTGATGTTACCATACTTGGACGAGGCATTGTAAATATACTTCTACTCCTCTATTATGAAGGGTATAAGAGGAAGGCCTCCGGTGAAGACCCTGTTGAAGTGTTAGAGAGTAGCTGTCTTTCAAATGACTAGAAGGGGCCAACTTCATTGGTTACGATTGATAAACAGAAATATAAGAGGATGAAAACAGGTGGTACCACGACCCAACTTCTTGTCGTAGTTTATATGTGAATGACTTTTCCATATACAGTATTGGACCTTAATTAGGATTATATTTTACATTATAATCATTGTAAGTTGTTGAACAAGTTTTACAACTTACTCGTGACTCTAAAGTCATAGAGAAAGTTTACTGAGGTAATGGATCAAGAGAGAAGGGTTATTGTCCTATCTGGTTTCATAAAAGTAGACCTCTTTTTGCAACCAGTGGCGTCTCCCATTGCTGGCCAAATAAATAAAGCAACTTTATGAGGGCTTTTGTATTGGCATCATCTTAAATTTCAGAGGCTACATCCACTTCTTGTCAACGGTCATTAGTTATCACTCCGCTGGAAAGTTTTTGTAATATCAGAGTAAAAACTGAGTCAAAAATAAACGTTATTTTAAAAGTTGCCAAATGGTCAAGTAAACAAAAGGAAATATTGGCACAAAAACACGCCAAAGATAGCTTCATGGGTTTTTTGCGGGAACTGCTGCAAATGAGAGTCTGTGTTTTCCATCACTATTACCATGTAATTTGGTGCCGCTAAACCTAATTACAGAAATAGAATATCTCTCCCATCAGAACGTGGATATCAAGGAAATTGTGCAAAGGGAGTGGTACAACATGTCTGTGGAATATTACAGGCGTTTTTGAAGGAAGTTGAATAACACCCTGGGAGTGCAGTGCTGAAAGGCAGAAAAATGCAAAGAGCAGAGATTTTGTGCGAATGCGCCTCGAGACTGAAGTCACGAAGGTCCCGGAAGTACGATTCAATGTGGTGTTACCTGGGGAAATGATGTGAGATGATACATTAAAATGATAAAGTGAGCCAGGCTGTGTTTGAAGACAGAGTTTAAAGCGCTATAGAGAGAGAGAAGAGAGAGATGGATGAGCTGTTGTTGCATGTCCAGAGTGTCCAGAGAACTTGAGCCAGATTCAGGAAGAGGCACTGCTGCTGGAGGCTGATATGTGTGTGAAGGAAGTGGAGGGAGCGCAGGGGCAGGAATCACCCTGCAGGCAGGAAAAGGCCTGTGGAGGTGGTGGCGGGGGTGGAGGTGGAGGGTCTGGGCTCCTGTCTGATAGCTGTTTGCTCAACTCACACACAGAGAAATACACACTTACACACTCACACAGTTCAGAGTTGATGAAGGTTCTCGTTCCCATAAGTGTGAAGGAGGTGGGACACAGCGAAAAAAAAAATCTGGGTGGCTGCTGGTGCCAAAGCATGCAAACTTGCACTTAGTGAGGAAGTTGGTTTAAACATTTTCTGACATGCAACAGAGCCGCTTAGCAGACAAACCTCCTGACAAGCGCAGGCTATTGTACTTTGTTTCGGTGAGAAAAACTGGATCATGGTGAAAAGAGGTTTGAAGGTTTTGGTGTGCAATTGTCTTAATCATTCACCGCTTTGGTCCACCCTTAAGCCTTCGCGGTTTCCCCCATTTTATGCAATTATCACGGATCTAAGCCAAAACATGGAGTGTAAAAATGGGTTAAAGGTGGGAACACTCACTCCTTCTGGTGCTTTCAAAGGATTCAGGCAAACAGAAGTCAACAAACCACGTGTTGTTCAAGTAGATAAGCCGAATACTTGTGACTACTGTGCCATCTGTGGTTGAATTATTACGTTACATACCAAAACAATCGCCAAACATGTTAGCAAGAGGCATACTTTGACGATAAATACACCCAAGACTTCATGGCTATTTATCTTTCATACATTCAACACAGCAGCTTCATCTTTTATCATCTTTACTTCTTCTGTCAAGGTTTTGTTTACAACCTGGCTTCCTAAAACGGATTAATGCAGGTTAAAACTCAATGTGTAAGCTGTAAGGCATGTGCAAAGCTCCCAGGCTAGTTTAAGTCTGAATGAGACGTATACATGGAGGAGAAAAATAATCCTTGACCGCATTTATTATCTATTTTAAAGGTCCGGTTTCAGTCAGACTAATGTAATAAATCAAATTTTTAAAAATGTAAACATCTTGACAGTCTCATTTATAAAGAATATAGAAAGAGATTAACCAAGGGCAGCTTCTCACTGTTCAATACATTTTTTTATAATATATAGTTGAATGTTTGAGAAAGGACTCAAATGAGAATTTGTTGCGTGTTTACTTTCATGTCATCTGTAGTCAGTTAGCTTTCTACCTTGTATCCACTTAGATGTATTGATTACGAGTTCTCTAATTGTTGCTTTTTCTCTCCAACAAAATTGCTGATTAACATAAGCTAACAAAAATTGCACTGTGAGGTTTCTTCCAGTATCATTCAGCAGTTTTGAGCACTCTTTTCAACAAGCCACAATACACAGCATCGCTGTTAAAGCTCCTGTGAGGAACTTTTGGTGTGTGTAAACCTTGGTGCCCCCTTGTGGACAAAGCAATCTTTGCTTATTTTGTCCCCAAGTAGCAACTGGCTGACTTTTGATATCCTTTTTGCTTTTTGGTATCATGAAAAAGGCATGTATGTAAATTTTAAGTCGATTCTATTAGCATAAAAAAATTCCTTATAGGAGCTTTAATTAAAACAAAATAATCTGAGTTTGAATGTTGCTGTATAAGTCAGGAAATGGGAGGTTATCTGAGTACACAACTCTTCAAAATAAATGAGTTTAAAGCCCCATTTAAAGCCCTTTTAACACCTTTTGTAGTAGTAGTAGTACACTTCATTAAAATAACAGGAAAGGTCATATAGTCTCCATTCTTTCCTCTGTAAGCAAATTTATATTTTTAAACTAGGGCAGATCCTGCATTATAGACCTGGTTCCTGTGCTTATCTTTTAGCATTAGTGTGAAAAAGCTGTTTTCAAGTGTTCTTGTGGCTTCCTTCCAACATCCTCTTACCTACCAACCTCTGCACAAGCAGCCAACAACAAAATGTGAGCAAAGGTTTCTAGCTGAATCTTGAACACCCCAGAATAATTCCCTCCTGTACATGCAGACTGGTGCCCTGCAAAGAGAAATGCAGATATGCATCTCAACTCGGGGCCAAACCTTAAAAGGTAGCGTTAGTTGATCTTGTCGTATCACCAACACATGAGACGTTTCGCACAAATTCCTCACTGAATCCTGCAGCACTCTCACTTTTTGCATAAATATTCTAACAGAAATCACAGAGGGATTAGAAAAATTCACAGTCGGATCGTATTAAAAATGTATTGACTCTACATGACTCTCCCTAAGTTAGCAGATTTATATAAACCGAGCAGAGGTACTACACAGTGAGTCAACACAGAGGGTGTGTTTTTGTGCTTATGGGAGCGTTTTCTGAAGCAACTTTATCAGTCAGCAAACTGTTGGAGTGAGCTCATACAACCATGACACCCAAAACAAATACATAGGTGATGTATGCTACTTATTAACAAGACATTTGGATAAATCATTTTCCTCACAAAGGCCATGAAACATTAACCCGAAGATTCTAGTTTTGGTTTTTAGATGCACAAGCAGGTCCGTTATGTAGCGCAGAGTGAAAAAGCAAAATACACATTTGTGAACCTTCAGAGAAAGAAACTGGAAGCCTTACAGATAGTTTCCAGCTCTCCTCCCTAAACAGTATTACACCTGCAAAAGGTGGCACAAGCTCAAGCCAAACAAACACAGCCTGATACTTTTCCCGATGTGCGTTTGAGCATAATGATCCACTGCTGAGCGCATGGAGTCAGGAAACGGTTCTATTAAATTAAATTAAATTAAAAGAAACTTGAATAAGGGTTATGTTGAAACTGGGACATCATAGCAGCAGAATGGAGGACGTGCAGAAGGAGAAAGGTAAAACCGGCCTGGGTTTGCATGCAGAGGCACATGCTGATTAATAAGATTTAACCTGAGGGGAGCATTTTACATTTAGCGCATGAGTCATTACAGCTAAAGACCACTTAGAGAATAATGTTGAATTGAAATAAAATGGCAGCTGTGTCGTTAACGGATCCCCAGATTTAAAGCAGATGTGAAGGGAGCTTTACTCACATTATCACATTTCCAGATGGAGGCCACGTAACGGACTCACAAAAAAATCTGAACAATGTGCAACCATCACCTTGTAAAGTTCACACTCAGGTGGCTGATAATCACAGCAGGGAGTTAGTGAGAGGCGTGACAATGAATCCAGTCTGCTGAACGCCGTGGGTCGCCTCTTATTGATACTCAATGCCCACTCGCAGGCTTGTTTATCACACGGCTCTTCCTAACACCATCCATTGTTTCGGACAATGCGACACGTGTTGTTATTTCCCCCCTTCTCAAAAGAAAAAAGTGCGAGTTTCCCATCTTTCCCACATGAGGGGCCTTGAGCTCAGACCCCCGCCACTGTACAAGGAGGACAAACAGTAAACATCCAGCAGTGGAAGAAGCAGGGAAAGTCCCAGCTCGCCTTTAAAGGTCTGGGTCTCTAAGTGCCTCAAAGTCTTGACTTTGACCTTCATTATATTTGTTGACAAGATTAACAGTAACATGAAATATGCTCAGAAGTGCTATCTTTGCTAATATATCGGTAAGACCTTGGTGAAGTGTAATTTTCTTTTTATTTGGACGTTGATTGGACTGTAAAAATCATCAGGAGACATCACAAAGCAAAGTGAGAGCAGCTGATGTTTGAGCGATGATTTTTCTTCCAGCTCCCAGTGTTCATCAAATAAACATTAGGTCATTTTTCTTTTTGTTTTAAGTCCTGTACGAGCCGTCATTTTGACACCTAAAAGTTTGTTTCTTTTGAACAAAGAGGAGGAATTTTCCAGGTTACATAAGGCAGTTTAATTGGACCACTGTCCTTGTCCCAGTTTATAGGAAACCTGAAAAGAATCGAATTATAGACAGAAGCCTGTTTGCCTCTGCTACAGTAAGTGGAAATATGTCTTCTTTCATTTCATTACTACCAGGTTTTATGTAGATTACCAAATACCAAAACAATCAACAAAAACATTAGCAAGTGGCTAACAGGATGTACATTGAGCTATGAAAACACCATTTCTTTTACGACTGTTTTTTGTTCAAACAATATGACAGTTTTGTCTTTTTTTGTCCTCATCTTTCGTTTTGGGCGATTTCAGTTGCTACTCTGTTTTCTAGCCAAGCATTTTTGCTTTTCAACTCCCTGTTGTGTGAACTCCGGAGCATTCAATCCAATCCATTTTATTTATATAGCATGATTTAAGCAAATGCAAGGTTTCCAAAGTTCTGCACAGCAGGATTAGACTACAATAAATTACACAATGGAAGCACAATAGATAAGGTAAAAATAAAATGAGACAAGACACAGTAAAACCAAATAAAAACAAAAAAATAAATTAAACCAATAAAATGAAATAAAGGAACTGAACACTAAGGACCAGTTTGAGTCTGATAGATGCATGCACAAAGAAGAGAAAATCAAGCCCCTTTTGCATAATCTAGGTTTGTTAATCCGATCATAAAACGTTTGAATTAGTGCGTTTTCAGTCAGACTCATGAGTTTACATGTATTTTAAAAGTCCAGTTTCAGTCAAATTACAGCAATTTTCTGAGCATGTAAATGTTCTGACTGTGGTCTGTACGGTCAAATGATCTGAATAATTAAATACCAACATGTAGCTTTTCCTTTTACAGCATTTCATATCTGTACCTACACATAATGATCTTTCTTTTTATGCAGTTTCTGTTTTTGTTTACAGTTTTTTAAAAAATATTTTTGTGTCAGTGTCCCTCCTTTTCCTACCATTTTCTGCGACCCCCTTGTTGACCTCTAGTGACCCTTCCCGAGGGTCAGGACGCCACTCAAAGAAACACTGAGTTTACATTATCTTCACTTATCATATCCTATTATATTATTAAACTGGAATATCAGGAGTTGATTGGATGCCAGCATTAGTTGTCATCAAAATAAAAAAATTTGTCCATTGTTCTATTTTTCTTTTTCTGACTTGCAACCTGCTCAAGTCAAAACAATCTGTTTGTCTCACTCCAACTCTGACTTTTGGAGTCTGTTTCAGCACATCTATTTACGTCTTATTTTCTGATCACTGATGGGGCCTTTTGTTAAAGATGCTGAGTAGATAACATGACAGAGATAACAGTCCAACAGTCAGCAAACAGCCCCTGTTATCTACGTTAGGAAACCCCAGTGCTTCTTTCAGCTGATGCTGAGTTATCATTTTACTGTCCCAGCCCGTCCTCATCCCTGCCATCTGCCCTAAGACAAGCAGCTGAAGCATCCTGAGCTTAGGAAGGAGGGAGGACAGAAGGAAGAGTACGAGAGGAAGATGTTAAAGATGCACAGAGCTCTGTCCAGCGGTCAGGAAGTGGCCCTATTGTTTTCAGGGTCACCTCGCTTTTCCTTTCAGTGGTCTGTTCTCTCCCCTCGGGCTGTACGTCTTAAATAAACAAACCTCCTTGTCGCCACTCGCTGTATCTTGTCTGATTTCCTCCCACATGTAAAAAGGGCTGAGAAAAGGGTTTACACTGTAGATAAACACAGCGAGGTGTGGTGCCTGGCAGACATACAAACAAAACTGGAGAAAGACGCTCACACAGCAGATATCAAACAAGACCATTTGACTACTCACTGAAACCGTTTCTACTCTAGTGTTTGCAGAGTAACAGGTTGAACTGGTTGCTTATGGTCTTACATGTAAACACACAGCTGCGGTTGAAATATGACATGGTGTTTATACTCTTCCTGGTCTGAGTGACAGCTCTGACCAGGTCTGCCGCGTCATTGGTCAGAGAGGAGCAGCGGCGGGCGGGAGGCAGGGAGCACACCTTAGTTACAAAGTCAATCATTAACTCTCCGTTCTGGGAAGCTGCTGCAGAGCACACCTCTTTCAACCTTTGCACAACATTTCTCCATTTTACACACAAAGCAAAAGAAAATGTTGAGGTGAAATGTGAGAGCTAGAAGAGGCTACACAGACAGGTGAACAGGTAAGACCAGGCTTTATTAGCTTGTAGGGAGACTGGGTTACATTGATTAAATATCATATCTTGACTTGTGTGGTGGTTTGAAGTTTATCTTGTTCAACCACACTCCTGTAAGAACCAAATCCTGATTTAGAATATGGTTTGAACTGAGCTAAAAAGCCCAAATACCCCGATGTAATCGATCAATTCAATCCATTTGCATCAAAATTAACTAATTTAAATCATTATTTGAGTGTTTTTATTGCTAGTTTTTGCTGCTGTTTATTGCAGCTGATAAATCGAACTCTTGTAAGAAACAAAAAGTGGTTTTATTTGGATTTGCTGCCTGACAAACGGACTCTTGCACCTGTTGCATGTGGGCCACTTGCTGTTTTCACTCTAAACACTCTCACGCTGAATTACACTTGTTTATTATCTTTTATACCTGCTAAAATAGACACATTCAGGCTTACAGGTAGAGAAGCCAAGAGCTGAAGCCAATCTTTGAGTATTAATGGTCTTAATTTGCGGGTTATGAGCTGGAAGTGGTTGGCTATTGTCTCTCTGTTGACACTGCCATTATTCCAGCGCTGAAAGGCAGAACAAACATGTTAGTTTAGGGCTTAAGCGAGCATGCCCCTTCCTTGAATTTAAAGAGGAACTTTACCAGGCTGGTTAATATTCGGATATGTCGTTTTTTTAGTCTAAGATGTTCGTATGGGTTTGATTTGGGGTGTCGGAGTTCAATCTTCTTCATAAACAATGTCTCTGCCGGCTGTTTTTCAACTCAACGCTCCCTCAGACATGATGCTATTATCCTCCACAAACAATGGCACAGCCCAACTCCTCCGCACATTTTCAAGGCAAGACACAAATACACGTCTTGGCAGAGGGATCAGAGGAAAAGAGGGAGGCTCGCTGCATGTTGCTCGTGGATTATTGGGGTTTAGGTCAAGTGAAGGACGGCGCTTTGATTTTCTGTGAATATCTGTGATTATTTGAGCGAGAGAGGGGGACGTTTGCTTAGACAAGCATGATTTGTTATAAGAGGCCAGTAAAATTTGATGGTGTGGGAGGTTTTTAAATTGTGTTTGATGTCAGTCCATTACTTTTTTATGGAATGAAGTGGGGAAAAAAAGTAATGCGGTGAAAGATATAGTCAAATCAGGTATGTCAAGGTGAAAAAAGAGGGCTTATATCGTACCAATTTTCAATTTAAGTCCTGCAGAACTCCATGAAACTGAAAGAAGTTATGTTCTTGTGTTGTAGTTTATTCAAAGGAGGGTAAATTCATGTAATGTCAGCTAAAACAAGAGAATTATGTTCTTGTAGCTGGTCTGCATAATATAGGACATCTTGAACGAGATAATGTTTACGTCAAAAGTGAGTTGTTTTCAACCAACTGGGTTAAGAGGCCAGATCTCTTTCAATGGATTACAAGATAACTCCAGTTTTCTGGGATGATTAACAGACAAGAAAGCAGAAAACAAAAACATTGTGCTGCATGAATCTGAATTGATTTTTATTTTTATCTTCCCTTTTCTGATAAACTATTCAACCATTAACTCCTCGAACGATCCAGACATTTGGAGAAACCATCAGAAGCCATAAAAATCAACAAGAGGCCTCAATCGATGAACAAAACACACTTTGACGAGCCTTAACCACAGATTAAACAGACAGCCAATGACTTCCAGCCACTCATAATTTCATAAAAAACAGGACTGTTTGAGGGAGTGACAGCTGCTCTGGACAAACACTGAGAGCAAGTGGCTGAAACTGTTGAAAGGTTGTGTTTTTATTGGGTTTAGGCACAGAAACCTCTTAGAAAGATTGTCTCGCCTAAAGCAATCCATGTCCATTTGGTGGTCTGAACCCTTGCAAAACACCAACGTGATAAATTTGGGATAATATTGATTCGTATCTTTATCTTTGCAGGGAGGAGAAACTCTCTATTAGTGGGCAGAAACCATGAGCAGAACTCAACTCACGTTAGACAGCCATCTGCACAGATAATACAGCGCTAACATTTATGAGTCTGGTGATTTCTCTTTGTAATTTACTCTTGTGTGAATATGACAATTGTGGCCAACTAAAGTTAACCCTATGTATCCCAGGCAGGGACAAAAACTAGAGAACTAGATATAACTCTAAAACAGGGGTGGGAAATCATGTGCCATGAAGGGCCAAGAGGCTGCAAGTTTTCTTTCTAACTCAAAACTCCACCAGGTGATTTCACTGATTAGTCCCTGCTCTCTGCTTGGAGGTAATCAGTGAAATCACCTGGTGGAGTTTTGGGTTGGAAAGAAAACTTGCAGCCTCTTGGCCCTTCATGGCACATGATTGCCCACCCCTGCTCTAAAACATTCCCACTCAGCATTTTTTGGTTTAAAGAAGGTCTAATAGACGTCTAAATGTAGCCTAGATGACTGATCTAAAATCAGGCTACCTCAGGTCTAAAAATGAAATTTTTTCAGACGTCTAAATTGAGACCAAGTTAAGACTAGCCAGCTAACAGAGGTCTAACAGTATATTGCTCAACGGCTATCATAATTATTTTGGTTAAGTAGTCGGAGATCAGTTACGCAACTCACAGTTCCTTTTTTAAATAAATAGTTATCAAATAATGGGTTAAAGTTAAACATCTAAATTGCGTCTAAAAATACACCGAATCTAGACGGTTGGAATTGGGTCTGAAAAAACTAGACGTCTCATAGCTGTCTATTGCTCAGTGGGTTTACAGTAAAGAAATGTGAAAAAAGCTGGTAAATAGGCAACTTCCAGTTCTTAAAAAGCCGTCAATCATCTCACAGATAACTACTTAATTCAATGCTGTGGATGCTTTAAAGTCTGGCCTATTATATCGCTTAAGAGCTCCAACAGAGCAGTCACCATACACAGCATACCGCTCAGTAAAGGTCACAATGAGCTGCTTGAACATTCATCTTAAATGGACGTGTGTTTGTGAGGTCAATATCACCACATCATTTGAATGGGGCTTTATTAAATTTCAGATCATACATTTCCTCACAGTTCAAAGGAAAGAGATCGTGCTCCATAGGCGGAGAGTAATTTGGATGTTTAATTCAGTTTGATGACAGAATGAACATTTTCCACCCTTTGGCCATCATTAGTGTCTGTAAACTGACGCTCAACTCACACTGTGGAGCGCTGAAACAAAGAGTGACTGAGAAAAAACTGACTGGCTTTGGGGGTGATATTCAAACACAAGCTGAAGATGCAAATGAAGCTTCCTCCATGTGCTGTTTCACATACAAACTTAAACAAATGTACAGTAGAGGCACACAGTAGAGCGCACAAACTCTACCACATCCAACACTCATGGATTTCTTGCTCCCAGGCTCCTCTCTCCCACTGCTGCCGGTCCTGAGCTGCTTGGTGTGTATATTTTGTTGTGCTTCGCCTGTGTGAGGACAGAACAGGAAGAGATAAAGGCGGCCCTGTCAGTGTGTTTACAGCCAACACTGCAGAGGAGAATAGCTGTAGAAGACGAAGAGGAAGAGGCCTAATGGCCGGCGCTAAGCAGCTGGATCCCTCTCGCTGTGAAAAATCACCTCAGAGCCAAGAAAGCGGGAAAAAAAAGGGGGTACACAAAACCTAATCTAGACGGCAACAGACGTATTCTTCAGATTAGAGAGCGAGGGTCGACAAAGTCAAAAAGTCTATTTAGCAACATAATTCAAGTCACTTAAAAAAAGAGAAGCTAAATTATGATTTTTAGTTTCTTTCCTCACAAACTGCTGGATTATAATAATGAACTGGCTGGTTTTTGACCTTATTTCCCCTCTCAGTGTTTGTGATTTGTAGCTTCATATTTAGCTAAACCGTGACAGAAGATTTACTCTTCTAATCCAGCATATACCGTAAATGGAAAGAGGATGATATAATTAGACCTAAGCAAGAAATGACAGATATAAATTTGTGTAGAGTCTCTGTTCTGTTTGTTGCAAACATGCTGCCAGACGTTCAATCGAAAGAGAGCAAACAGGGACAAGAAATAACTTTTATTTTAAAACTTTTAATTACCGTTATCTACAAATCATGAAATCTTAGCCTTAAAAACAAAGAAACCAATCAGTACATTGGACAGAAAGAGGGAAAATATGACCAGTTTCCTTCAAAGTACAGTCGGGATACAGTAAATATCTTTGCTGTAACCAGTGAGAAAACCTGTATGCAAATATGGAGCAAATTAAGCTTCATTCAAAGGTCCTCAGTCTCTGAAACAAAAGCTCTCTGTTAGAGGGAAGGTTCATATTTGCATTCAGCACATCAGTGATGGTTTTTAATATTAACACACCGACGACTGCAAGACCAAGTATGTTCAGAGGAATATACATGAGGCGACGGAGATTAAAACCTGAACTGTAAGAGAGGACATGATACAACCTGCTGTGTTTTCTGAGACAAAAGTATCATTAGAGGATCAATAACACCGGCATAATGTCTACGCTACATACAGTTAGCTTAGCCTAGCCACAAAGAGGAAACAGAACATACAGCCAGTCAGTCTGGCTTTGTCCAACAGCGACCACTCCTCCGCTAAGTACCTCTAATATAGTACAACCTAAATGTTTTGTTGAATGAAACTCAAGTGCTGAAAGGATAAAACGGATGTTTAGCTGTTTGTCAAGTTATAAGGAATAGTTTGCATCCGTAAACAGCTGCAGGCAAACAGCTAAGACCGTGGGAAACTACAGGTTACTTGAGTTTAGTATGAAAAACTATGAATGAGTTTGACTTCTGCTGACTGAAGACTGACTTATATAATCTAAGACTGTTTCTCAAGTTTAAATGTGTTTGTAGCTTCTGTATTTAGGGAAACTGCAGAGAACTGAGTCAGAATCTCCACAAAATACACTCGGTGTTTTGTGTCAGCTCAGCCCACAGAGGAAGGTCCTCCAGTGTGTGTGACGTCCTGTTTGCTGCACACTTTTCCTGTTGTGGGTGATATCCTCCTGAGCTCCTGACAGCTTGTTCTCAATTACGACTTCTGGATTTCAGAGGGATCCAGGCAGCGTCTCCTCTTTTATGATGACACTCTCACTCTTCATACATACTAAGTGAAATATTTAGGTCATTCGATTGTTCGTGCTCTTTTTCTGTGTGGCTCTGTTATAAAATATGCATTTACTGGCACAAAGAGTCAAAAAGGATTCAACGCTGTAATGCATGTGGGATATGGGCCATAAGGGCTTTGTAGAGAGCTGATATTTCATAATTTTTCTTTTTCTTCGTGGGGGACTGTGTGAAATGGAATCATTCATCCAGTTTGACTCTCTCTCTCTCTCCTCTTTCTGCAGCCTCTTCCACTGCAGCGAGAGGACGCTGGCTCACATTTCCACCCTCGCAGAAACACTGCTGCCTTCACCTTTCATTTGCCTCTGATCTGATGACTCTCCTGTCACTCAACCTTGCCACCTAGTGGAGCTCAGAGGGTTTAACTCCCTCCTGGTCAACAGAAATCTTCCAGACGACTACCTCCCTCATCTGGGGAGATGCCTGCCCTGCAACATTCCCCTCAGATCCAATCCATGTTTTGGAGATGATGCAACAAAAAGCATCTTTGCACCTCAACAAAAATCACTAAGCATTAAATACTTCTCCTCAGCTCCGGTTCATAATCTGTGGTTTCACCCTGGGGTTTATGGTGCCCCAAAGCAGGCGATAGCTTTCATCCAAGCAGAGGGAAAATAAGCCACACAGGACAAGTGATCCCCCCTGTAAGAGACTGAAAAACAAAAGCAGAGCCAGATGGAATTACTATCAAATGTCACACAAGCTACAGCTACGCCAGCAGCAACACAAAATGGTAAGAAATCAGTTTAATAGTCACAAACAAAATAAATGCACCCTCTGAAAAATACGCTGTAAGGCTTGCCTGGTGGGATTGAAATGGCTGACAGAATTAAATGTCATTATTATAACAGATTCATTTTGGATGAGACTCATTTCCCTCTCTTTCAGACACTTTGACAAATGAGAAAGGCAGATATACGTCTCACAACTGGGAGTTCCTGGTGGCTGTCTTGGTCACGGCCATCTCTGTCTCCCTCATCATGGCTCTCATAGCTAAATGTCAGGTGATCCGGCGTTACCTGGCCAGCTACAGGCACACACGGCTGATGGATATAGAGACTGTGAGCCATGGTGATGCATCAGGTTTGTTTTTCCATCCATAACGCGTTAAATATGGTATATGGTATTCCCATTGTGAATTTAATATCGATTCAGACTATCTTGGAATTGATCGATCAAACAGCTGACTCCCTTTACTTTAAGTTGTTGATTTCAATATAACATTTCAAATGAAAAGTTACCTCCTACTCATACCGATTCATGCACAAGAGAGCCTTCAAGGAAATTGTTTGCAGACATCTGTAGAGGGCGCTGTCTTTTTTTTAACAATGAAATTCTGGCCACCTATTAATCCAGCACAAGCAGCAGAGTCCTCCCATCACTCCTGTTACTCACCATTGTGTTGATTCCCTTTAGACTTCATTTGGATTGACTGTACTGTGTGTTTGCCTGCGGCTTTAGTTGAGTAAATTTGATACTTGTACCACATTCACGTCCGGCTGTTTTCACTGTGCCGCCAAACAGGGGCGTGACGAGACTAAACATGGACACGGAACTCAGCTGAGAGGATCAGTTTGGGTCTAATCTACCAATCTCAGTCAGTATAAGGCCATTTTCCAGATCCAATTTCAGTAAATAATTGGTGTATTGATATCATTAAAGCCTGAAATAAGTATTTTAGTGTTTTTGGAAAAGGCCGGAGCCAGGCTGACGGATGTTTTATCAAAACAAAGACTGTGGGATGTGCTGCTGGATGACTTTTAACAGAAAGCTATCAAACAGATTATCCTCATCTCCTTAGCCCAAAGGAGAAAATGTTTTTTATTATTGATTTTCTTAAGTCATGCTCTCTGCTTATTAAACCCTGATTTGTGAGGGAAAAAAAAGAGAATTACATCTGGACAAACCTCTGAGTCATTGTCGTGTTTGTGTTACCGCTCACAGGCCAGGACGTGGAGTTCGCCCTGCAGAGTGGACGTGAATTCAACCCTGACTGTATGCCTCCTGAGACCGAGGAAGACGATGACGGCTTCATCGAGGACAACTACATCCCAGCCAGCGAGAGGGCGAGAGCCGAGAGGGCGGCGGAGAACTTGGAGGACACAGACGACACAGAGGAAGAGATGGATGAAATTGAATTTTCAATCGCTTAGCAGGACTGCTTGAAAAACCACCATCAGTTCCACTCCTGGCTTCTCTGTCTTGGCCTCATGGATCACAAAAAAGGAACATGTTTGACACTGGTTAAGTTTTAAAAATCATACAGGATGTGCAACCCTGATTCCAGGAGAGTTGGGACGTTTTTGAATACTTTTTTTGGTGGTTTACAAATCATTTAGGCCTTGTACGTGATTGGAAATATTGCAAACAACAGGTTAGCGACATGACGGAGAGGATGAGTCACTCAGCAGCAAAATCAGCTTTGATTTTCATCCTGAAGCAGCATTTTGTTTTTTTACAGGATGAAAGTGATTCAATCTGATAAATTGTAAATACAAAAAATTGGTAACCATCCTTGTATTTGTCAGCAGTTTTTGGTTGAGCTGTGTTGTAATAATTGGCTGATTTGACTTAACACAAGCTGTAAAGTTTATGATATATGAATATTTGAAAACAGGTGGATCGATTATTGTACAAACAAAAATCTGATTTTAATTCATACCCTTTTAACCTTCCTCCTGTGTTAGCTTTTACCACTCACCCTCCATGTTAAGGCTCGGTTTTGACTCATGTCTTAAATCAGCTGTAAATTACACTAAAAACAATTCTCTATCATCCAATTTGGTTCTCATTTCTAGGTTACCTTGTTAGGCTTCATTATCCATGAAAATATTGCATATATTTTATTTTTTGTAGTGGGCCTCTGGACCTTTCTTTGTCAGTATACCCCTCATACAGACATCTTGACTGAATTGATCTCACATGTCTGGACATGCCCGATGTTGTTTTTTGGTGCAGGGAAAAACATGACAAAATGAGAATTTCCTAAATCTCAGATGATTGGAGGAGGATCCGACTGTCAGTGTGGTGCCTGACAGTTCACTTTTAATTTCAGTTTTTGCTCTAATTATTAGGTATTGATCCAACTGCGACCTTAACATGACAACTGCCATATTTCTAACAAAAGCATTTTATAATTTAGTCAATTTAATTTTTTATTTTGTTGACATAGGGGTTCCTGACAAAGTCTTGATGCAAAAAAAGCTAATTTAAGTGGTTCTTTTATGGGTCGGTGCAAACCCCTAACACAGCTGAGGAGGGTTAAATACATTCCAGCAACAGTGTGAATGTATTTTATGACCACGAGTGTTTTAAAAGGACAGATAATTAGGATTTCGACAGACTATCCTCAGAAATAGTCTGACTATATCAAACATGTAGGCTGGCTCATTCATGGTCAAAGTATTAGTTCACTGAACAACTTTTACTGGACTACAATTCCCAGTAACTCTGTACTGGGGCTGAGACTGGATTTAGCTATTCAGCTCTAAAACAGAATCAAAGTTTTCAGTTGTGCCCCTTAAGCAAAGTCTTTTTATAAAATCCAAACAGTAGTTGTAACTTTTGGGGACTGCAGGAGGCTCTTCACTCCTGGGTCACACACTGGAATCATCCACTCACACTCACGCACACACCTTTCGCTTTAAGCTTTCCAGCTCTGGTCTCAGCAGCGGTGATTAACCCTGACAGTGTGCCTCGTATTAGAGCCTTAGGCGGTTCAGACCCTCGGAGACCGTCCGGCTGATGAGAGCGGTCTGACAGGTCTGTGTGAAGCTGTCAGTGGAGGCTCCTCAACCCGGAAACACAGCGAGTCAAGTTAGCTGGAGCGAGCTAGAGACAAACCGGAAACTGCCAACGATAATTCCGCCTTCAAAATAAAACAGTGGCGCATTCAAAATTAATTAGCGAAGGTGTTAGATAGAAAGATACTTTATTAATCCAAGAGAGAAATTCATATCATTAAACCTACTAATTATAATGGTATATTTTATTTATAATGCACTTTTAGGGGCTCAAGGACGCTTTACAAAAACAAACACATTTTAAAATACACAAAATCTTGAGTAAAAAAATAATTATTAAATATGTATTATTAAAATTTATTATAACTATAACAAATATGTCAATTTATTATATACATTAATTATAAATTAACTATCATGAAGTTCATGCCATGTTAAGATGTTTTAACTAGTCAGAATTTGACGCGTTTTAATACATAATCTCTGCTTGAGTCCCTTTTAATGTAAAGTTAGGTTTTTATCGATGGATGTAAAGGAATGAAAATTACATTCAGTGGCCCAAATCTAAAACCCAGAATAATAACAAAAATTAGACCCAAGTTTGAGTAGACCATAGCCATGCCTAAAATATATTAAAAATGTCAACTTGCAATAAAAGGTGTCAGTAAAAGTTTATGCTGTAGTGTTTGAGACATTATTTTGAAGTTTATGCCATATTACTGGTCAACATTAAAGAGGTCAACATTAATATTATTAAAACTAAAATTTGACGTGTTTATACACAACATGCTTTCTGCTTGAGTACCTATAAATGTAAAATTAGGTTTTATTGATTGAAATAAAAAATGGGAGGGAGGACTTTTGATTTTATAGTGCAAATTCAGCAATTAAAGTACAATATATGGATGGAAAGGAAAATAATTTACACTGAGTGCCCCAAATCTAAGGCCCAGAATAATTAGACCCAAGCTTGAGTAGACTATAGCTAGGCCTAAAAGCAATTAAAAGGGTCAACTTGCAATAAACAGTGTCATTTGTGTGTGAAAGTGTAAAAAGCACTGTTAAACTAGATTACCTGGATAACGTTGATTGCAGACTTCAGTTTAATGAAATTCGAAATACGCTTTTGGAGTATCTGAGAGAAGGTAAACACTTTAAATACCGATATATAATTTGGATTAAAATTTTAAAATTGAAGTCGGTCATTTGTAACCGGAAGTTGTACTTTGGTAAATGCAGCTATCTTGACGCTCCGGAAAAGCGGCAGCAGCAGCGAGTTGCAGTGAAACACGACGACTGAAGAGAGCGGAGGGAGAGGAGGAAGGAGGATGATGGGAGCGAATATTATTCCATTTGAGTGACCCATATCTGCCAGTAGACCCAGTTATTATCCAGCCTAGTTCCTGTTCTCGAGGATTTTTCACCACCAACATGTCGGCGTCGGCGATATTTATCCTCGACCTGAAGGGAAAGGTAAGTTTGTGACGACTTGTTGACATCTGGGATTATCAACGAAGCACCTGCTACAGGAGCGGAGTGCGTCAACTCAGTTTATGAGGAGGAGTATTGTATCATTTAAACATATTTGAGTTGGGATTATTTTCTCTGAGATTAAACATGTTAATTTAGGACTACTTTCTGTTACCCTCATTGAAGACAGAGAAGAGTCAGGAAGAGAGGCTCAACTTGCTAAACTCGTTTCAGTCATGTTCAGTGTACACAGACGGCCTGTTCTTGTGCAGCGGGGCATTCCTTATTATTCTATGAGATGAGTCCTATTGTAACATTCAAAACTTTACGTTTCCCCACCTTAAAGAGGTAAAAATGAGAGTGAGATTAGTTTCAAAAGTGCAGCGAGAAATCGAGTGTATGTCAACTATTTCAAAAAAACGATTAATCGATCAAAGTTCTCAGGCACCAGCATTGTAAATTCAGATCTGTATTTATTTAAAGCCCCTTTAAGGAGTTTTTAACAACTTTTAGACATAACTGAAATGAATTCTGATGCCCTCCTAGAACTTGAAACATCTAGTATCATAATATTTAATGTTTTTAAGATGTTACATGAGCAATAAATGACACAAAACTTGCCAACTTCAATGTTGTGAATAAAAAGTGGTATACCATGAGGAAGAAAACGCCATAAAATGTCCTTGAAATGTCCATAAAAGGTCTCCAAAGCACACAAATACAGCTTAAAATAGCCCATTTTGAATGTCAAACAGTACAAAATGCAAAGATCCACTTTCAGAGAAAATGTAACTTTAAGGATTTGAGTTAAAATATTTTACTGTTCCTTTCAAGTAAATCGTTATCATAAAAACAAACTGTTTTAGGAGCTAATGATTTAGTTTCTGACAATCAGTTTTAAATCCCCTTTTTAGGAGCTTTTAACAACGTTTAGAGAAAACTGAATTGAATTCTGATGCCCTCCTAAAACTTAAAAAGGCAACAAGACTGAAGCTGACCATGTCTATATCCTAATATTTAATGTTTTTAGATGTTACATGAGCAATGAATGACACAAAACATTCCATCTTTAATGAAATGAATAAAAAGTGGCCAACATGAGGAAGAAAAGTCTAGAAATGCCCATCAAATGTCTACAAGGCACACGAATACAGCTTAAAATAGCCTATTTTGAATGTCAAAATGTAAATATTTACACTTGAAGAAAATATGCAAATATGTTACTTGAAGGATTTGAGTTTAAATATTTCACTTCTGCTTAAAAAAAGTCCATTTAATTTTGACTTTCAGTTTCAGGAAGCTTAAAAATTTGAATTTCTGACAATCAGTCTTACCACGGAGTGATTATGAGAGACTTGAGGTAGATTGAGACAATCATTACTTAAAATATAACCAGTTGCAACCCTGATACTGAGAACAACAGCGTTCCTGAAAATCATGCTGTTTGAATATTTCGATTTGGCGTGCTGTGAATAAAAGAGGGAACTGAATTTAAACTACCTCCTTTACTTCTCATCAGGTTTCCCCTCCTAAACCTCACAGGGTTAATTTATTTGAGGGCAAAAAGAGGAATTGCTGAAGAAGCTTGACAATACCCATCAGGGAAACAGATCAGTCCCTCACAGCCTGAATGTCTGATTGTTCAGATTAAAGGTTTTCTCTTTCTCTCTCCCCTTATCTATCTGTCTCTGCCCTGAGGCGAGCCAAGAGCAGCTCACCTTCAGACCCCTCCTCCTCCTCCTCTCTATCCTGACCAGGGGAAGTCCTCTGTCCTCTAGAACAGCAGTGAAAGCAGAAAAAGCAGGCGTTGTACAGTAGCTTAGCTGCAGCTGAATATTCACTGTGATGCGCTTAAACAAACGCAACATAATTTGTAGAAATCAAAGTTGAGATTCATGCATGAATCTCTGCACAGTTGACGACACACAATCTCTTCAGAAGCCAGTTTCTTCTCCTGCCCTTTATCCCCCCACCCTCTTAGTTACAGCTCTTGGGCAGTCGACCGTTCACCGAGCTGCTGGGACCTTCTCTGAACACTCAAATGTCACAGTATTGAAATCAGCATGGCATCGTTTGTTCCCAGCACTTCCTTGCAGAATTTTAAATAAAACAAGACAAGACATACAAGCTAACTTTTTAGATTATCACAGCCTACCTTTAATCATCTTGAATCAGCCAGTACATCCAGAGAGCAGACATGATTAGCAGAACTTTGGCTCTATAAAAACAAGAAGATCTTAATTCCTCATCACCACATTTTTATGAACTCTCTGTTAGAGCCCCATGTCCACCGCGTTGGTTTCCATTCTCAAACCCACATTTGTAAGACAGGCTGAACAAGAAGTTTTCATCCCGGTAGTGACCTGTCAGTCAACCTTGTCTTGCTTTAGCCCTAAATTGACCCCATATTAGTCTGTTGTTTGCAAAATAAGCCTGATGCATCCAAAAATATGGTACTGAGAACATCGACTGACTGGGTTAGTATTGAATGAGGTATAAAATTGACTAAGAAGTGAGGTGATTTTCCTGGAGCACCACTGAATCTCTATTTAAAACCAGTGGAATCACCTTCTGCTGGCTGTTAGGGAGAGGGGAACATCTTAATGTTGCTTCACTTTGACACCTAAGGCTTCTTAATAGTCTCATCTTAATGTCTCATAATGTCTCATCTTTATTTTACTGTCACAGTTAATATTTCTATAACTGTGAAATACTTGAATTTGGTGCAGCTATTCATGGCCCCCTCATGACTTTGGAGATCCGTTCATGTTGCCCTCTCGGGACAAAAGACTGATTTAAAAATCCTGTGTGGAACTTTTGGTTTATCTCTATTTTGCCGCCCTCTGTGTACAAAGTAGTCTCTGCTTATTTTGTCCTCTACATGCCAAAAATCTAAAGCTGCTGACTTTTGTGTCATGTATTGTTAAAACTGTCAGTGGAAATTAGGGCCCGACCGATATGGATTTTTTGGGGCTGATGCTGATACAGATTATAAGGGGGGGGTATCCGATTACCGATTAATCGGCTGATTTTTTAACCCCCCACCCGCCAATCGGTGCCTTCACGTCTTAACCCACGTTACACATTTCTGGTCCGGTCTCATCTGGCATGGCTAACAGTGTAGCAAGGCTAATAACAGATGGCTAACTCTAACTTTAGCTTGCAAATTGCATCGTGCTTCACCGTTTACTCGGCGTGACCAGCACAGCGGGGAACATCGTGAAGTGAGTTGAACTGAAACTTGTTGACTTATTGTGTATTTCACAAACCGGTTTATTTACCGTTGAGGCGGACCACTCTCCTCCGTGCGTTGGTGGATGAAGATTGTCATGAGGTCACTGCGCCATCTACAGGATAAGTCAGGGAACTTTTCAAATGGTGGAATATTTTTGAAGTGAAACCGAATCTTATTCTTCGCATTTTAATTCTGAAAATATTGATGAAAATTGGCACGATTTGTCTCAAACGGGCTAAAACTGCCCGATTTAATCGACCGTTAAATCGGTCAGGCCCTAGTGGAAATCGTAAAAACTGTTTCTTCAGTTGCTCTGCTGACACTTACCCCCTCACCCCAGTTTCAGGCATTAAAATTAACAATAAACAAATTGTCAATCTTGTCCTTGATGGTCTTGTTTGCTTTTAGGTGCCATAAAAGGGAATCAGTATAAATTTCAGTCTATTTCATAAAAGTAAAATAATTCATCATCGGAGCTTTAACCAAAACTTTTATTTATGGTTGAATTCTAGAAAATTTCCTCAAAATCCCACCAGCCTCCTCTTTTCTTGTGTTTGGTGCTATTAGGAGATGTTTGCATGCTAAAACAGACACAGCTGCACACAGCAGCCTGTATGAGCGCTCTTGTTGACTTTAAGTTAGTTGAATTGACCACAATGAACCTCTAGCTGCTTAGCAAAAGAGCCACTGTGAGCGGACACAATGTTAAATGGTCGCAATTGATGGACCAACTCAGCGCTTTCTTTTTTCGATCGTCAGTGTGCCTTTATTTCATCCACAATTAACTCCTTACAGCCTCTGAGCTCGGAGACACCGTCAGTATTCTGCTCTATCTCTGGCAAATATTGGATTTATGCTTTAAAGCTGGAGCCGTAATTGTTTTCTAAATTATTGATGCATGATTCAAGATGACAAAATCTTTTTAGAGCCATTTCTGTCCCCGTGATAAACACCGCTGCAGGTTTTCAGGTTGTTTTTCATCCATAGAGGTCAGCTCGGCAGACAGCAGTTCAAATTGATTTTCCTGCTTGTAAAAAGTCGCTGATTGCTTTGTGAGTCCTGACAACAACTTTCCCCTTCAGCCCCTGGATGGAATTTTCCCTGATGATTTTTAGAGCGTTTGTAAGAGGAAGATTAGTGATTTTTGATTTAGCACCACAGTGAATAACTATAGAGCACTGCTGCAGACAATACAGCTATATTCAAGGTCTAAGTGATTCTCTATACACCCGTCTTCTGTTTGAGCATGTGTGGAGGTAAATCTGTGGTCACTAAAACACGTCTTATTTTTTGCCCTAAAGCGTGGTTCCTGCTGCAGCTTTAATTCATGAATGAATTAGAGGAACAGACATGTAACACCATCTGTTTGAAGTAGACACAACATACCAGCGCATGTTTTTATGAGGCAGCATGGCGTCTTTACTTTTAAGGTTACACTTTCACAGCAGAATTTAATGAGACCTGGATTATTAAGTAGATGCGTTCTGCTTTGAGGCATCAAATATGCTAACTGTCTGTGTGAGGTGTTGTGTTTCATGTGCTTTTCCCTCGCTGGAGACACTTCAGGGCCCTGTGTTTTTTATTTTTTAATCTCAAATGAAAATAAAAATATGTTAAGATCGAAGAATCACAGAGATGACACAACAGCTTCTGTAATCACAGTTGAGATAGTACATAATAATCATGAGCTGACTGTCACAGTTGCACATCAGCTGAATAAAAGGGCTGTTGAGGAAAATAGACTTAAACTTATTACAACAAACAGCACAGCAGGATAAATATGAGTGAATATTAACGGTGGTTGTGGATGATTTTCAAAAGTGCTCAGCCCTAAGATTAAATCGTATTTTTGGACCAGTTTTTCTATTGTGAATTTTTGGGAAAATCCATTTGTTGAAATTCCCATGGCATGTCCGTGCAAACATTCCCCTAAAAGCACATCCTCCCAGCATCATGCAGGTGATGGCAAGCAGCCAAGAGAGACGATGGAATACTGGGGAAATACCGTGCACTAAAAAAAGAGCCATGGCATTGAACTTGTAGTGTGTGCCCACGGGTTTTGACCGGACTGTGCACATGAAACTGGGCCAGAGATCTTAAACTGTCAGTATGGAAGTTAAATCAAGGTTATTTTGTTATTTTACAATATATAATTATATAAAAGAGATAATAGAGAGACATATAAGAGTCTGCAGAGGGATGTTGAAAAAAACGGAGGTAGATCCAAGATGTATCAGCCCGTAACCAAGCATAAAATCTGCTGATAATAAAGGTCTGTGGATATTTTAGTGAGGATTTATTTTAAAAACAACAGGAGTGATCATATTTTACATTAATAAGCATGTTTCTGACTGAATTTAATGACACTGTTTGGTTTTATCGTGGGCAGCAGAGCGAAATGAATAAATTGAAGATGATTCTGCTTTTGTGTTTCGCCACCTAAGTTTGCTGCCAGGTTTAGAAGTGAATACCTCGATACTTTCCAGAGGACCTTTGGTATCAGTATTGAAGTTTTTTCCTTCTTTGATACAAAGATTTGTTTACTCCATCCTCTCGCTCTCTCTCTCTCCGGTGACCTCCGACCTCTTGGCTCTCTGCTTTCGGTCTCCACTCACTGAAGCTGAGCAGTGGCCTGTTCATATCCCAGCTTTTATTCTCCCCCACAGATTATTTTACTTTCCTGGCATTTCCTTTGGTTTTTATTTCTTATTTCCTCCTGCCTTTGTTGTATCTGCCCCTGAGTGACCCCTGCACAACACACCCCTCTATTAGCATAGTGGGGCTTTGTGCCTCCGTGTGTGTGTGCGCCGTCGAGATCCCTCAAGCGTAGTAGCTTTGATCTCTTTCTTTACTTCACTCTGTGTCCGGACTCCAACAAGACTGCTGACTCATCTAGTTTGGTGTGTGTGTGTGTGTGTGTGTGTGTGTGTGTGAGTGTGTGTCGCCTGTGTGTGTGTTTTTATTGAAATTGGAGGGTGTGGTGGCTCCTCAGGGCTAAATCCACCCATACTTATAAGTACTTAATTTATACAATAGCAGCAATCCTTGAAAAGATGCAGACCTTCAGTATGTCTAAGAATAAAGCAAATATATATTTCATATGTGCGCAAAGCTAAGCTGTGTATTTTTTCTCAATAACTGCTGATCAAACTGAGTTTTTTTATGACTGGATAAATGGTACAGATTTAAGAAGTAAAGCGGAGGAAGAAGCATGTCAGACTAGCTTTCTATCGGACGGCCAGCAGGGGGCGACTCAGCTGGTTTCAAAGAGTAACCTGGAGCGGGACAGTGTGAGAGAAAATGACGCGACTTCCTGCTTTACTATTACACCTAATTTCCCTTTAATGAGTCTGTGGTTTGAACTATAACAATGTTCATTTTGTGAGATATTTTCCAACTACAACAAAAATAGTTGGTTTGTTTACATGCATAGCCAAGTCAAGCTACGGCCGCAGCTCAATAATGTAAGTTAACTGGACTTCTGTCCTTGTCCCAGTTCACAAGCACAAGGTAAAAATCGAATCTGGCATGCTCCGGCGTCCGGAAAGAATAGAACCTTTGCGATCAGCTGAGGGGTCCAGCGATTCGCAGAGAAGCCGGTGGAAACTGACACATTAACTTGAATGGTTATGATCGTCGGATAAGGCCTTTTCGTAGCTGTCCTGGATACTATGGAAATTTGGAGTGAGGGTAACAGGATGTACGTCCAATTATGCAAACACTTTCTAACCACCTGTCCAAAAAAACAGATTGTTATAAATAGGATAGATACATTTATATGAATCTGCTGGTTTCTGGCCTTAAAAAAATCAAGATGTTGCTGGGCAGATAGCCACACTACAGTCTTAAAGATGGTAGTCGATAAGCCAGTGGCTGATATCCATCTGGCTACTCCCACTTCTCTCAACACAACAAGTGCTCTTGGCAGAGTAGCTGGAGTTTCTGGGTCATCTTTTGGTCCTTTTGGACACAAGCTTTTCTTGTACTTTTTCCAGTGTTTCCCGTAAAAGAGTTTGATTGTAGAAAAAGATGAAATTGTGAGTTGAGGAAATGCCAGTATGACAGCCTGCTGCGTTCAGAGGTAGTGGGTGTTTCATCATTGAGTCAGCTGTTAGATTTGACATTAAACCATCGATAACAGTCATACGTGGACATGTTAGCTAAAGACAAAGAAGACGTGAGGCTCTCCTGTGGCATTCGCTTCAAGTGAACAGAAGGTCATGTGATGTCCTCATGTGTCACATGAATCATACAAAACCCTATTTTGGTAGAAGGAAGAGCTGAAATCAGAGCATTGCAAACACACTGGTTATTGTGATTATTCGCTGAAATAAGTCTATTTATTTGTTTATTTACTGTTTTTGGAGTAGTTGAGAGAAATTCTGGAAAATGTTACTTGTAAATAAAAAAAGTAGAGAGCACCATCTTTATCTTTTCTAAAGGAAAACATTTTTTATGCTTAATGATAGCATTTAGAATCTAAAACGAGTACAGGATAATGAAGTTTAATGTTGCTTCTTATGTAAATACCAGTAATGTTCTTGAATTTATGCTGAAAAAATGTTTTTTGAAAAGACACGAAACCATTAACTAGGGCTCGGCAATAAACCGAAAATTTAGTGATTCCGAAATTCATGACATTAACCAATGTTTTGAATGTGTGTAGGCAGGCTTTAGTCTCATGTCCCTTTTAAGACGCTGTCCTACGTCAGAAACATGACTCCACCCCATCCAGTCCGTAACAAAGAGGGAAAGACAGGTGAGGAGATGGAGGACGGTTCAAAAGTTGGGGCAGCGGCTGAAGTAGACAAAGTTAATGTGGGAGGGGGTGAGCAGCTTGTGGAGTAGTTATCGTTCATTTATCATTATCGAGGTGAACTGCTCAATATATGGTCAAATTGATTTGAGGCCATATCGCCCAGCCCTACCATTAGCAACAAGTCCTCTTTAAGCTTTCATCACTTTATCAAAAGTGACTGTTCAAAAAATCAGGGTGACACTTTGCCAAAGTCTGGCTTTATATTTTTCTGAAAAATGGAAGAGGTCTAATTTTGTCCAGAGGGGGCACCAAAATCAACCAAAACATAAGGTTCCACACAGGAGCTTTGAATGCTGACCAAACAACTCACTCTGTCTTTCTGTCTATGTACCGACTCCAGATTCCAGGTCACCTCAAGCCATGATTGTTTTTCTTTGTTAGATTATCTGCAAAAGACAAACTCGAAGTAACACATGAGAGACCTTTGTGAACGTCATGACAGATATATTGTGTCTGTGACAGGCTCAGATTGGTCTGATCACATAAGCTGAACGGCACATATTTGTCAGGCTCTACAGTTTTCACTCAGTCAAGTTTTGTAATTGTTGACTTTTCCACTATGAACCACAGAGCTTGACTTTATGCGAGTGCTGGAGGAGAATTTCATACCCAGTAATTCTACAGTCAATGAAATATTAAAGTCTGAACCAAAGTGATGGATCAACCTTCAGCTCTTCTCCTGGGTCTCGTGTAGAGAAGCGAAAAAAAAAATACTCCTGGAGTCAACTGAAGGTTACTATGAATCTTCTACCGTCGGAAGATTTAATAAAATTTTCATTCAGTGGTTTGTTGTGACTCTTTGTGTTGAAGCTGCTCCATTGAACACTTAATTCTTGTTGTAGGAATACAATAAAGAGTTTGTGTAGTGAGTCTAAGCCCAACAGTGTCACATAGATTACATTTCTAAGAAATAAACCAAATCTGAAGGGAAGTTGCATTCGTATTTTTATGAATTTATTTGCTTTTATTCCAAATCTGAGTCACTCTTTTATCATACGTTTGCTTATACTCCTCCTATTTTACTATTGAAAATACGGTCATTCTTCATTCCTCCTTAGTTCAGGTTGGAAAAACATTCACTTGCCTGTGAGATGAACCTGAAAATAATGCCATTTCCATCCACAAGGTTCCGGTTCGCAGTCAGGCAGAGGTTCCTGAACCGCCTTTAAGCTCGAGTGCTCAGATTTGGTATCTCAGCCGGGAGCTATAAATATTTCATGCCTGGGGATTGCCTCTGTTTTTTTTTTGGTTTTTTTTTGTTGAAAAAGTCATTTTTGATTGCAGGTGCTAATCTGCCGTAACTACATGGGGGACATCGACATGAATGAGATCGACCACTTCATGCCCATGCTGATGAAGAGGGAGGAGGAGGCGGAGATGACGCCTCTGGTCACACACGGATCCTCACACTTTCTGTGGATCAAACACAGCAACCTTTACTGTATCCTTCTTTTATTCACTGCTTCTGTGTCTGCTAAATTAGTTTCTAAGGTACTAAACTGAATTTAAAATCTTCAATTCACGGTGGTATCATTCATTAAAGTACAGTACGGGTTTATATAAGACCTGCAGAGCTGAACAATTTCATTATGTTTCACTGAAACCCCAAGCTCAGATTCACTGGGATGTGTTATTCACTTTACATCCTCCCTCTCTAATACGAGATCGGGCACTCAAACTTCCTCACACATTATTAATTCAGCATGATATTACAGTTGTGAGAAAGAGCTATTCCCAGAGCTCTGCATTAGACAACTGAGCTGCTTTACCTCCCCGTGGCCATGTTCTCAATTGCTTGCAAGTGTGATGCACCCTGCTAACTTTTTATGTCATTGCATTCATCTCGGAGCCACCCGCAGAATATAAAAGATGCTCACCATCTCATTTGAGCGTTTCTGCTTCATAAAAATTTGCATGTTTCTCCTCTCAGATGCTGTGCCTGTCACTCGTAGATGCACAGTTGTTCCTTAACAGTCGTTTTTTTTGTTCAGTGGTGGCTATGACGAAGAAGAACGCCAACGCTGCTCTGGTTTACTCTTTTCTTTACAAAATTGTGCAGGTGAGTCTGTTTTCTGACACTTCAGGCCAAATCTTTCATTTATTTTTGTTGCTTGTTTTCGATAATGTTCACTTGATAGGTTTTGGACTGTGGTGGAATTATCAAAATAAAATCTCCCAAAGACAGGCCATGTTATATTGTCATAAATGTACATTAAGGGTTCCTGATTCAAAGATAAATCAAGCAAAGGTAGCTTTTTGTCAGAGCTTTATTGGTTTTTAAGTTTGTCGATAAAAGAAAATATATGTTTCTATTCTACCTCAAAATTATAGCTGCAAAACCTTGAAAATGCATATTTCTTTCCTTTACTGTCTTTGTCTGTTTGTATAAAATAAGTATTCATAACAGTGCTATCATCAAATCATCAAAATTAAATTGAAATGCAGAAAAACAACCTAACATTGAAATAAAATACGCCTGGAAAGTACTGTGCGAGCTGACCGGTAAGGTTCCTCCATGACTCGCCTCTTCCCCAATTCCTGCCCTATTTAAGTTTGGTTAAGTCGGATGGATTTTGTGGAAGCATTACTGCAGAGCTTTCCAGCAGAGGGTCTTGAAGGCCTCCTGATATTAGTCCTATCTCGGTACTCAAGGCCAAAGAAAGGTGGCAAGAGGGGGACAAATGAGAGTGACTGTGCGAGAGGCCACAAGGAGTAAATCTTTGTAAATGGTTTGTGTGGTATTTGAAACGGCCAAACCTGAGTGTACGGGCCAAATAAAAACACAGTTTTAAGGGTTTATTGGACCACAACCGGCCCTTCAGAGCAAATCCAAAAGCTCCCCGGTTCACATGTGTTTTTTGCTTACTTTGAAAATAACCCAGTGGGCAGTAACCCTTTTTTTTTTCACAACCACTAGCGCTAATAATCGCACACACTCGGAGTGAAACTTTGGTCTTTTTTTTATTACTTAAACATTCCTATTTTATTAAAAATGAGGGGGGAAATCAGTCTGAGGCTCAACCCCCTGACACAGATCTGAACTCCAGGAAGTAAATTGTAAAGGGGTTTCCATTTCCATTCAGGTCATTATATGTGGATTGAGTGAAGTATCGTCAGGATGATGCTGACAGTTCACCTCAGAAAAACTGGAGCAAACTGCAACAGAGCTGGAGTACTTGGTGGGAGTTTGTGCGCGCCCTAAAGAAATGGTGCAAGGCTCACAATGGCGGCACACTTTTGAACAAAAATATCTGACATGAACCCGGCTTTCTTACTTAATTATAGAGCTGGGCGATATGTCCTCAAATCAATATCGCCATATATTAAGCAAGTCACCTCAATAATGACAAATGGACGATAACTACTCTGCAAGCTGCTCACCCACTCCTACATTAACTTCGTCTACTTAAGCCGCTACAACTTTTGAACCGTCCTCCATCTCCTCACCTGTCTTTCCCTCTTTGTTACAGACTGGATGTGGGTGGAGTCACGTCTCAAAGAGACATGCGACCATAGCCTACCTACACACATCCAAAACAAAGTTTTATTTATTTATTTTTTTGACACAGAATATACCGATATGGGCAAAATAACATTGGTTATTGTTGAAAATTTCAATATAAGTAAGTTTTCGGTTTATCGCCCAGCCCTACTTTATTGCACTTATTTTTTTACTGCTCTAAAATACATAATTAGTTAAAAATGAAGAATCTGCTGTGATCCAACAGTTTTGATCAGGACTGGAACTTCCTTTTTTAACAGGAGAAAAACATAATATTAGGGTAAAATATATCTCATTTTGGAAAGTCATTTGGTTGAACATCTTCATGTGCTTGTTTGTGTCTGCAGGTATTTAAAGAGTATTTTAAGGAGCTGGAGGAGGAGAGTATCCGGGATAACTTTGTGACAGTATACGAGCTGATGGACGAAGTGATGGACTTTGGTTTCCCTCAGACAACAGACAGCAAGATCCTACAAGAGTAAGACTGATTATTCCCACTGCTGCTACTGTGTTCTGGCATTTTAGCCGTACCATTAATCGTTCTCATGAAGGTGTTAGGGTTAAAGCATTAAACCCTCGCTGACTCTAACGGCTGCACTTCAGTCTGATTTTAATGAAACGACATTAACTCAAGTGGCTCCCTGTTTCCCAGTAAGATAACAGCTCTGTGTTTTATCCTGTGAGTGACCAGCAAGAGGTGGGAGGAAGAGAAGAGTAGATGATGATTCAGGTTGAAGTGCTGTCGGCTGATTTATTCAGTCACCAGAACGCAGCTGGTGAATGTGCAGCTGTGGTGAATGGCGGAGCTTTATTCAGCCGCTGAAAATGAAGTGGAGAAGAGACAAAATCTTGGGCTCTACCAGTGTTTAGTGTCACGCTGTGCACACTCAGAAGAGCGTTTGTTTGAAGGAAAGACTCTTTGTTAACATTATGGGTCCTGAATAAACACTTTAACTAAAGAGTGAACTTATAATTGAAGTGTTTATATTTGTTTATGCTTTTTTTGTGTTTGAAATGTGACTGAAGTTAAATTTCGCATGATGTTTGAGCACAAACACTCAGCTGCAGTGCTAGAGTGTGTATGTGCGCATGTGTTGTGTACAGTATGTGTGTTTGGTGTCTGAATAGGACTGATAATTACCAGGCTCCCGTTGGCACCCAGACACAATGACACCGTCAGCTGGACACACTTGAGACTCTGAGACAGAGCAGCTCTCCTCTCCTCCAAGGAGACACACAAATGTGTCATCCTCACACACACACACACACACACACACACACACTGATTCTCTGTTTGCTGTTCCAGTTCTCCGACCTTTTCATGCCCTCGACCAAAACAACCCCTCTTTTTATTCTTACGTTAAAACCAAAGTACCCAGTTAAACTCAGTGCATTTAAGTGTGTGTGTGTGTGTGTGTGTGTGTAGCTGAATGCAAGAAAACGTGGCATCATTAAGAAGATGCATATGTATGTTTTTTTCTTCATATGATACTCTGTGCGTCGGTCGATATTCGTGCAGGTTTGTTATGAGTTTCCATTGTTATGCTAATCTGTCAGTTTGCTGCCAGCCTCCTGCTTCCACATCCTTTCATTAGCATTTCTGAGGAGAATCAGGGCAAAACAGAACAAACAGCAAAGCAACAAAAACAACCCAATGTCGACCCCAAACCTACTTGTTGCGGCCTTTTATCTTCCAGTTTTTTTGCGACGTGTCAGCGTGTATTCAGGAGTCGTGGAGTGGGAGGAACTGGGGCAGAAAACAAGCAGGGGGGGATTCTCCCTCAATCTGTCAATCAATCTGAAACTTGTTTATTTGTATGTTTTATTCTAGTACAGTAAAGCTGGAATGAAAATCCATATCCTTGACTTAGTTTTTCCTCTTTTGCTCAGTAGGCTTTGGTTGCTGAGATGTCTCTCATTTGTTCAATCAAGGTCACTTGACTACTTGAATGAAATGATTATATTTGGTGGTGTGGCTCTGTTCCGAGAGCCTCCCTGCCTTTCTGTGAGCTTAGCGGAATACCAAGCCTGCAGCAGGGAGAGCACACTTCCTCTCTGTGTCATGTGCATGCATAAAAAGTCAAGGCAGGGAGAGCAGCAGCAAAAACCCAGAGCAGAACAGAACAGAGGCGACATCAGTGACAGTACAAATGGTTAAAAAACAAGCTCAAAGTCCCACTCCAATCCTTTTTTTTATGACTTAAAGTGTTCTCAGTGGTTTTTAAGTTGTGATTATAAAGTTTTTAGCCAAAATCACGTTATCTGTGTCAATTTCAAAGACTTTTCTTCTGCAGAGCTCCAGTAGCTCATTAGCAATTTGCCTCTGAGTCGTTGGCCGAGACACCGCTGCTCTGCACCAGGGCTGTCAACGAATACTCTAAATTCAGATATATTTTCAAATATAAAAAAAAAAACGAGATTCAAATGTGAAAATTAATGTTTGAATATTAAATGAATAGCAGGAAAAAAAAACTACGGCTGCTTTGTGAGTAAGCGCACTGTAACGACGGGTCAGGGACAGGTCACAGGAGCGCCAATATAGATGTGGTAATATGTTCGAACCTATGTGTTATTTTTAGAACGAATATTTGAACATCACTTTAGGCCAATTTTGACAGCCCTACTCTGCACACTCCTCTTCATGCTAGCTTGCAGCCTAACATTGCTAGTGTAGTAGAAGTAGCAGGTAACGTAGGAGCGATTCAGGTCTTGGACACTAATGTCTCTGGAGACATGATAAAAGCTAATATAATTACGAACACACTTGTTCCGCGATTGTCTTCTCTAATTCTCTGAGTCTGGCCTGCATAGTAGGGCTCGGGGGGCGGAGCTTGGAGTAGTGACATATGAAATCTCACTCTGTCTGAGCCTGCCGTTTGGGTCAGTGAGAGGTTCGCAGCGATTTAGATGCAGAAATACTCAGAAATACAATTCCGCACTTATTTTTCTCTTGATATGTTCTGCACGGTCGGAAAAATTCCTTATGAACATGTAGACAACAAAACATGATTTTCATTGGAGTGGGTCTTTAAGTGGAGCCTTGCAGATTGAAAGCTAAGTGACTAAAACTTGACTTGCAAATAGATCTCAGATTAGATATACATTACTGTTTTGTCCGTGAAGAACTCAGAGCTCAGAGCAACCAAGAGGACAGTTCGGATCACAGGAGACACATTCGTCAAACTCTCACCGTTCAACTTCTGCACAAATACTGAACATGCAGTCCATATCTTAAATTAGAAAGTACATCTCGATCACACATACCGTTCCTCTGTCTGTACATACCTTGTACCTTGTAAATACACAGACCTTGAGGACATCCATGTGACGTCTGCCGTAAACTTTCCCTCAGAAATGAGTAAACTTCACCTCACGCCTTTTCTGTGACAACACAATTTCAGCTGTGGAACTTTTCACCCCTGCAAAAATTGAACTGTCTGTTATGAAAATTGGTTTGTTATTATGTTTGCTCTGCTCTTTTGCTGGCTTTGCACTTTTATTTTCTCCTTAAAGAGGAGCCTGAGGACAGCAGATTCATGAGGAACACTGGGTCAGTAAGTCATTGACTCACGAGGGGGAAATGAGGAGGGAAAGAGGAGGTGAGGGAGCGATGAAAACGGGAGAGAGGGGCGAGAAGAAGCAGGTGGAGAGGGAAGGGAGGAGAGATTGCTTTAGAGTTTGGATTCTGCTGATCTGAGGCTTTTTATTTGTTTAAGGAGTGTGAAATATTACCAGCAATAACATTGGTTTTGAGAGTTCAGCCTGAGCAGATGTGGAGCTGAGAAACATCTGTGTGCTGTCTGTCTGTAAACATCGTCCACTTTTCCTGAGTGGGTCTGAGTGCAGGTCAACAGCATCCATTCAGACCGTGTTTGAAGAAGTGCCAGAATCATTATTTGTTTTCTGGTAATGCTTTCGGTATATAGTTCCAATCATCCGGAAATCATTCACAAGAACTTTCGGCAATTACTGATGACAGCCAAATAAAGACGTCATGCACTCTAGGGTTGTAAATTCCTAGTTGACTGGTCGACTTATTGGTCGATACGTCGATACAGTCGACCAAAATTCTGATTGGTGGACTCTTTTTTTTTCTGCGTCAATTTACAGTCTGTGGTTAATTTCATCAGGAGGAAAGTACCAAGTGCTAATGGGGGTGTGTTTTCAGAGCATCCTCGTTTCACAGGTAACAGCCTGTCTCAGAACACCCCCCTTGTTTTCACCATTTTGGATTCGCCCAACACACCGGAGACCGGCTAGAGGCAGGAAGATTGAAGAGCGTCCACGTTAATCAATGGCCGGTGGGCGACATTTTTTTTTGGAGGATGGTAAGGGAAGGTCCCGCCCTCCTTCGCCTCTGATTGGCTAGAAGTGCTGGGCTCCGATTGGTTATTTCTTATGACTGTGAAAAGTCATCGTCTGCCGGTTAGGGTTAGGATTAGGATTAGGAGACTCAGAAGTGTTGTTCGATGTACAGAGCCGACAGCCCGCGTTTGGCTTGAGCGTGTGATGACGTTTCCGGCTTTTCTAGCCAATCAGAGGTGAAGGAGGCGGGATTTTCCCCTACCATCCTCCAACAAACAAATCACATCCAGTGGTTTGCTGAATATTTATTTTTATTTTGAGTTTTTGTGTTTAATTGCCTTCTTGTACTGATATCAGTATATTTTCTCCTCGCCAAGCTGCGCTCCACCAAGCCGCTTCGTCCCCCTCTGTGGAAGGGTTTGTCAATTTTTGGTCACAAACTTCAGGGTTTTAGTCAACCAAGAATTTCTATGGTTACAGCCCTAGTGCACTCACTATAAACACATGTGATTCATTATTTGTGTGAATCACTGATGTCGTAAACTTCCATTTAGTTTGGTTGCCATATTCAGCAAATATTTATTTAATCTCTATCAAGTTTTATCACAGTTTTCCTAAATCGGATTGGACTGCTCTGGGAGTTGTATTTCAGGGAAATTCGAGCCGTAAATCAGACGACAGCTCTGCAGTGAAAATGAGGCCACTGAGTAGTAAACAGTGGCAGGGGGGCAGGTGTTTGGTTAAAAACAGGCTCGGTCACATGATGTTTATCTCTGAGCAGCTCCCTCCTATTCTCTTGACGAGTCATTACGTCTCCCTGAACACAGTTTGTGGATTGTTGGAAGTAAAGCGTCTTTCACAGAAACTACCTCAGTGGAGTGCAGTAAAGAGGGGAATGGATCTGGGATCAATGATGTCTTACAGATAAAGATATTACTCAGAGTAAAGTGATTTGTTTTGCCACTGTTACGACGAGATCTAATTAGGTGGGAAATAAAGCACTGGCTAATCCAGTTATGCTTTTTAAAGCTGCACAAATCAATTACAAACAATGGATCAGATAAATGCCTCTGACTCTGCACTTAGCAACTCGAAGGAGGGCTTGAACTTTTTCCAGCTCTCCTTTCTTCCTGTTTTTATTTCCTCTCACAGCTCTCAGTGGCATCAATTTCAGGTGCAGGAACGAGACCATTAAAGATCCCTAACATATGAGCTTATCCGGTCTGCTTTTGAGTCCCGAAGGTCCCGTAAACTTGCATAATACTTTGAGTCAAGTCACGTCATGGTATTAAACAACAGGAAAGAGAAATCTCTGCAATGATGGCAGAGCATGTGAAGAAGTCTAAAGTGTGGCAACATTTATCCAAAACGAAAGACAAAGGTGAAGTGAAATGTGTTTTATGTTGCAAAAGGGGGAAATAACATTCATGGCCAAACACAACGGCATTGTGCATCAAATCGAGCCAAAAAAACTGCTTGAAACAACTCTGTCAACTCCAGCTGCTGCTGCTGTGAGGCTGCCATCCTCCTCCTCACCCAAAGCAGCCGCAAAACAGCACAGTCAGATGTGAGGAGAAGCCTCATCGGTTAAAAACAACATCCAGTGTTAAAATCAGCAGGATAAAAGCTAGATAGCTAACTAAATGATGTGACATATAAATACATTATGAGGTTTTTAAGGTCTGCTTGGTATTACAAAAATTAAGTGGCAGTAAATGATTCGTTATCATGATGTGTCTAAATGTCAGAGAAAAACTTGTTCAAATACAATTTTTTAGAGAGTATTGATGTTGAGATGATTTCTTTGTTTTCACAGTTTTGTTTCGTATATATTCCAACAGGGGTGTCCTAAAGCAACTTTGTTACTTTCGATACGATACCGATATTGTAGCCTTCAGTATTGGATGATACCGATATTGATCCGATAGTTTTGCACTCAGTTGCAAGGCTTTTTTTTAGACTTTAATTAAAAATACTGCCACACAGCCAACATCACTCTTACTCGTTGCCACTACCCACTGTGGTTGTGACCACATTGGCTCTGCATGCTAGATAGAGGCGCTGGAGCGGAGTCTGGAATGGACTGCTTGTATCGGAGCGCTGATATCGGAGATTTTAGATGCAGGCCGATATAATCCGATATTTGTCTTCCTCCAATAACAGGCCGATGTCTGATATCGGATCAGGACACCCCTAACTACAGATGGAATTATGACCCATCAAATAACAAAAAAGACTCTATAGCAGCATTTGTAAGGACTCATATCATTAATGAATCTCAGTATTGGTGTCACTATGAATAAAAATTAATATTCAAAATGCAGCTGTGTTAGAAAAGCATTAAAATCTCTCTGTAATGTTCCAATGATATGATAGCTGTAAGTGTTGTCTGGTGGTTGGAATCAGTTTAGAGAAGAGGAAACACGACTTTGAGTGTTTCGTTTCATGTTTCATTTGATTTTGGAGATTTGTAAAGTTCACTCCTTTCAGTTTGAGTTTAAAGTTTAGAGAGCGTGAGCCACAGAGTCTGAAACCGTGTTTGAACGTTTGGGGGAGATTGTAAAAGCAGCTCACAGAAGATCTTCATAACGAGGCGGAGTCACGCCCTCTGCAGAGTCTTTCCTCCGGTTGTTAAACTGTCATTTGTGCAGCGTTGCATCTTTCCCAAACCGTTCTGAGGAAAATGAAATACACTTCAGCAAAATCCTTCTCTTGTTTTGACCACCTGAGGCGCTTGACTCTTTTACGTCAGCCATCACTCATTCACCGATGACAGTGCTATGTAAGCCCGATCACCCTTTCACAGCAGCTGAGTATATTTCCAAAGGATGTGTCATGATGTGGACTGAGAGCCAGCGACTGAATGCCAGTCCTAAATTGGAGAAAAACTGACTCCAGTTCTCAGCGACAGCCTCCTCCACTGCATCTGTTATATATATTCAGATATTACACGTATCTCCCGTTGGATTCAGATCCTCCATTTCAATCTAAAAACCACTGAAACTGTTAAAGCTTAAAAGGTCATCCAGCGTCTCATCTTTGTGAAACCCCCTTTAATGAGACGAGACGACAAAGGTTCAGATCTGTGATGGATCCAAACCTTTTAAAGTACTTGTTGTCTCATAGGAACTCTTTAATAAGCTTGATCCTGGTTATATTTTGCCCTGAAATCCTTATTAGTTTGTTATCATGTAAATAAATGCATGTCAGTCAGAGTATTATTAGCGTCTGCAGTCACAATGGGTTTATGTAAATCTCTGTTTCCAATTACATCCATGAGTAATCTTCATACAACACAGACAGACAGCTGCTTTAATTTATTCTTACTTTAAAAAGCTCGTTTATGTGAAGTCATGAGGGGTAATCAATAAGAAATAGAAAAAGTAATAAACAGAAGCTATTTGTTGCCATTTTTATTTGGATTCCTACAAATTGATCGGACTTTGTTGATGAGAAAATTGGAGCTGCTTCTTCAGATAATTCTCCATGAACTTTGTGTTTTCAGGTGCTCGTCTTATCAAGATAATACAGCTCAGAGTTTGAAAACAGCCCACAGTGTGTAAGATCTATTTTCTTCCTCCGTCTCTTTCAGATACATCACCCAACAAGGTCACAAATTAGAGGTCGGCGCTCCTCGACCTCCTGCCACAGTCACCAACGCCGTGTCCTGGCGCTCAGAGGGCATCAAATACAGGAAGAACGAAGTCTTCATGGACGTGATCGAGTCAGTGAATCTGCTGGTGAGGACAGTTTTGAGTTAATTCAAACACAGCTCGTCTCTTGGCTGCAGGTTGTAATAAGGCGCTCGTGTTTTTGTGAGGCCAGCTGCCAGCAGGACTTTGTTTGGCTTTTGATAAGATTGATTATAGCCAGGTTGGACTTCCGACCAGAAATCGTAAACAGACTTTGGAAAATCATCTGATGACGCCAAAAAAGATGAACAGAGGTGGTGAGAATTTGCCCATCGAGTCTCTCAGCTGAGTATGTACCTCTTACCTTTAATACTCCAGAGAAATCAAATCTATAATCCTTTTTCTTAAACCTGCATTATCATATCTATCTTTGATTGATTTTCTCTAACAGTCATTGTGCTTCCCTGAGACTCAGCCGGTGCGTCAGTGATATGATTGTCTGTCAAATCTCTGTTATGTTTTGACTCCTCCTAACTGCTTTCCTCTTTCCTTGTATTGAATCTCGAAGGAAACAAAGTCAAACATCGACCGTCCTCCATTCAGCTTCACTCTAGTATGATGTTCTGCTTCATTGTTTGCAGCTGCGAGTTTATAAAAACATGCAGCAGGTCAAATCGAGGTTTTCTTGATTAAACTTTGTGACATTTATACAACAGCTTTGATACAAGCCGTTAAAATAAACCCGTCTGCTCTGGCGTATAATTACTCAATGAAATCAAACTGTAGTGATTAATGAGTTGTAGTTGTTTAATCTGCTGCCCAACCTTGTATAAACATCTTATGCTGAACAAAAACCTCAGTTACAGAGTTTATTTGGTTTAATTTGTTTACATGGTTATTGGTTTTAGCTACGGAGGCACACTAGGTCCAAGATTTCCCGCAGCTGGAGAGAGAAAGATGATTTGAACACATGTGCAACAAAACTGAAAGAAAGAGAGAAAAACTTTCTCTGCAGCATCTTAAGAACATCTCCACATGCATGTACTGGTTCATGTGCATCAAAATGAAACCAATGAGGATCAAATATCTATGAAAGCTGCAGCTGTAACTTCCTCTTCTGTTACAGCGATCTCATATATGCATTCAGATGTTGTTCACACGTTTCTTAACCCACCCTTCACTTTCTCTAAACTGTACACACAAACTCCTGTTTTCAAACTACGTTCACAAAAACTCTGATACTTCTGACAAAAATCAAACCATCACATCAAAACAGCTTTTCTTTGTGCTCGGAATCAAACCCTGTTTTTCACATCACACACTCGGCAGACAAAAGCGAAGCACCACAGAGTGGGCATTACAAACACAGCCGGAGTTTGAGACCGCTCCAGAAAAAGTTTATTGAAGACGACAGGAAGTAAACAATACATAAATTATGGATTTACTGAAAATACAATTACAGTTTTCTAAAAAAAAATACTCAAAGAGCAAAAACTCTTGGGTGAGGCCAAAAGTCCAAACAGAAGAAGACTCCTTCACACTGTCAGAACAAGATTCACTGTATTTCTTCACAGCGTTGCAGCGCTCAGATCTTCATCAGGCTGAGTCATCATCAGAATCTGTTGGTTTTCTGCTGATAGTAACACAGCAGCTGACTCTGCATCTACTAGTTTCAGGTTGCACACGCAGCGCTCTGCAAAGATGGTAAAAGCAGAGACAGTTTCTTCCTCCTCCTTATATGTCACCTCTCACATCCTCCTCTGCCTCTCTGATCGTCTCCATCCATCTTTAAACCTCACCTGTGCACTCTGCACAACCTCATATTGGGTTTATGAACTTCTGAAACTGTTATGCATAAGGAGTGCTTCACTGTGCAAAGTGTGGTTTAACGCTCGATCTACAAAAATTCAGCAACTACTAAAACAACCTGAAGCAGTAATTTTGACAAGTCAGTCTTTATTTGCACATAATTTGGATAATCAACAATAAAAATGAATAATAAATTGATGGAATAGATAAAAAAACACATCAGTATACAAAATAAAAATCATAATGAATGAGATTTGTAAGAACATTCCTCAAAATACAAAGACACATCATTCCCTGAACTTGCTCATCCATCGGATTCTTCCTCATCAAGGCTCTGATTCAAGGCTAAAGCCTCCATACTTGTCATTCTTCTTCTAGTTGTCATTTTTGGGTCTCAAGTTTTGAGTAAAGTTATAGAAAGATTTTAGTTTCACAGAGCTCAAAGTACAAAACAAACAGAGCAGGAGAAATAATGAAAGATAACACCCTCTGTAAAAAGCATGCAGTCAATTTGATTGCTCTGGTAGTTCGAGGCAGTAATACTCAGATCTCTTTTGTGTTTTGAAATTTTAATGATAAAACAATGTTAGAATAAGATATACACACATTTAGGAAAAGTTGGGGTGCGACTGACGTATAGGTTTTATTTTGAAAAGTTATGACATTGTAAATTTTGAAAGCAGTCAGTGAGAGACGTTGTGTACAGAGTAAATTAAATCTGAAAAGTGTGCCAAACAAAGTAAAAGTGTTTTTTTCCAAAGAAGTGACCCTTTGGAGCTTCCGTCTCTCATCTGCATACTTCCGTTAGTGTTACAGGAACCAAACAGCACAATTTTAATTGCAAGTTAGACGGATGAAACTTTTCCATCAAGCGTTTGCAGACATGAATGGAAACTTCTTCCACTTTGATTTATTCCTTTGCTCCTCTGTTTGTAGGTGAGCGCGAACGGCAGCGTCCTGCGGAGTGAAATAGTCGGCACCATCAAGCTCAAAGTGGTCCTCTCCGGGATGCCCGAGCTCAGACTGGGCCTCAACGACAAAGTGCTGTTTGAAATCACAGGCAGTGAGTAACAATCAGACAGTCTCTGTCTACGCTTTGACTTTGTTTCAGACCCATACTAGTGTTTAAAGAGCTGAAAACAGAGAGTAGAAACACGGCACAGGAGCACTAAAGTAATCACAGTTTCACAGCGAATAACCCACAAAGAGACGTTTGTTCAAGTGCGTCCAGAAACAAGAGGAATATCTCGTATCACTCGGTCTGGGCTGATTGAGCGCCATTATGATTTAATCTGTTGTAAAACTTACTTGACACATAAATTTGTTCATAAAACTTCTCTCTATAGTATAGAACATAAAACTTGATTAGATTTAAACTGAAAACTTTCTCTCTCCTGTTTTAGTATTTGGAGAAAGGCTTTATAAGCGTCATTAAACGCTACCTCAAGCTTTACTTGTACCAGGATATCAGCTTGTGCATACTCTATGAAGCTGTGGAGCTGCAGATCATCATCAGCACTGAAGTCATTGATGTGCTCCAGAATATTGATTTTGTCCACCATAGAGTGCAGAAAGAAAGAGGGACAGAGGTGCGATTCTGTTCAGTTCAATACAGTATGAAGGTTTTCTATTAAAGAGGAATAGAGCCATAAGAAAAGAAAAAAAATTACAGGAGGGAGATGATTTAATTTTATGTTTCGAGATAAAAGTCAAAATTTTAAAAAGTCTTGTATTGGAGTGCTGATATCAGAGATTTTAGATGCAGGGTGATATAATCCAATATTTGTTTTTTTCTGATATCGGACCACTATCCAATATAAATATCGTATCGGGACACCCCTAAAAACAACACCACAAACAAACAGTTTTTAGATATATCTTCATAAAGGCGGTGTTTTATATTATACTTGCAGACATTGAGATATTCCAAAGTTTTAAACTACATTTCTTACTTTAGATTTTTTGTCAGATCATCCGCATATTTGTTCGATTCGTCCATGCACTCGTCATTTTAGAATTATTGGCCTACATACATAATGGAAATGAAAAAGGCTGTAGGTTGTAGGTCATGTGCAGTGGTATGATAATGCAGCATCACACAGGTCATAAGTTCATCTCATTATCCGTCTAAGCTCCCTGTTGAACTGACAGGTACAGGCTGTTTTACATAAATCACATGTGAGAGGAATATTTGGGAGATGTCTGGTATGTTTTGTTGAACTTCAAATGGAAATATTTCCGCCTTGATGTTGGTGTGAAAAATTCTCGTAATAGTCTGATGGAATAATGTGCAAACGGAGGAAATGTTAGGAAATATGCTGCAGGTTGAACTCAGATTCACACCTCCACCTTCACCTCCTCGCTGTCTGAACCCCTCACTTCCCCAAATCCCACCCTCAGCTTAGCTTTCATCCCTCTTCATCCTCCTCTCCCTCTCCTCCCAGTTTTCCAATTTTTCTATTAATGTCTCCCACTGCTACATCTCCCCTTGTCTATTCCTGCTCTCCTCCTCCTCACTCTCATCTCTCTCTTTTTTACTCCCTTTTTTTTCCGACATTCCTCCCCCTCCCCACCGCTCCTTACTTGAAGGGAAAAGACCCCATCACTGTCTCGCCTCTCTGCCTCCGAGTTAATCCTCACCCCAGGCTACAGGCCTGCAGATGAAAGGTGAGGGTCCGTGGATATCCTGCGTATGCGGTCCACGGTCCCCCTGCTGTGTGATGCAGTCTGGGAAATAACTGATCTTCCCTGAAACTGATCAGAAACAGCGATCAAACAAACACACCCTCACAAACAGAAACCCACACACACACACACACACAAACACACACAAACTGACTCTGAATGTTTATTCAGATATAAAAATGGGGTTTGCACGCTAATCCTCTGCAGTTCTACTCTTTTACATATCATTTTGCAGACATTTGAGGTTTTACATGTTCGCCTGATCTGCACATTTTATCACAGCAGGACGCAGCAAACATGTGGGAAGATGATAAATCATTTAACACTGCCCTCTGCTGGCAGAAGTCCATCACTGTCACTATGAGGAACTGAGAGAGATGTCATTCAGGTTACATCTATTATATTAGATAACTTTATTTATCCTTTTATGAAGGTTATTCGAGAAAATCAACAATATCTATACATTTCCCAAACTGGAAATTAGTGCCGAAGGAAATTTTTGGAATGAAAACTTTGTGTCCTTCAATATTTTGCCATTTGAAAGAGTTACTAAACACCAGCAAGTCTCCAAGTTTAACTCTGTTTTTCTTTGTAGTGATTTCTCAGTGAAGCCCAGACTTGATATCCAACCAGAAATGAGAGGACAAGAGCAAAGCTCCAAAGATTCAGTCTCTTTATTTCATGATCTATTTCTCAGCAGTCACACACAGGAAGTTGGTGAAATATATTAACTGTTTCACAAGGCTATGCGATAAAATCACGGACACATGAACAGAGTTTCTAACACTAATGAAAATGATGTATAAAAATGAAAGCATCAGAAACTTAAGGTAAAGAAGACTGTAATGTACTTCATTTTCTCTCTTTAAGAGGGTTTTTATTGAAGTTTTAAATTTGACTTATGGTTGTATAAGAGTCAGCACTTGGTGTCATGAACAAGAGGATACAAAATAATAACTTAAGGATAATTTTACTGATTAACAAAAGATTTTTTCATCCCATTAAAAAGTATCAGATTCTTACTAGCAAAGTAAACTCAACATTTCATCTTCGATTTGTACTCAATCAGCTTTGTTGCTTCTACCTGGTCAGCAGGACAGGATCTTTCCTCACTTTTGACTATAAATAACTGCTGAAGCTCAGTAGCCTCTCCTTTTTTATTGTGCAATGTTTCCTCAGTTAAAATGATATAAAGACTTTGAGTTTCGCCATAGATAGATAGATAGAGAGATAGAGAGATACGGAGATAGATAGATAGACCTTTATTGTCCCCAGGGAGAAATTAATTTTCACAGACACTGCTGTGGACACATATACTTAAGGACAACAAGGCACGTTCCATAATAGGGGCAACCCTGGACATCACACATGCAGATGAGGCATGGGATTAGCAGACTGTTCAGAGCAGCGATGGCAGAAGGGACAACGCTATGTTATGAAGTGTGTGATTTAGTTGTCTTCAGGGTCACATTATTATCAGGTTTTAACCAATCAGAATCAAGTCTTAACATAGCATGGTCATTAATGAGAAAGCCAGGTATTAAGAACTGAATTAATCTGTTTATTTTTTCCTTGATTAATTACCTCAGTGAAATATGTTCCCTCGTGTAACATAAACCTTGCTAGACAGTTTCCTCATCATGCCTTCACCTTTGAGATGGTCAAACTGAAACTTGTTCAGTGTGTTTGCTTGAGAGTCGTTACAGTGAAGGACCTTCTAGTGGAGGAGGAGACTGCCATCTTCGTTGTTTACAAATACGCCTGTGTCACTGTCGTTGAAATTGTGTTAATACATCTGCCACCAATGTAGAAACATTTAGCATGTGGCTCCACATGCCAATGAAAATGAATATGATGATTGACTGATGGGTTTGACAACGACAGGCTGGTGCAAGTTAACATTAAATTTAAAGCCGGATAAATTAAGTAATCCAGTAAAAATTCCTGCTCAGCTGAGAAGAAATGAAATGCTTCTCCCCTCGGTCACCTGTGCCATGATATCTCAGCTCTCTGACATGCTTTGAACAGGATCATCTACAAACGTAATTACGGCGCCGCTGTCGCTCTTTTTTTGATAGTGTGACAGCGGGCTGAAAACAGATTAGGCTCCTCCTGTCTGCGGCTCTGTATCAAAGCACAGGAACAGGTGAGAGCAGCCTTTAAAGGGGAACCACAGGGGACACTGCTACATCTTCAATCCCCATCTGATGTACACACACACACACACACACACATACACACATACACACATACACACACACCAACACACACACAGACACGCACGCATACACCTGTCTGTCCTGGCAGCCCTGAGCAATGACAAAGTGTCCCGTGTGACCTTTCCTTCTTGTCTTCTTGATAAGGCTACATGCAAGGGTGTGTGTGAGTGTGTGTATATGTATGTATGTGTGTGTGTGTGTGTGTGTGTTACAGACAACAATTGACAATGAGAGAGTGGGAGAGACAGAAAAAGTTGCACAGGGCTTCCCCCTACTTTACTTGTTTTCTCCCAAGATTTCGGCCGCTACTCACAACAAACAAGGAAATGTCAGACACACACGTGAACACACACACATGTACACACACACACACACACATGCATGTACCCACACCCACACATGAAACAAAATCAATAGCAAAACAAGTAGTAGTGAGCGAACATGCATAAACCTGTGCACGTACACACTCAAGACTGAGAACAATGAACAAGGAAGCAGCATACACACATAAACTCGTACACAC